GAGAGGGAGAGAGAGAGAGAAGCATCCATGATGAGAAAGAATCATGCATCGGCTGCTTCCTCCACGCCCCACACTGGGGATTGAGCCCGTAACCCGGGCATGTGCCCTTGACCGGGAATCGAACCCTGACCTCCTGGTTCTTGGGTTGACACTCAACCTTGCTGGCCAGGCACCTCTTATTTTCAAGACTAGAAGCCTGGTGCACGAATTCGTGCACCAGTGGGGTCCCTCGGCCTGGCCTGTGGGGATCAGGCTGAAACCAGCTTTCCAACATCCCCTGAGGGGTCCCAGATTGCGAGAGGGTGGTTCTTGGGTGACGCACCCTGGAATCGGGCTCCCTCCTCTCTGGGTCTGGGTGCATCACCCGAGAATTGCAGCTGCCAAGTCACCACAGATCAGCAGCTCCTGCGTCGAGCGTCTGCCCCCTGGTGGTCAGTGTACGTCATAGCTACCGGTCGGACGGTCGAACGGTCGGATTGTCACTTAGGCATTTTTATAGATGGATAAATAGATAGATTGATCGATAGATAGATAGATAGATAGATAGATAGATAGATAGATGATAGATAGATAGATAGATAGATAGATAGATAGATAGATAGATAGATTCTCCTCCAACCAGGGTGGGGGAGACTTCTAAAGAAACCTCTGTGAGCAATCACTGATTACGCCAAAGTGTGGGTGGCTCGTCCTGAGCTGCAGGGATGTCGAAACAGGACCCCGGGAAAGAAGAACAAAGTAACCGTCACTCAAGATACACTCTTATGAAACGGTCCATCCCACATGACTCTGCACACAGCCCACACAGGGGAGCAAGCCACTGGGCCCCATGGACACCCTGCCAATTCCAGGAGACACAGCAGCTCTACCGAAGGCACAGCCACAAACACGGGGAAGCAGCCAAAGTGCGGACACAAAGGAACGAGTTGCCAATGGAAGAATAGAGAAATCTCCGGAAGGGAGACCCGCATGAAACGGAGGCAGGCAAACGATCAGAGACAGAGTTCGAAGCAAGGGTGACAAGGTGGCTTGAGGGATTTGTTGAGAACTTCAAGGAACTTGGTCAGAACATCAACCACATAATAAAGGATGAGTCACACCCGGCCAGTGTGGCTCAGTGGTTGAGCGTCGACCTGGAAACCAAGAGGTCACAGTTCGATTCCCGGTCAAGGGCACACGCCCGGGTTGCAGGCTCCATCCCCAGTCGGGGGCGTGCAGGAGGCAGCCGACCCATGATTCTCTCTCATCATGAATGTTTCATTCTCTCTCTCCCTCTCCTTTCCTCTCTGAAATCAATAAAAGTATCTATACTAATAAAAGAGTAATATGCTCATTAGACCAGACATCTTCTGAACATCCTTCCAGACAAAGCCACGGTGGCAAAGGCAGGGAAGATCTGTTAGGGGCAATCAGGCCTGCAGGGGAGGGCAGTTAGGGGTGATCAGGCCAGTAGGGCAGAGCAGTTAGGAGCAACCAGGCCGGCATGCAGAGTGGTTGGGGTGATCAGGCTGGCAGGGGAGAGCAGTCAGGGGCAACCAGGCCGGCAGGCAGAGTGGTTAGGGACGATCAGGCAGGCAGGCAGATGAGCCGTTAGGAGCCAGCGGTCCTGGATTTCAAGAGGTATGTCCGACTGCCGGCAGCCAGACATCCCCTGAGGGTTCCCGGATTGGAGAGGGTGCAGGCCAGGCTGAGGGAAACCCACCCTCCGGGCCTCTAGTATTTAATAAATAATTAAGTAAATACATTTTTTTAAAAAAAAGAAAATAGAAAGCCCCATCTCGCCTGGCTGGGAGTTGTACGCTCAGGTAGGCACATGGTCCCTCCTCCTGTCCTGAGAACTGCCAATCATCACACAAATATTGACAGTTTCGTGGCTGAGAGAATCGAGTCCTGGAGGCACCCTGCTCTTGGCAACCCCTAGGCCCTGTTACCTGTCATCTGGTCCTGGGGGTGCCCGGGGGGGGGGGGTTGCAGGGTTGTCATCTGAGCAACCTTGTCACCCTTGCTTCGAACTCTGTATCTGATCGTTTACTTGCCTCCGTTTCATGCGGGTCTCCCTTCCGGAAACCCCCCGAGACCAGATGACAACTCTGCAAACCCACCACCCCACCACTAGCCCGCATGACCTGTAACCTGTAATGAGTACCCCGTGCCCACTTCCCCAGGCCGGTAACTCCTACTTCCCCCATGAAATCCGTGTCCTTTTACCCATCTTAGCAGCTGGCTTCTGAGGGTGCAGAACAGATGTTTGTGGGTGGCCTGCGGCTCTCCCATCCCACTGGCAGGACTGGAATCAACGCTCCTAGAGCCGTGGTCGGCCAACTGCGGCTCGCGAGCCACAGGCGGCTCTCTGGCCCCTTGAGTGTGGCTCTTCCACAAGACACCGGCTTCTGCGCATGGGCCACGACGTTCCGATAGCACTGGACATGTGCGCCCACACGTGGTATTTTGCGGAAGAGCCACCCTCCAGGGGCCAGAGAGCCGCATGTGGCTCTCGAGCAGCGGTTTGCCGACCGCTGTCCTATAGGACCTCACCTTGTCCCTGCTTAATTGGCTCAAGTCGCAACAAGCAACTGGGACCCCCTTGTTCTCCGGTTACAAAAACCAGGTCGTGAGCAAGCTGCCGGCGGCCTGCGGCCTGCGGCCAGTGGTCAGCGGTCAGAGGGGCAGGGATTTCTAGCTTTTTTTATGCAAAGAGGTGCCCTTTTCATTTTGAGGAAGTCTTGCCCTGGGTGCGAGCCTTTGAGGCGACTTCTGATATTTAACGCCGGGGGTGTGAACTCTGGGGGTTTGCAGCCACGACCTGAGGGACGAGGCATCGATGGGCCCTTGTCATGAGCCTATGGATCCTGGAAACTCCCAAGACGGGTCCCCTGGAGCTGAGCCTTTGCCCACGGGGTGTCTGGGGGTGGGGGGTGTTCTCTGGACAGAAACAGAGGGAAGTGGGAGGTTGAACTTTGCAAGGAACAAAGAATTCGCACCAAGGGACCTTTAGGAATCTCCCTTTTTTAATTATTATTATTTATTTTGAGAATCTCCCTTTGTGGACACTTTCTAAGTTAGTTTCACAGTCCGAGCTTTTCATTTTTTATTATTATTATCTTTTACATTTTTGTTGATTTCAAACAGGAAGGGAGAGGGAGAGGGAGAGAGAGAGAAACACCCATGATGAGAGAGAATCATGGGTCGGCCGCCTCCTGCACGCCTCCCCCTGGGGTTGGAGCCCTCAACCCGGGCATGTGCCCTTGACTGGGAATCGAACCCGGGACCCTTCAGTCCACAGGCTGACGCTCTATCCACTGAGCCACACCAGCCAGGGCCCCTCGACGTCCCTCGTTCCTCCTCCTTTCCCCTTTGCACGCATGCACACCCATGTCAGCATCCACATCCATATCACGTGGGCATCTTCACATGCACATGCACACACACACACCATGCACATAACACAGACACATGCACACACATACATGTACACCCGCACATACATACGCACACATGTACATGTACACCCGCGCACACACACATGCACATACACGCACACACATATACACAGAGACACACGTACACACAGATGCACACACATGCACATGCACACATGCACATGCACACATGCACACACGTGTGCACGCATATACATGCATACGCACAAGGACACATACACACACGCACTCACCATCACGCACGCACGCACACACACGTGCACGCGCACACACACAATCACACACGCACAATCACACAATCACACACGCACAATCACACAATCACACACGCACAATCACACAATCACACACACAATCACACAATCACACACGCACAATCACACAATCACACACACACAATCACACAATCACACACGCACAATCACACAATCACACACACACAATCACACAATCACACGCACAATCACACAATCACACACACAATCACACAATCACACACACACAATCACACAATCACACACGCACAATCACACAATCACACACACACAATCACACACGCACAATCACACAATCACACACACACAATCACACACACACAATCACACAATCACACGCACAATCACACAATCACACACACAATCACACAATCACACACACACAATCACACAATCACACACGCACAATCACACAATCACACACACACAATCACACACGCACAATCACACAATCACACACACACAATCACACACACACAATCACACACACACAATCACAATCACACGCACAATCACACAATCACACACAATCACACAATCACACACACACAATCACACAATCACACGCACAATCACACAATCACACACACAATCACACAATCACACACACACAATCACACAATCACACACGCACAATCACACAATCACACACACACAATCACACACGCACAATCACACAATCACACACACACAATCACACACACACAATCACACAATCACACGCACAATCACACAATCACACACACAATCACACAATCACACACACACAATCACACAATCACACACGCACAATCACACAATCACACACACACAATCACACACGCACAATCACACAATCACACACACACAATCACACACACACAATCACACACACACAATCACACAATCACACGCACAATCACACAATCACACACACAATCACACAATCACACACACAATCACACACACACAATCACACACACATGCATGCACACACACGCACACATGTGCGAGCGCCCACACAGACACACACACTCACACACAGAGACACATGCAAACTCACACACACACTCATGCACACGCATGCACGCACACACACGCACACACAGACACACAGACACACACACGCACAGACACATGCACACAGACCTGCACACACACGCACACGCACACAGACACACACACACTCATGCACACGCACGTCGCGTGGGCTGGCGCGGCCCCGTCCTCGCCAGGACAATGAGGAAGCGTGGCCGCCAGGCAGGAAGGGGAGGTATTTAAGGAGACCCGGCCAACTCTCAGCATCCATTCTCCGCAGGCCCTGGGGGGTCACTGTCTGGGGGGCACGGGCGGATGGGGAGGCGCCAGGAATCGGGGTGAGCCGAGGCAGGTGGCTGGAGGAGAGCTTCGTGCCGTCGGGTAAGCCGGTCCCTGGCTTTGGGGTCCCCCAACGTGTCCCCCAATGTTGCTAATTTTTCTGCGTCTGTAGCTGCGGAGGGGGGGGTCAGGCTCCAGCTCAGAGCCAGTGGCTCTAGTAGCCCATGGGTTTGGGGGTGCCTTTTCCGGCCTCAGGGAGCCCCAGGAATTAGCCAGGCTCATGGGGGAGCTGGGCAAATTCCCCAGGAGAACAGCCCTGGCCCCCAAAGGCGGGAGGAATTGGAGGCAGAGTGTCTGTGGGGTTGTAACCGGGTCAACAGGAGAAATCAAATCTCACGCAGACACTGGGCAGGTGGCCACTTGGCATTGTTATTTTATTTTTATTTTTAAAAAATATTATATGGCCCAGCCCTGGCCAGTGTGGCTCAGTGGATAGAGCGTCCGCGAGGGAACTGAAGGGTCCTGGGTTCGAATCCCGGTCAAGGGGCACAGGCCCGGGTTGCGGGCTCCATCCCCAGTGGGGGGCGTGCAGGAGGCGGCCGGTCCACGATTCTCTCTCATCGTGGATGTTTCTCTCTCTCCCTCTGCCTTCCTCTCTGAAATCCATAGAAATATATTTTTTTAAAAAATAAAAATATATATGATATGGCCCTTTATAGACTTTTACTCTTTTGTTGTTGTTGTTAATTCTCACCTGAGGATATTTTTCCTTTGATTTTTACAAAAATTGGAAGAGAGGGAGAGAGAGAGAGACACCTTGATGGGTTGCCTCCTGCACGCGCCCCGACCAGACCAGGGCCTGGGTCCGGGAGGAGCCTGCAACCGAGGTCCATGCCCTGGACCGGGAATCGAACCCGGGACCTCCTGGTTCATTGGCCGACGCTCAACCCCTGAGCCAAGCTGGCTGGCGGAGCTATTGTTCCACTAATTGATGACTCTATGGGTTGCGTCCTGTATGTGTCCTGATTGGGGATCGAATCTTACACACTCTAACCAACTGAGTTACCCGACCAGGGTCTGAGTCGGGTACTTCAAAGGGAATATTTTAGCCCCGGCCGGTGTGGCTCAGTGGGTAGAGCATCGGCCTGCGGACTGAAGGGTCCCGGGTTCGATTCCCGGTCAAGGGCACAAGCCCAGGTTGCAGGCTTGATCCCCAGTGGGGGCGTGCAGGAGGCAGCCGGTCCATGATTCTCTCTCATCATGGATGTTTCTCTGTCTCTCTCTCTCCCTTCCTCTCTGACATCAATAAAAAGATATATTTTTTCTTAAAAAAAAAAAGAGGGGGAAAAATTAAAAAGCGTTTATTTATTTTCAAGAAAACAATCCTGGCATTATAACCCACCGTTTATGTTTAAGGGGAGATGATTGTATGGATTTGGGGGGACGGGGAGGAGGAGGTGTATGTAGGAGTTTTTTGGGGGGTTTTTTAAAGTCAAGTTTAGAGAAGTTCAGAGCTTGCCTAATCCCAGCCAGAGGGAACTTGGGTTGAAAAGCATGGAAAGAGGAACTCCTGGAGGTAAGCAACTTGGGGTTAAGCAATGTTGGGGGGTCCCTTCGCTTCCTGGGGGGCGGAGGGCGTGCAGGGTGGCCCCTGAAAAGAGGAGATGAGGATGCAACCGGGAGAGGATGCAAATATGTTTGTGGGGGGCGCGGGGTGCATCTGCCAGGCCCCGCAGGGACACCCCAAAAGCCCTAGGTCTCCGTGGGAACCCCCCAGGCCCCCCAAGATCAGGGTTGCATGGCTGGGTGGAGCAGGATTGGGGCGATTCCGGTTTCCCCGTGGCCCACGGATACGAGTTACCTGGGCGGCGGAGACCTCGCAAGGCCTGTGGTCTGCGGCTTTTTAAGTTCCCCCTTTTGGGAGAAAGTGGGGTTCCCTTTGCAGGGGAGGGGGAGGGGAGGGGAGGTTGGGAGGCTGGGGGGTTGGGCCTCAAGGGGTGCACAGGTCCCGGTGCCCACACAGGTGAGGGGGCGATGGTGGGTGGTCCCCGGTCGAGGGCAGGAGGCAGAAGGCGGCGGTAAAAAGCCAGGATGAACAAAGGCTTTACATCCTACAGAATAAAGAGCCGATATGCAAATGGTCGTAACGCCATCGCGCCCTCACGCCAGGTACGGGGGACTGGAGGCCGCGACCTGATATTTCTTTCTTTTAAAAAAATTTTTATTGATTTCAGAGAGGAAGGCAGAGGGAGAGAGAGAGAAACATCCATGATGAGAGAGAATCACGGACCGGCTGCCTCCTGAACGCCCCTGACTGGGGATCAAGCCCACAACCCGGGCCTGTGCCCTTGACCAGGAATCGAACCTGGGACCCTTCCGTCCGCAGGCCGACGCTCTATCCACTGAGCCAAACTGGCTGGGGCAGGTGATGGGGGGCTGGCTGGAAGGAATCAGGGGGGACATATGTAATCCATTCAATAATAAAGAATTATTTAAAAAATTTAAAAAAAATAGCCCTGACCAGTGTGGCTCAGTGGATAGAGCATCGGCCTGCGGACTGAAGGGTCCCGGGTTCGAGTCCTGGCCAAGGGCATGTACCATGGTTGCGGGCACATCTCCAGTGGGGGACGTGCAGGAGGCAGCTGATCGATGTTTCTCAATCATCGATGTTTCTGACTCTCTATCCCTCTCCCTTCCTCTCGGTCAAAAATCAATAAAATATATTTTACAAAAATAAAATAGCTGTAGCCAGTGTGGCTCAGTGGATAGAGCCTCTGCCTGCGGACTGAAGGGTCCTGGGTTCGATTCCCGGTCAAGGGCACAGGCCCGGGTTGTGGGTTCCATCCCCAACCAGTAGGGGGCGTGCAGGAGGCAGCCGGCCAATAATTCTCTCTCATCTTCGATGTTTCTCTCTCTCCCTCTCCCTTCCTCTCTGAAATCAATAAACATATATATTTAATAGATAAATGAAAACCAGGTGCCCGTGTCTGTGGGCTCCTGGCTCCTGGCTTCCCCCACCAGGTCCTCACGGGCGAGTCCACGTGGGAAGGAGGCGGTCAGGGGAAGTGGGGAGTGGAAAGCAGAAGCCACGGGGGGTGTCTACGGAGGAGGAGGAGGAGGGGGGGGGACTTTAGAGAAACGAAACGAGAGCCAGGGCGAGGGCGTGGCTGGGCCGGGCTGCACCCCGGACCCTGGGACAGAGAGAAAGACGGGCCCTTGGATTGGACGTCAAGGGTGAGTAGCTTCCCCTGCATCTCTGTCCGGCAGCCTGGCCCCCCCCGGACAACTGACCGTCTTCTCCTTTCTTCGACCCTTCATGTGCCTGAACGTGGGCACCCATTCTGGGTCTCTCTTTATTGTTTTATATTTCTACTGATTGATTGAGTGATTGATTGATTGATTGATTGACTAGAGGCCCCAGTGCACAAATTTGTGCACCATTGGGGTCCCTTGGCCTGGCCTGAGGGATGGGGCCGGAACCGGCTCTCCGACATCCCCCGAGGGGTCCCGGATGGCGAGAGGGTGCAGGCCAGGACGAGGGACCCCACGGGTGCACGATCGGGGCCGGGGAGGGACCCCGGGAGGGCTCCAGGGCGTGTCCGGCCCGTCTCGCTCAGTCCTGATCGGCCGGACCCCAACAGCAAGCTAACCTACCGGTCAGAGCGTCTGCCCCCTGGTGGTCAGTGCACGTCGCAGTGACTGGTCGACCAGTCGACTGTCTGCCCCCTGGTGGTCAGTGCACGTCATAGCAACTGGTCGACCAGTCGACTGTCTGCCCCCTGGTGGTCAGCGCACGTCATAGCGGGCGGTTGAGCGGCCTTAGCATGTCATTAGCATATTACGCTTTGATTGGTTGAATGGCCGACCGGACAACCGGACTCTTAGCATATTAGGCTTTTATTACATAGGATTTTGTATAACAGGATATTATAAAGACTAAGTTACAAAATTTTTATTAAAACATTTCTTACAGCCCTGGCCAGTGTGGCTCAGTGGATAGAGCGTCGGCCTGCGGACTGAAGGGTCCCGGGTTCGATTCCCGGTCGAGGGCATGGACCTGGGTTGTGGGCACATCCCCAGTGGGGGATGTGCAGGAGGCAGCTGATCGATGCTTCTCTCTCATCGATGTTTCTAACTCTCTATCCCTCTCCCTTCCTCTCTGTAAAAAAATCAATAAAATATATTTTTTAAAAAAACATTTCTTACAGACCCTTCTATTGGCTGAGCCGGAAAAATATTCATTGTGGGGCCCGAGTTCGACATGTTTGCTTTAGAAAGAGAGGAAGTCGGAGAGACAGAGAGAGACACCTGGATGGGTTGCCTCCTGCCCGCACCCCGACCAGGGCCCGGGACGGGGAGGAGCCTGCAACCCAGGTCCATGCCCTTGATCGGGAATCGAACCCAGGACCCTTCGGTCTGCAGGCCGGCGCTCTAGCCACTGAGCCACACCGGCCAGGGCTCCGTTGATGATCGGAGAGAGCAGGTTTGCTGACAGAGTGACTCTCTCTCCATCCAGGCAGCTCCCTGACCCTCGGGCGGCCTCCACCCCCCATGGGTGCCCTGGTGAGAGCCGCCCTGGTCCTGACGCTGCTCGAACCGGCGTGTCTACTGACCCAGGAGCCCCGGGGTAAGTGTGCCAACGTGCTCGACTCCTTTCTGCCACTCAAATTCATTTATTTCTCATTTTTAATTTTTTTACACATATATAGGGTGTCCCAAAATTCACGCAAGAAGTCATTTTGGCAGAAAACGCAGGTTTATCATTAAAAATTGTAAATTTTTTACTGATTCATAAAGGAGACAGTCTAGGGTTATGTATGGAACAGTACATTGGGTAAATGGCCTTTGCTGGCACAGACGCACTCTTTTGTTGAACTTTAACAGCCTTTGAATATGGGATATGTATATAGTGTATAGATAGATAGATAGATAGATAGATAGATAGATAGATAGATAGATAGATAGATAGATGATAGATAGATAGATAGATAATATAGATAGATATATAGATATATATAGAGAGATATAGATATAGATATAGATAGATATAGATATAGATATAGATATAGATATATAAAGGGTGTCCCAAAATTCACGCAAGAAGTAATTTTGACAGAAAACACAGGTTTGTAATTAAAAATTGTAATTATTTATTGATTCATAAAGTAAATAGTACAGGGTTATGTGGGGAATAGACATAGGGTCAATGGCCTCCCCGGCTTTGCTGGCACATACACACTCTTTTGTTGAAATTTAACAGCCTTTGAACATGGGATACGTATATAGTGTGTATATATATATATATATATATATATATATATATATATATATATATATATAAAGAATGTCCCAGAATTCACGCAACAAGTAATTTTGGTAGAAAACACAGGTTTATAGTTAAAAATTGTAATTTTTTATTGATTCATAAATTAAATAGTACAGGGTTATGTGTGGAATAGAAATAGGGTCAATGGCCTCCACAACTTTGCTGGAACATACACACTCTTTCGTTGAAATTTAACAGCCTTTGAACATGGGATATGTATATAGTGTATAGATATAAAGGGTGTCCCAAAATGCACGCAAGAAGTAATTTTGACAGAAAACACAGGTTTTAATTAAAAATTGTAATTTTTTTATTGACTCACAAAGGACACAGTCTAGGGTTGTGTATTTAATAGCACATCAGGTCAGTGGCCTCCACGGCTTTGCTGGCACAGACGCACTTTTGTTGAAATTTAACAGCCTTTGAACATGGGATACGTATATAGTGTGTATATATAAAGAATGTCCCAGAATTCACGCAACAAGTAATTTTGGTAGAAAACACAGGTTTATAGTTAAAAATTGTAATTTTTTATTGATTCATAAATTAAACAGTACAGGGTTATGTGTGGAATAGAAATAGGGTCAGTGGCCTCCACAACTTTGCTGGAACATACACACTCTTTCGTTGAAATTTAACAGCCTTTGAACATGGGATATGTATATAGTGTATAGATATAAAGGGTGTCCCAAAATTCACGCAAGAGGTAATTTTGGTAGAAAATCCAGGTTTATCACTAAAAATTGTAAATTTTTTATTGATTCATAAAGCAGACAGTCTAGGGTTTAATGATCAAACAGCACACCGGGTCCATGGCCTCCCTGGCTTTGCTGGCACAGACACAAAACCGCGGTCTTCATTGGTCTTCCTGGTCCCTGCTCCTGGGCCATCATTGGTCCATGGTGATGCTGATCAAATCGATTACATCCAAGGGCAACAGATATGAGAATCCGATTAGATCAACCGAGTAAAATTAGGCTTTTATTTATTTTTTTCGTTGTTGCTGTGAATGCTCATGCAGAATTCAAATCCTGCGTGAATTTTGGGACACCCGATACTTGTCAATACTTGTCAATAGGATAAATACGTAAAAATATATATATATATGAAAACGGTCGTTTCTGAACCTGGGCACCTCGTCCTTCAGGTCGTCCGACCGTCGCGCCCGCCCCCAGCCTCCACGTCCAGTTCGACCCCTGGAGGATGAACTTGACCTGGGCCTGCGGCGACAACACGACCGCCGTCCAGTGCGGGATGTGGACCCGGAAAAGGGGGCCCGTGACCATGAGGGTACGTGGACCCCAAATACGCGCCTTTGGGATCCCTCGCTGGGACCCCGTTAGCTTAGACGCGGGGAGACCACGGAGATGGATTTCAGGAAACACGGCCCTGGCCGGTGTGGCTCAGTGGGTAGAGCGCCGGCCTGCAGGACGGAAGGGTCCCGGGTTCGATTCCCGGTCGAGGGCACAGGCCCGGGTTGTGGGCTCGATCCCCAGTGGGGGGCGTGCAGGAGGCGGCCGGTCCCTGATTCTCTCTCCTCATTGGTGTGTCTCTCTCTCTGAAATTAATATATATAAATAAATAGCCTAATATGCTAATTACACCAGACATCCTTCCGGACGACCTTCCAGATGAAGCCGGGGCTGTGAGAGAAGCCAGGGTCCCGGGTGCCCGAGGGAAGCTGGTGCCGGCAGCTGGGGGAAGGGAGGCCTACCTACTCTTGCACGAATTTCGTGCACTGGGCCTCTAATATACATATATATATTTGTTTATAGTTATATACATTTATATACATTCATATATTTTATATATTTTTATATATTTTATATATTTTTATATATTTTCATATATTTTTATATAATTTTATATTTATATGTATGTATTTTATATATTTTATATATTTTTATGTATTTTCATATATTTTATATACTTTTCTATTTATATGTATGTATTTTATATATTTATATATTTTTATGTATTTTCATATATTTTATATACTTTTCTATTTATATGTATATATTTTATATATTTTATATATTTTTATATATTTCATATATTTTATATACTTTTCTATTTATATGTATATATTTTATATATTTTATATATTTTTATATATTTTCATATATTTTATATACTTTTCTATTTATATGTATATATTTTATATATTTTATATATTTTTATATATTTTCATATATTTTATATACTTTTCTATTTACATGTATATATTTTATATATTTATATATTTTTATATATTTTCATATATTTTTATATATTTTCATATATTTTTATATATTTTCATATATTTTTATATATTTTCATATATTTCACATACTTTTCTATTTATATGTATATATTTTATATATTTATATATTTATATATTTTATATATTTTTATATATTTTTATATATTTTAATATATTTTATATACTTTTCTATTTATATGTATATATTTTATATATTTTATATATTTTTGTATATTTTCATATATTTTTATATATTTTCATATATTTTATATATTTTTATACTTTTATATTTATATGTATATATTTTATATATTTATATATTTATATGTATATATTTTTATATATTTTATATATTTTATATATTTTTATGTATTTTCATATATTTCATATATTTTCATATATTTTTATATCCTTTTATATATACAATATTTTTAAGGGGGTTTCTGGTGACATGACCTTGATCTGACCTTCTCCCCTCGCCCGCCCATCCATCTGCCTTCCCCCGCCCCCCAAGGTGTCACGCGGACCCCGCCCACAGAAGGAACACGGGTGGGGAACAGATTTTACGCCGGGAGCCGGGAGCCGGGAGCCGGGAGCCGGGAGCCGGGGGCGCCCCGGTCCTCACTCCCGGGGACCTGGGTCTTTTAGCTCCAGAAGCTCCGCTGCCACTGCGCGTTCCCCGCCGCCGTCCTCCACCAGGGGGCGACCTTCTCCGTCACCGCAAACGTGGGCCCCAGACCCGTCACCGAGGAGCTGGACTTCGCCAACCCGGGTAGGAGGCGCGTGGCCCCGGGGCCGGTGTCCACCCCGTGTCCATCGAACGTGACACCCCCGCGCCTGCCCCCCCCCCGACTCCCCAGGGCCCGGCCGGTGTGGCTCAGTGGTTAGCGTCCACCTAGGCACCAGGAGGTCTTGGGTTCGGTTCCCGGTCAAGGGCACGGACCTGGGTTTCGGGTTCGATCCCCGGCCCTGGACCGGGCATGTGCGGGTGGCAACCGTTCAACGGGTCTCTCTCTCGCATCCATGTTTCTCTCTCTGTCTCACCCCCCCCCTTCTCCCCCTTCGGTCCCCCTTCCACTCTCTCTAGAAATCAGTGAACACACACATCCAGAGGAAAGGATGAAACCCAAGTGTTTCGCCCTGGCCGGTGTGGCTCAGTGGATGGAGCATCAGCCCTCGGACTGAAGGGTCCCGAGTTCGATTCCCGCTCAAGGGCACATGCCCGGGTTGTGGGTTCCATTCCCCAGCGGGGGGCGTGCAGGAGGCAGCCGGTCCATGATTCTCTCTCATCATGGATGTTTCTATGTCTCTATCTCTCTCCCTTCCTCTTTGAAATCAATAATAAATCTATATCTATATCTATATCTATAATATCTATTCTATATCTATATATCATCTATACCTATACCTATATCTATATCTATATCTATATCTAAATCTATATCTATATCTATATCTATATCTATATCTATATCTATATGTATATCTATATCATCTATATCTGTATCTAAATCTATATCTATATCTATATCTATATCTATATCTATATCTATATCATCTATATCTATATCTATATCTATATCTATATATATATGTATCTATATATATATGTATCTATATCTATATCTATATCTATATCTATATCTATATCATCTATATCTATATCTATATCTATATGTATCTATATCTATATCTATATCTATAGCTATATCTATATCTATCTATATCTATATCTATATGTATCTATATCTATATCTATATCTATATCTATATCTATATCTATATCTATATCTGTATCTGTATCTATATCTACATCTATATCTATATCTATAAGTATCTATATCTATATCAATATCTATATATCTATCTATATCTAATCTATATCTATATCTATATCTATATCTATACCTATATCTATATCTATATAGATATATAGATAGATAGATATTTATATATTTATATATTTATATATAATATATATTTATACACATATAAAATATATATAAAATTTTCAATCAATGGAAAAAATATCCTCAGGTGAGGATTAGCCACAACAAACCAAATAAAAAAAAATTTATCTTTAACAAGAAAATGTTAAAAAAAAAAAAAAAGTCCCAGATTTCATTTCCTTTGAATCTATGTTCCCAGAAGTGAAGCTGCAGAACCACAGGCCGGTTCTATTTTGAAGATTTTGCGGAACAGCCTTGTTCTCCATCCTGACGACACGCATTCGCATTTCCATAAACTGTCCACGCAGGTTCCCTTTTCTCCGTATCTTCGCTAAAACACCTCACCGCTTCCTTTTTTTTAAAAAAAAATATATATTGCCCTGACCCGTGTGGCTCAGTGGATAGAGCGTCGGCCTGCGGACTGAAGGGTCCCGGGTTCGAATCCAGCCAAGGGCATGGACCTGGGTGGCGGGCACATCCCCAGTGGGGGGTGTGCAGGAGGCAGCTGATCGATGTTTCTGACTTTCTATCCCTCTCCCTTCCTCTCTGCAAAAAAATCAATAAAATATATTTTAAAAATATATATATATCGTTCCTTGTCTCTGCCCAGGTGGGCAGGGCACAGCGGCCCGCAACGTCTCGTGCCTCATCTACCGGGCGGATTTCATGAACTGCACGTGGGCCAGGGGTCCGGCCGCCCCGGAAAACGTCCAGTACTTTCTGCACATCAGAGACCTGCAGTAAGTGACATGCATCCATTTTCACAAAAACGTAGGGTTTTTTTTGTTTTAAATATATTTTATTGATTTTTTTTTTTACCGAGAGGAAGGAAGAGGGATGGAGACTTAAAAACATCGATGAGAGAGAAGCATCGATCGGCCGCCTCCTGCACGCCCCCCACTGGGGATGTGCCCGCAACCAAGGTGCATGCCCTTGGCTGGATTCGAACCCGGGACCCTTCAGTCCGCAGGCCGAGGCTCCAGGGCGAGTCCAGCCGGTCTGCTGGACTCCAACAACAAGCTAACCTACCGGTCAAAGCATCCGCCCCCTGGTGGTCAGTGGACGTCATAATGACTGGTCGACTGTGACCCCTGGTGGTCAGTGACCATCATAGCAACTGATTAATCTGTCGACTGCCTGCCCCCTGGTGGTCAGTGCCCGTCATAGCAACTGATTAATCTGTCGACTGTCTGCCCCCTGGTGGTCAGTGCGCGTCATAGCAACTGAATAATCTGTCGACTGTCTGCCCCCTGGTGGTCAGTGCGCATCATAGCAACTGAATAATCTGTCAACAGTCTTCCCCCTGGTGGTCATTGCCCATCATAGCAACTGATTAATCTGTCAACAGTCTTCCCCCTGGTGGTCATTGCCCATCATAGCAACTGATTAATCTGTCGACTGTCTGCCCTCTGGTGGTCAGTGGACGTCATAGCAACTGATTAATCTGTCGACTGCCTGCCCCCTGGTGGTCAGTGCCCGTCATAGCAACTGATTAATCTGTCTACTGTCTGCCCCCTGGTGGTCAGTGCCCGTCATAGCAACTGATTAATCTGTCGACTGTCTGCCCCCTGGTGGTCAGTGCACGTCATAGCAACTGATTAATCTGTCAACTGCCCCCTGGTGGTCAGTGTCCGTCATAGCAACTAATCTGTCGACTGCCCCCTGGTGGTCAGTGTCCGTCATAGCAACTGATTAATCTGTCATCGACTGCCCCCTGGTGGTCATTGCCCGTCATAGCGACTAATTAATCTGTCATCTGTCTGCCCCCAGGTGGTCAGTGTCCATCATAACAACTGATTAATCTGTCGACTGCCTGCCCCCTGGTGGTCAGTGCTCATCATAGCAACTGATTAATCTGTCGACTGTCTGCCCCCTGGTGGTCAGTGCGCATCATAGCAACTGATTAATCTGTCGACTGCCTGCCCCCTGGTGGTCAGTGCGCATCATAGCAACTGATTAATCTGTCGACTGCCTGCCCCCTGGTGGTCAGTGCCCGTCATAGCAACTGATTATTCTGTCGACTGCCTGCCCCCTGGTGGTCAGTGCCCGTCATAGCGACTGATTAATCTGTCGACTGCCCCCTGGTGGTCAGTGCCCGTCATAGCAACTGATTAATCTGTCGACTGTCTGCCCCCTGGTGGACAGTGTTCATCATAGCAACTGATTAATCTGTCGACTGTCTGCCCCCTGGTGGTCAGTGCACGTCATAGCGACTGATTAATCTGTCGACTGTCTGCCCCCTGGTGGTCAGTGCACGTCATAGTGACTGATTAATCTGTCGACTGTCTGCCCCCTGGTGGTCAGTGCTCATCATAGCAACTGATTAATCTGTCGACTCTCTGCCCCCTGGTGGTCAGTGCCCGTCATAGCGACTGATTAATCTGTCGACTGTCTGCCCCCTGGTGGTCAGTGCCCGTCATAGCAACTGATTAATCTGTCGACTGTCTGCCCCCTGGTGGTCAGTGCCCGTCATAGCAACTGATTAATCTGTCGACAGTCTGCCCTCTGGTGGTCAGTGCACGTCATAGCGACTGATTAATCTGTTGACTGTCTGCCCCCTGGTGGTCAGTGTGCATCATAGCAACTGATTAATCTGTCGACTGTCTGCCCCCTGGTGGTCAGTGCGCATCATAGCAACTGATTAATCTGTCGACTGACTGCCCCCTGGTGGTCAGTGCGCATCATAGCAACTGATTAATCTGTCGACTGCCTGCCCCCTGGTGGTCAGTGCCCGTCATAGCAACTGATTATTCTGTCGACTGCCTGCCCCCTGGTGGTCAGTGCCCGTCATAGCGACTGATTAATCTGTCGACTGCCCCCTGGTGGTCAGTGCCCGTCATAGCAACTGATTAATCTGTCGACTGTCTGCCCCCTGGTGGACAGTGTTCATCATAGCAACTGATTAATCTGTCGACTGTCTGCCCCCTGGTGGTCAGTGCACGTCATAGCGACTGATTAATCTGTCGACTGTCTGCCCCCTGGTGGTCAGTGCACGTCATAGTGACTGATTAATCTGTCGACTGTCTGCCCCCTGGTGGTCAGTGCTCATCATAGCAACTGATTACTCTGTCGACTCTCTGCCCCCTGGTGGTCAGTGCCCGTCATAGCGACTGATTAATCTGTCGACTGTCTGCCCCCTGGTGGTCAGTGCCCGTCATAGCTACTGATTAATCTGTCGACTGTCTGCCCCCTGGTGGTCAGTGCCCGTCATAGCAACTGATTAATCTGTCGACAGTCTGCCCTCTGGTGGTCAGTGCACGTCATAGCGACTGATTAATCTGTTGACTGTCTGCCCCCTGGTGGTCAGTGTGCATCATAGCAACTGATTAATCTGTCGACTGTCTGCCCCCTGGTGGTCAGTGCCCGTCATAGCGACTGATTAATCTGTCGACTGCCCCCTGGTGGTCAGTGCCCGTCATAGCAACTGATTAATCTGTCGACTGTCTTCCCCCTGGTGGTCAGTGTTCATCATAGCAACTGATTAATCTCTCGACTGCCCCCTGGTGGTCAGTGCACGTCATAGCGACTGATTAATCTGTCGACTCTCTGCCCCCTGGTGGTCAGTGTCCATCATAGCAACTGATTAATCTGTCGATTGTCTGCCCCCTGGTGGTCAGTGCACATCATAGCAACTGATTAATCTGTCGATTGTCTGCCCCCTGGTGGTCAGTGTCCGTCATAGCAACTGATTAATGTGTCAACTCTCTGCCCCCTGGTGGTCAGTGCCCGTCGTAGCGACTGATTAATCTGTTGACTGTCTGCCCCCTGGTGGTCAGTGCCCGTCATAGCGACTTGTGGAACAGCAAGACATTTAGCCTATTAGGCTTTTATATAGAGAGATGATGTATAACAGGATATTGTGAAAATTAAGTTACGAAATCTTTACGATAGCGTGTCTTCTCTACAGCTCTTGGCTGGGCCCCAAACGTATTGGTTGTGGGCCGCACGCAGCCCGCGGGCTGCGAGTTTGACACGCTTGATGTACAGGAAGCATCAAGCTCACAGAAACAACGGTGAGAAATGCCAACGTCCTCATGTTGCCCCAATATCTTGGCCTCTTGCAGGTCAGGGAGCACGAGGGAATGTCCCTATTACCTGAGAGACGCAAAGGCCACCCACGTGGGATGTCACCTCCAAGGGGCCACGGAATTCCGTTCGGAGATTTACATCCTCGTCAACGGCACCAGTCCCAGCGCAGGCATCCAGTTCTTCGACGATAGGTTGATATTAAAGACAATAGGTAAGGCCCTGGCTGGTGGGGCTCAGTGGATAGAGCGTCGGCCTGAGGACTGATGGGTCCCAGGTTCGATTCCAGGTCCAGGGCACAGGCCCTGGTTGGGGGCTCGGTCCCCAGTCAGGGGCGTGCAGGTGGCAGCCGATCCGTGATTCTCTCTCCTCATGGATGTTTCTATCTCTCTCTCCCTCTCTTTGAAATCAATTCTATATAATAAAAGGCTAATACGTAAATTCTCCCTTCACAGGGAGTTCAACCGGGAGTTCGACCAGGGGGTGGGGCGGCCAGCCATCCTCCTGCATCCCCTCCCCCTCGCCGGCCCAGCCCGATCGGCCCCAAATGGGGCAGGCCAGCCTCACCCCCATTCTGTGCAGAAATTTGTGCACCAGGCCTCTAGTGAAAATATATTTAAAAAAATAAATAAAATATCCATTCACAAAATGCCTTTGCTGCCAATGAATTTGTAAAATAAAAGACACTAGTTAAGAACCAGGATGTGTGATTGAACCACTGCTTGTATATATACTAGAGGCCCGGTGCATGAAATTCGTGCACTGGTACGGTTCCTAGCAGCTGCCAGCTGCTGGCTGGGGATGCCCTCCCTTTTCGCGGCTGGCCCTGCCCCCTGGTCGAACTCATGGATGACCTCCCAATTTGCATACTATGCTTTTATTATATAGGAATATCAAAGCCCAATTTGCTTTGAAATCTGCAGAAGGTTCCTGGGGGGCTTAGAACACTAAAAATGTATCTTCTCATCATCCTGGAGACCAGGCGTCTGAGATCCAGGGGTCCCAGGGCCATGATCCCTCCTGTCGACCTGGAGACCGGGTGTCCCAGGGCCCAGCTCCCTCCTGTCGATCCTGGAGACGGGGTGTCCCAGGGCCCCACTCCTTCCTGTAGATCCTGGAGACTGGGTGTCCCAGGGCCCTGCTCCCTCTGGAGGTGCCATGGAGGGTCCCCCCGTCTCCCCCAGCGCCTGGGGCTCCAAATGTCCCTGGATGGTCCTCCAGGCTCTCACCTTCTGGGTCTGACCTCCTGGGTTTCAATTCCCAGGTCTCCCCTTCAGGTTGTCCCCTCTGAGGGTCTCACAGGAGACACCCCAGCTCACGGGGCACACCCCGGTCTCTCCTCCCAGAAATCTATGACCCCCCTGGCAACATCACCGTCCACTGCAACGCCTCCACGTGCCTCGTCCAGTGGGACACCCCCAGGATCCGCGTGTTCCTGTCCAACTTGGAGATGGAGTACCAGCTGGACATCCACAGACAGGTGGGTGAGGGCCACTGCACGCTGGACAGTGTATGACCGAGAGCTGCAGGGCCCTGGACCCCAGAGAGCTGGAGGGCACCCCCAGGGCCCTGTGGGAGGGTCTGGGACCCAGGAAGGGGAGGGGACACTGCTGGGATGCAGGTTGGTAGGGCAGAGGTGGGGAGAGGTGGCCCTAGGGTGAGGAGCACCCCAATAACAGCTCCAACGAGAGAGACACAGCTCCAAGCATCCATGAAAGTCCTCACGGTGATGGTGGCGAGGCAGACGCAGAAAGAGGAACTTGACGACCAATAGTTACATTTCTTTATGGACACAGTGTAGACGAGGAAAGACCAATAGTTATACGTCCACCTGGACCCCGGGTAGAAGAGGAAAGACCAATAGTTATACGTCCACCTGGACCCTGTGTAGACGAGGAAAGACCAATAGTTATACGTCCACCTGGACCCCGGGTAGAAGAGGAAAGACCAATAGTTATACGTCCACCTGGACCCAGTGTAGACGAGGAAAGACCAATAGTTATACGTCCAACTGACCCCAGTGTAGACGAGGAAAGACCAATAGTTATACGTCCACCTGGACTCAGTGTAGACGAGGGAAGAACAATAGTTATACGTCCACCTGACCCCAGTGTAGACGAGGAAAGACCAATAGTTATACGTCCACCTGACCCCAGTGTAGACGAGGAAAGACCAATAGTTATATGTCCACCTGCACCCAGTGTAGACGAGGAAAGACCAATAGTTATACGTCCACCTGGACCCAGTGTGACGAGGAAAGACCAATAGTTATACGTCCACCTGGATTCAGTGTAGACGAGGAAAGACCAATAGTTATACGTCCACCTGGATTCAGTGTAGACAAGGAAAGACCAATAGGTATACGTCCACCTGAACCCAGTGTAGACGAGGAAAGACCAATAGTTATACGTCCACCTGAACCCAGTGTAGATGAGGAAAGACCAATAGTTATACGTCCACCTGGACTCAGTGTAGACGAGGAAAGACCAATAGTTATACGTCCACCTGGACCCAGTGTGACGAGGAAAGACCAATAGTTATACGTCCACCTGGATTCAGTGTAGACGAGGAAAGACCAATAGTTATACGTCCACCTGGATTCAGTGTAGACAAGGAAAGACCAATAGGTATACGTCCACCTGAACCCAGTGGAGGCGAGGAAAGACCAATAGTTATACGTCCACCTGGACCCAGTGTAGACGAGGAAAGACCAATAGTTATACGTCCACCTGGACCCAGTGTAGACAAGGAAAGACCAATAGTTATACGTCCACCTGGACCCAGTGTAGACGAGGAAAGACCAATAGTTATACGTCCACCTGGACCCAGTGTAGACGAGGAAAGACCAATAGTTATACGTCCACCTGGATTCAGTGTAGACTAGGAAAGACCAATAGTTATACGTCCACCTGGACCCAGTGTAGACGAGGAAAGACCAATAGTTATACGTCCACCTGGATTCAGTGTAGACGAGGAAAGACCAATAGTTATACGTCCACCTGGATTCAGTGGAGACGAGGAAAGACCAATAGTTATACGTCCATCTGGACCCAGTGGAGACGAGGAAAGACCAATAGTTATACGTCCATCTGGACCCAGTGTAGACGAGGAAAGACCAATAGTTATACGTCCACCTGGACCCAGTGGAGACGAGGAAAGACCAATAGTTATACGTCCATCTGGACCCAGTGTAGACGAGGAAAGACCAATAGTTATACGTCCACCTGGACCCAGTGTGACGAGGAAAGACCAATAGGTATACGTCCACCTGGACCCAGTGTAGACGAGGAAAGACCAATAGTTATAAGTCCACCTGGACCCAGTGTAGACGAGGAAAGACCAATAGGTATACGTCCACCTGGACCCAGTGTAGACGAGGAAAGACCAATAGTTATACGTCCACCTGGATTCAGTGTAGACTAGGAAAGACCAATAGTTATACGTCCACCTGGACTCAGTGTAGACGAGGAAAGACCAATAGTTATACGTCCACCTGGACCCAGTGTAGACGAGGAAAGACCAATAGTTATACGTCCACCTGGATTCAGTGTAGACGAGGAAAGACCAATAGTTATACGTCCACCTGGATTCAGTGTAGACGAGGAAAGACCAATAGTTATACGTCCACCTGGATTCAGTGTAGACAAGGAAAGACCAATAGTTATACGTCCACCTGGACCCAGTGGAGACGAGGAAAGACCAATAGTTATACGTCCACCTGGACCCAGTGTAGACGAGGAAAGACCAATAGTTATACGTCCACCTGGACCCAGTGTAGACGGGGAAAGACCAGTAGTTATACGTCCACCTGGATTCAGTGTAGACGAGGAAAGACCAATAGTTATAGGTCCACCTGGACCCAGTGTCGACGAGGAAAGACCAATAGTTATACGTCCACCTGGACCCAGTGTGACGAGGAAAGACCAATAGTTATACGTCCACCTGGACTCAGTGTAGACGAGGAAAGACCAATAGTTATACGTCCACCTGGACCCAGTGTAGATGAGGAAAGACCAATAGTTATACGTCCACCTGTACCCAGTGTAGATGAGGAAAGACCAATAGTTATACGTCCACCTGCCCCCAGTGTAGACGAGGAAAGACCAATAGTTATACGTCCACCTGGACCCAGTGTAGATGAGGAAAGACCAATAGTTATACGTCCACCTGGACCTAGTGTAGACGAGGAAAGACCAATAGTTATACGTCCACCTGGACCCAGTGTAGACGAGGAAAGACCAATAGTTGTACGTCCAACTGGAGCCAGTGTAGACGAGGAAAGACCAATAGTTATACGTCCGCCTGGACCCAGTGTAGACGAGGAAAGACCAATAGTTGTACGTCCACCTGGACCCAGTGTAGACGAGGAAAGACCAATAGTTATACGTCCACCTGGACTCAGTGTAGACAGGGAAAGACCAATAGTTATACGTCCACTGGGACCCAGTGTAGACGAGGAAAGACCAATAGTTATACGTCCACCTGGACTCAGTGTAGACGAGGAAAGACCAATAGTTATACGTCCACCGGGACCCAGTGTAGCCGAGGAAAGACCAATAGTTATACGTCCACCTGGACCCAGTGTAGAAGAGGAAAGACCAATAGTTATACGTCCACCTGGACCCAGTGTAGACGAGGAAAGACCAATAGTTATACGTCCACCTGGATCCAGTGTAGACGAGGAAAGACCAATAGTTATACCACCACCTGCCCGCAGTGTAGACGGGGAAAGACCAATAGTTATACCACCACCTGCCCCCAGTGTAGACGGGGAAAGACCAATAGTTATACGTCCACCTGGACCCAGTGTAGACGAGGAAAGACCAATAGTTATACCTCCACCTGGACTCAGTGTAGACGAGGAAAGACCAACAGTTATACGTCCACCTGGACCCAGTGTAGACGAGGAAAGACCAATAGTTATACGTCCACCTGGACCCCGGGTAGAAGAGGAATGACCAATAGTTATACGTCCACCTGGACCCGGTGTAGACGAGGAAAGACCAATAGTTATACGTCCACCTGGCCCCCGGGTAGAAGAGGAAAGACCAATAGTTATACGTCCACCTGGACCCGGTGTAGACGAGGAAAGACCAATAGTTATACGTCCAACTGACCCCAGTGTAGACGAGGAAAGACCAATAGTTATACGTCCACCTGGACTCAGTGTAGACGAGGGAAGAACAATAGTTATACGTCCACCTGACCCCAGTGTAGACGAGGAAAGACCAATAGTTATACGTCCACCTGACCCCAGTGTAGACGAGGAAAGACCAATAGTTATATGTCCACCTGAACCCAGTGTAGACGAGGAAAGACCAATAGTTATACGTCCACCTGGACTCAGTGTAGACGAGGAAAGACCAATAGTTATACGTCCACCTGGACCCAGTGTGACGAGGAAAGACCAAGAGTTATACGTCCACCTGGACTCAGTGTAGACGAGGAAAGACCAATAGTTATACGTCCACCTGGACCCAGTGTAGACGAGGAAAGACCAATAGTTATACGTCCACCTGTACCCAGTGTAGATGAGGAAAGACCAATAGTTATACGTCCACCTGCCCCCAGTGTAGACGAGGAAAGACCAATAGTTATACGTCCACCTGGACCCAGTGTAGCCGAGGAAAGACCAATAGTTATACGTCCACCTGGACTCAGTGTAGACAGGGAAAGACCAATAGTTATACGTCCACTGGGACCCAGTGTAGACGAGGAAAGACCAATAGTTATACGTCCACCTGGACTCAGTGTAGACGAGGAAAGACCAATAGTTATACGTCCACCGGGACCCAGTGTAGACGAGGAAAGACCAATAGTTATACGTCCACCTGGACCCAGTGTAGAAGAGGAAAGACCAATAGTTATACGTCCACCTGGACCCAGTGTAGACGAGGAAAGACCAATAGTTATACGTCCACCTGGATCCAGTGTAGACGAGGAAAGACCAATAGTTATACCACCACCTGCCCGCAGTGTAGACGGGGAAAGACCAATAGTTATACCACCACCTGCCCCCAGTGTAGACGGGGAAAGACCAATAGTTATACGTCCACCTGGATCCAGTGTAGACGAGGAAAGACCAATAGTTATACCTCCACCTGGACTCAGTGTAGACGAGGAAAGACCAATAGTTATACGTCCACCTGGACCCAGTGTAGATGAGGAAAGACCAATAGTTATACGTCCACCTGGACCCAGTGTGACGAGGAAAGACCAATAGTTATACGTCCACCTGGACCCAGTGTAGACGAGGAAAGACCAATAGTTATACGTCCACCTGGACCCAGTGTAGACGAGGAAAGAGCAATAGTTATACGTCCACCTGGACCCAGTGTAGACGAGGAAAGACCAATAGTTATACGTCCACCTGCCCCCAGTGAAGACGAGGAAAGACCAATAGTTATACGTACACCTGGACCCGGAGTAGACGAGGAAAGACCAATAGTTATACGTCCACCTGGACCCAGTGTAGACGAGGAAAGACCAATAGTTATACGTCCACCTGCCCCCAGTGAAGACGAGGCAAGACCAATAGTTATACGTCCACCTGGACCCGGAGTAGACGAGGAAAGACCAATAGTTATACGTCCACCTGGACTCAGTGTAGACGAGGAAAGACCAATAGTTATACGTCCACCTGGACTCAGTGTAGACGAGGAAAGACCAATAGTTATACGTCCACCTGGACTCAGTGTAGACGAGGAAAGACCAATAGTTATACGTCACCTTGACCCAGTGTAGATAAGGAAAGGCCAATAGTTATACGTCCACCTGGACCCAGTGTAGACGAGGAAAGACCAATAGTTATACGTCCACCTGGACCCAGTGTAGACAAGGAAAGGCCAATAGTTATACGTCCACCTGGAGCCAGTGTAGACGAGGAAAGACCAATAGTTACAGTCCACCTGGACCCATGTAGACGATGAAAGACCAATAGTTATACGTCCACCTGGACCCAGTGTAGACGATGAAAGAGCAATAGTTATACGTCTAACTGGACCCAGTGTAGACGAGGAAAGACCAATAGTTATACATCCACCTGGACCCAGTGTAGACGAGGAAAGACCAATAGTTATAAGTCTACCTGGACCCAGTGTAGACGAGGAAAAACCAATAGTTATACGTCCACCTCGACCCAGTGTAGACGAGGAAAGAGCAATAGTTATACGTCCACCTGGATTCAGTGTAGACGAGGAAAGACCAATAGTTATACGTCCACCTGGACCCAGTGTAGACGAGGAAAGACCAATAGTTATACGTCCACCTGGACCCAGTGTAGACGAGGAAAGACCAATAGTTATACGTCTACCTGGACCCAGTGTAGACGAGGAAAGACCAATAGTTATACGTCCACCTGGACCCAGTGTAGACGAGGAAAGAGCAATAGTTATACGTCTACCTGGACCCAGTGTAGACGAGGAAAGACCAATAGTTATACGTCCACCTGGACCCAGTGTAGACGAGGAAAGACCAATAGTTATACGTCTACCTGGACCCAGTGTAGTCGAGGAAAGACCAATAGTTATACGTCCACCTGGACCCAGTGTAGACGAGGAAAGACCAATAGTTATAAGTCCACCTGGACCCAGTGTAGACAGGGAAAGACCAATAGTTATAAGTCCACCTGGACCCAGTGTAGACGAGGAAAGACCAATAGTTATACGTCCATCTGACCCCAGTGTAGACAAGGAAAGACCAATAGTTATACGTCCACCTGGACCCAGTGTAGACGGGGAAAGACCAATAGTTATATGTCCACCTGGACCCAGTGTAGACGAGGAAAGACCAATAGTTATACATCCACCAGGACCCAGTGTAGACGAGGAAAGAACAATAGTTATACGTCCACCTGGACCCATGTAGACGAGGAAAGACCAATAGTTATACGTCCACCTGGACCCAGAGTGGACGAGGAAAGAACAATAGTTATACGTCCACCTTGACCCAGTGTAGACGAGGAAAGACCAATAGTTATACATCCACCTGGGCCCATGTAGACGAGGAAAGACCAATAGTTATAAGTCCACCTGGACCCAGTGTAGACAGGAAAGACCAATAGTTATAAGTCCACCTGGACCCAGTGTAGACGAGGAAAGACCAATAGTTATAAGTCCACCTGGATCCAGTATAGAACAGGAAAGACCAATAGTTATACGTCCACCTGGACCCAGTGTAGACGAGGAAAGAACAATAGTTATACGTCCACCTGCCCCCAGTGTAGACGAGGAAAGAGTAATAGTTATACGTCCACCTAGATTCAGTGTAGACGAGGAAAGACCAATAGTTATACGTCCACCTGGATTCAGTGTAGACGAGGAAAGACCAATAGTTATACGTCCACCTGGACCCAGTGTAGACGAGGAAAGACCAATAGTTATACGTCCACCTGGACCCAGTGTAGACGAGGAAAGACCAATAGTTATACGTCCACCTGGGCACAGTGTAGACGAGGAAAGACCAATAGTTATACGTCCACCTGGACCCAGTGTGACGAGGAAAGACCAATAGTTATACGTCCACCTGGACTCAGTGTAGACGAGGAAAGACCAATAGTTATACGTCCACCTGACCCCAGTGTAGACGAGGAAAGACCAATAGTTATACGTCCACCTGGACCCAGTGTAGACAGGGAAAGACCAATAGTTATACGTCCACCTGGACCCAGTGTAGACGAGGAAAGACCAATAGTTATACGTCCACCTGGACCCAGTGTAGACGAGGAAAGACCAATAGTTATACATCCACCTGCCCCCAGTGTAGACGAGGAATGACCAATAGTTATACGTCCACCTGGACCCAGTATAGACAAGGAAAGACCAATAGTTATACGTCCACCTGCCCCCAGTGTAGACGAGGAAAGACCAATAGTTATACGTCCACCTGGCCCCAGTGTAGACGAGGAAAGACCAATAGTTATACGTCCACCTGGACCCAGTGTAGACGAGGAAAGACCAATAGTTATACGTCCACCTGCCCCCAGTGTAGACGAGGAAAGACCAATAGTTATACGTCCACCTGGACCCAGTATAGACAAGGAAAGACCAATAGTTATACGTCCACCTGACCCCAGTGTAGACGAGGACAGACCAATAGTTATACGTCCACCTGCCCCCAGTGTAGACGAGGAAAGACCAATAGTTATACGTCCACCTGGACCCAGTGTAGACGGGGAAAGACCAATAGTTATACGTCCACCTGGGCCAGTGTAGACGAGGAAAGACCAATAGTTATACGTCCACCTGGACCCAGTGTAGACGAGGAAAGACCAATAGTTATATGTCCACCTGAACCCAGTGTAGACGATGGGAAGTTCTGGGCTCCATGTCCACCTGGATTTAACGAGGATCCATGTCCACCTGTTGGGGATCCAGACGAATAAAGGATTGGTTTGCGGGGCCCACATCCGTCCCTCTTCCTGTGTCACCTCCAGGTTAGCAGAGCTCACAAGGTCACTGGCCCACCCATAGGTAGTTTTCTCCCTCAAAGTGCAGAACGGACGACACTTTAGCAGAAAAATAAATGTTACAATGGTGAAAAGTAAACCTATTCTGTTTTGTTTGTTTGTGGCTTTTTTTGTTCGTTTGTTTGTTTCTCCAGAACAGTATGCAGCCCAGTGACCATCAGCTGGTGAGTGAAGATTCTGAGCCCAAATCCCGCCCCTTCTTGGAGCTTCATCTAGTCCCCATCTTGTCGGAAATGTAGGGACCCTTCCCATAGTCGTTCCTGGGGGCCTGAGCGGGGTGTCCTCTGGGCTCACGTTGAGATGAGTTATTACAACCCTGAGATCTTTTTAAAAATCTATGTTTACTAGAGTCCAGGTGCATGAATTCGTGCACCAGTGGGGGGTACCTCGGCCTGGCCTGCGGGATGGGGCCGGAACCGGCTCTCCGACATCCCCCGAGGGGTCCCGGATGGCGAGAGGGTGCAGGCCAGGCCAAGGGACCCCACGGGTGCACAATCGGGGCCAGGGAGGGACGCAGGACGCTGTCCGGCCCGTATCGCTCAGTCCCGATAGGCCAGACCCCAGCAGCAAACTAACTTACCGATCAGTGTGTCTGCCCCCTGGTGGTCAGTGCACGTCATAGCGACTGGTCGACCAGTCGACTGTCTGCCCCCTGGTGGTCAGTGCACGTCATAGCGACTGGTCGACCAATCGACTGTCTGACCCCTGGTGGTCAGTGCACCTCATAGCGACTGGTCGACCAGTCGACTGTCTGCACCCTGGTGGTCAGTGCACGTCATAGCGACTGGTCAACCCGTCGACTGTCTGCCCCCTGGTGGTCAGTGCACGTCATAGCAAGCAGTTGAGCGGCCTTAGCATATCATTAGCATATTACGCTTTGATTGATTGAATGGCCAACTGGTCGAACACACACTTAGCATGTTAAGCTTTTAATCTTTAGGATAATAATAATAATAATAATAATAATAATGAAAATAAAACACATCCCCACCTTTTTTTTTTTTTGCTAAACCGACATGACATCTCTATCTCTCTCTTCTCCCCAAAGGTGGAGGTATCTGGTGGCCAGGGAAATCAATACACGTTTCCAAAACCACTGCCCAGAGCCAAGCACACCGTGCGAATGCGGGCGGCCGACTCCCGGGTCCTGGAGTGGGGTCCCTGGAGCCAGCCCGTGGAGTTTGGTACGTATCCCCCCCGAGAAGGGGGGTTCCCGACCCCGAATTGATCTGAGTCATTCCAGGAGCGAGGACCCGTGCATTTTGCCTCCCTGAAACTTTATGGAGGCTCATGAGGCCGGCCGGTGTGGCTCAGTGGTTGAGCATCCACCTATGAACCAGGGGGTCACGGGTTCGAGTCCCGGTTCAAGGGCACATGCCCGGGTTGCGGGCTCGATCCCCAATGGGGGGCGTGCAGGAGGCGGCCGGTCCATGATTCTCTCTCTCTCATTATGAATATTTCTCTCTCTCTCTCTCCCTTTCCCTTCTTCTTTGAAATCCATAAAAATATATTCTTAAGAACATAAAAGGCTCCCAAACCCAACCACTCCCAGCCCCAAAGGAAGAGACGGACAAGCAGACCTCTTAAAGTCCGTACCCGGCCAGGAAATAACCCCGCCCGATCCCGTCAGACAATCAGCCTGGGTCCCTGGTGAACTGTTCAATGAGGTCTGTTTCAAGCTGTTGTAGGAATTAAATTAGCAACTTCCTGCCCGTGGTTTCCTGCCTGAGACTTTTATTACTTGGCCAGAATTCAGGGGCTTGGACGTCACTGCCACCCTTTTAATTCTTTTTTAATAGAACCTTTGATTTTTTTATATATTTTTTTTATCGATTTCAGAGAAAGGAAGGGAGAGGGAGAGAAATATAGAAACATCGATGATGAGAGAGAATCATGGACCGGCTGCCTCCTGCACGCCCCCAACTGGGGACAGAGCCCGAAACCCGGGCATGTGCCCTTGACCGGGACTCGAACCCGGGACCTCCTGGTTCCTAGGTCGACGCCCAACCACTGAGCCACACTGGCCAGGGCAAGACTGGGATCTTCCCTTTAGAGCAGCGGTTCTCAACCTTCCTAAGGCCGCGACCCTTGAACACAGCTCCCCATGCTGTGGGGACCCCCAACCATAACATTATTCTCGTGGCTGCGTCATCGCCGTCATGTGGCTGCTGTTATGAGTCGTCATGGAAACTTCTGATCTGCAGGATGGATTCTCATGGTGATAGATTGAATGTCATGAAAGCTCAGGGATCAATCACAAAAACAATATGCGATTATAGGTGTGTTTTCCGACGGTCTGAGGCGACCCCTGGGAAAGGGGCGTTCGACCCCCTAAAGGGCCGCGACCCACAGGTTGAGAACCGCTGATTTTGCCAGTATCTCCCTGCCCGTCTGGGTATCTCTTCGTGGCCGTGAACTCGCCAGGGGGGGAGGGGTTGTTCACCCCACGGGGGTACCTGACCCGCCCCCCCCCTCTCTCTCTCTCTCTGTCCCCAGGCTCCGAAGAATGGCTGTCCACCGCGGCGTTTGTCTCCATGGTCATGCTGGGCACCCTCGCCTGCGCCTTGGTCTTCCTCTACCTTTTCTACAGGTAAACCCCAAGCCCTGGCCGGTGTGGCCCAGTGGTTAGAGCGCCGGTGGCCGCGGGTTTGGTTCCCAGCCGGGGACACGGACCTGATGAAAGAGAGACGGGGGGTGGGGGGGGGAGAGACATGTTGATTGGCCGCCTTTCCGCATGGGCTCCCACCGGGGCCCGGGGATCAAACCGGAAACCCAGATACGGGCCCTCGACCAGGAATGAAACCTGTGACCCTTTGGTGGGCAGGCCGACGCGCTAACCACTGAGCGCACCCTCTGATTGGTTTGCCTAAATATGAGCAGATCCAATGCGATCTATATCTATATGTAAAATGCTAAGTGACGAACCGTCCGACCGTCCGTCCGACCGTCCGTCCGACCGTCCGTCCGACCGGCCGTCCGACCGGCCGTCTGACCGGCTGGTACATATGACGCGCACTGGCAATTTGAAAATACACGTTGACTCGTGCAGGCGCGATACACATGAAGCTCTCGCTGGCGCCACTCGCACGCGAGGCCAGAATGTATCTGAAGACCAACTACTGGCACCTGGTTGTATCGTGTTGTTGTTGTTTATTTATTAATCAATTTATATATTACTAGAGGCCCGGCGCAACAAATTTGTGCACTGGGTGGGGGGAGGGGGTGTCCCTCAGCCCAGCCTGCACCCTCTCCAATCCAGGACCCCTCAAGGGATGTCCAACTGCCCGTTTAGGCCCGATCCTGCGGGCGATCAGGCTGGCAGGGGAGAGCCGTTGAGGTGATCAGGCAGGCAGAGGGGTTAGGGGCGATCAGGCAGGCAGAGGGGTTAGGTGTGATCAGGCAGGCAGAGGGGTTAGGGGCGATCAGGCAGGCAGAGTGGTTAGGGGCGATCAGGCAGGCAGAGATGGTTAGGGGCGATCAGGCAGGCAGAGGGGTTAGGGGCGATCAGGCAGGCAGAGGTGGTTAGGGGCGATCAGGCAGGCAGGGGGGTTAGGGGAGATCAGGCAGGCAGAGGTGGTTAGGGGCGATCAGGCAGGCAGAGGTGGTTAGGGGCGATCAGGCAGGCAGAGGGGTTAGGGGCGATCAGGCAGGCAGAGTGGTTAGGGGCAATCAGGCAGGCAGAGTGGTTAGGGGCAATCAGGCAGGCAGAGGTGGTTAGGGGCGATCAGGGAGGCAGAGGGGTTAGGGGAGATCAGGCAGGCAGAGGGGTTAGGGGCGATCAGGCAGGCAGAGTGGTTAGGGGTGATCAGGCAGGCAGAGGGGTTAGGGGCGATCAGGCAGGCAGAGTGGTTAGGGGTGATCAGGCAGGCAGAGATGGTTAGGGGCCATCAGGCAGGCAGAGTGGTTAGGGGCGATCAGGCAGGCAGAGTGGTTAGGGGCGATCAGGCAGGCATGCAGAGTGGTTAGGGGTGATCAGGCAGGCAGGCAGAGTGGTTAGGGGCGATCAGGCAGGCAGAGGGGTTAGGGGCGATCAGGCAGGCAGAGGGGTTAGGGGTGATCAGGCAGGCAGAGTGGTTAGGGGCGATCTGGCAGGCAGAGGGGTTAGGGGCGATCAGGCAGGCAGAGGGGTTAGGGGCGATCAGGCAGGCAGAGGGGTTAGGGGCGATCAGGCAGGCAGAGTGGTTAGGGGCGATCGGGCAGGCAGAGGGGTTAGGGGCGATCAGGCTGGTGGGGGAGCAGTTGGGGCGATCAGGCAGGCAGGCAGGTGAGTGGTTAGGAGCCAGCGGTTCCGGATTGCGAGGGGGATGTCCGACTGCCGGTTTAGGCCCGAACCCACTGCAGGATCGGGCCTAAACCGGCAGTCGGACATCCCCCAAGGGGTCCCAGATTGGAGAGGGTGCACGCTGGGCTGAGGGACACACACCCCCTCCCATGTACCAATTTCATGCACCAGGCCTCTAGTCCCGTGGTCGGCAAAGTGCGGCTCGCGAGCCACATGCGGCTCTCTGGCCCCTTGAGTGTGGCTCTTCCTAAGCCTTAGGAGTCCCCCTCATTAAGTTAATAACAATGGACCTGCCTATATAGTTTAAGTTTAAAAAATTCGGCTCTCCAAAGAAATTTCAACCATTGTCCTGTGGATATTTGGCTCTGTTGACTAATGCGTTTGCCGCCCACTGCTCTAGTATATATATATTTAAAATTTAGTAAATTCAAGTCTGGCTAACAGTGCGCCCAGATGTTATTAATTTAATAATAATAAATAACTCACACAAAAATAAAAAAAAAGAAAGAAAGAAACAGAACAAAGAATAATAAATAAGTCACAAAACGGAGGCTGGGCCACACGCGCAGAAGTTTGGGGGGAAGGAGGGACATGGGTCTTATGAGCCCCCAGCCTTTATCACCGAAGACCCTGGACTCCCCACGCCCATCCCTGCCTCTGAGGGTCAGAGTGAAGGTTCTAGAAAGGCCCCCCGTGGTCCCCACACTGGATTCCTCCAGTGCCTTCTAGATTCTGTTTTGTGTAAGTTGAATGGATCCTTGTGTGATGTTTCGATGACATTATTCTGGCTGCAAAAATGCTGCTGGTGGGAGGGGGAAAGGGATATAGTTGCTCAGCCCTGATTGGACAGGGAAGGCCTGAGTCGCCATCTGATTGGACAGGGAAACCGCCAGGCACCATCTGATTGACAGGGAAAGTCTCCTTGGACATCTAGGGGGAACTCCGCCACCTGGGTTCATTCTTCACACTTTTTTTTTTTTTTTTGTCTCACTAGGTTTGTTGGGGTGCCCATTCCTCGCGTCAAAGATAAAGTGAACAATGACTATCTCACCGATGATGAGGTTTGTCCGGGGAAAGGGGTGATCCAGGGTGGAAAGTGGGGGTGTCCAGGGACCCTGCAAATGTCCCACCATCTCCTGCTTGGGTGACCCCTTGAAGGCAGCTACAGGGATGTGGCCGGAATGCTGTGTCCAGCTCTGTGGCCTTGCCTTGGGTTCAGGGGTCAGGTCTTGAGAGACTGAGGGACACACAGACAGTAGGGAGTCTGACTTGACCCCCTGGAGGAGGTGCTAGAAGGGGGTGAAGGGTGACAAAAACCGGGGAGACCCCACCCCATATAGGGACAGGGGCCACTCTCCCTGCGGCCGGGACCACGTCTCTCCACTGTCCTCATAGCAACCAGCTCCCGGCTCGCTCACGCCATTAATGACATGGACATCTCTTGGGTCATTATCCTGAGCCCACACCCTGGGCCCACCCCCCATTCCTGATCCCTGGTTTCCGGGGACCCCCAGCATCCTGTTCGCCTCATGGGGAACCAGGCTGAACCACTTCCCCCATTTTCCTGTCCAAGCTCCAACCTGCCCCAGGACCTTTGCACGTCCCCCGTAGATCTGTTTGGCGTTTCTATCTACAGTCCCCACCCCACCAGCAAATGGGGAATCCTGCAGACCCGACACCCTCATTCATTCTTTTTATTTTTATTTTTTTTCTCTTCCCAGATCATCTGGGAGAAATTTACCCCACCCGCCGGGAAAGGGGACACCGAAGAGATCTTTTCCGTGGAGGAGGTTGAAGAGTCCACGGCAAAGGTGTGAATCTCAGAGGCCTCCAGCTCCCGTGTCCTTTTGGAATCTTTGCGGAATTTTTGTTTTGTTTTGTTTTGTTTGGGGCTGTTTTTTTGGGTTTTTTGGTATTGTTTTCGGATTATTTCTTTTTGTGTGTCGTCGCCCGAAGATATGTTTTCTCAACGGATGTTTATTTTTTTAATTTAAAAATATTTTTTTATTGATCTTTTTAGACGGAGAGGAAGGGAGTGGGAGAGAAACGTTGATGAAAGGAGGGACCTTGTATGCATGTGGATGCGTATCCCCTGGGCATATAGACAATCGTGTGGTGGAGGCCAGGGAGGGGTGGGGTGGTGGGAGGAGGGGCATTGGGGTAAGAAGGTCTGCAATACCTTTCGACAACTAAGATAAATTTTTTACTTTTTATTATTTTTTTAAAATTTTTTTTCATGATTGATTAAGGTATTACATTTGGGTCCTTATCCCCCCCATTCACCCCCCGAACCCCGTAATCATGCCCTCGCCCCTCCGACATCTGTGTCCATTGGTTTGATGGTCTGATCGATGCCGCTTCTGTCCCCGGATCTGTTTTTGTTCATCGGTGTACGTTGTTGACTAGATTCCGCAAATGACTTGAGATCCTGCGATATTTATCTTTCTCCGAACGGGCGTACTTTGCATCGACCGAAAATCATAAAATGTTTTTAAAATCATTAAGAGTTCTTTAAAATCTTATTGTTTTATTTATTCATTATTTTATTATTTATTTTTATAATTTGAATTTCCTATTTTTTTATTTTACTGTGTATATTTTTTAAATTTTATCCTGGGGTGGGGATTGACACAAAATAAATTAAAAAAAAAAAAAAACACCAAAAATATCCTCTGGTTTAAGCAGAGGTTTAAAATAAAATAAATTTTTAAAAAATGCAAGAATATCCTTGGCTGAGCATTAACAAAAATTAAAATTAATTTAAAAAATCCTCAGGTGAGGATTAAGCAAATTAAAATAAAATGAAAATATCCTCGGGTGAGGATTATCAAAAAATAAAATAAGTTTCATAATAATAATAATAAAACAAGAGTCTCCTCAGAGGAGGATTAACAAAAAAAAATAGAGTGAATTACAAAAAATGGAAACTTCCCAGGTGAGGATTAAAAAGATAAATAATTAAACAATTAAATAAAATATCCTTGCGTGAGGTTGACAAAAAAAAATTAAATAACTTTTAAAAATACAAGAATTCCCTCGTGAGAGCATTAACAAAAAATGAAATTAATTTTTAAAGAAATATCCCGCCCTGACCGGTGTGGCTCAGTGGATAGAGCGTCGGCCTGCGGACTGAAGGGTCCCGGGTTCGATTCCAGTCAAGGGCATGGACCTTGGTTGTGGGCACATCCCCAGTGGGGGGCATGCAGGAGGCAGCTGATCGATATTTCTCTCTCATCGATGTTTCTGACTCTCTGTCCCTCTCCCTTCCTCTCCATAAAAAATCAATAAAATAGATTTTTAAAAAATAAAAGGCTAAATTGACTCCCACATATGTGTGTTTCGATCTGTCATTGTCGATCGTGAATTCAGTCGGCACTTCTATCATAGAGAGAGGGCGGATGGCGATATTAAAATATTTCTTCTAATTAATTTCCTTTCATTGGGCACGAATTCATGCACCGGGTCCCGAGTCCGGTGTCAAAGAAAGCCTCATATGCTAAGTGTCCTGTGGTCCTGTCGTCCGTCCAACCAATCAAAGCGAAATATGCTAATGATCTGCTAAGGCCGCTCAACCAGCCGCTGTGACGTGCACTGACCACCAGGGGCAGACAGTCGGCCGGTCGACCAGTCGCTATGACGTGCACTGACCACCAGGGGCAGACAGACGACCGGTCGACCAGTCGCTATGACGTGCACTGACCACCAGGGGGCAGACAGTCGGCCGGTCGACCAGTCGCTATGACGTGCACTGACCACCAGGGGCAGACAGACGACCGGTCGACCAGTCGCTATGACGTGCACTGACCACCAGGGGCAGACAGTCGGCCGGTCGACCAGTCGCTATGACGTGCACTGACCACCAGGGGCAGACAGACGACCGGTCGACCAGTCGCTATGACGTGCACTGACCACCAGGGGCAGACAGACGACCGGTCGACCAGTCGCTATGACGTGCACTGACCACCAGGGGCAGACAGACGACCGGTCGACCAGTCGCTATGACGTGCACTGACCACCAGGGGGCAGACAGTCGACGGGTCGACCAGTCGCTGTGACGTGCACTGACCACCAGGGGCAGACAGTCGACGGGTCGACCAGTCGCCATGACGTGCACTGACCACCAGGGGGCAGACAGTCGGCCGGTCGACCAGTCGCTGTGACGTGCACTGACCACCAGGGGGCAGACAGTCGACGGGTCGACCAGTCGCTATGACGTGCACTGACCACCAGGGGGCAGACAGACGACCGGTCGACCAGTCGCTATGACGTGCACTGACCACCAGGGGGCAGACAGTCGACAGGTCGACCAGTCGCTGTGACGTGCACTGACCACCAGGGGGCAGACAGTCGACGGGTCGACCAGTCGCTGTGACGTGCACTGACCACCAGGGGGCAGATATTCCGACTGGTAGGTTCGCTTGCTGCTGGGGTCCGGCCGATTGGGACTGAGCGAGATGGGCCGGACACCCCCTGGAGCCCTCGCATGTCCCTCCCCGGCCCCGATCGTGCACCCGTGGGTCCCTCGGCCTGGCCTGCGCCCTCTAGCAATCCAGGCTGAGAGACCTCCCTCCCGAGTGCATGAATTTTGTGCACTGGGCCACCAGTATAGAATAGAATAGAATAGAATAGAATAGAATAGAATAGAATAGAATAGAATAGAATAGAATAGAATAGAATAGAAGATAATAGAATAGAATAGAATAGAATAGAATAGAATAGAATAGAAGATAGAATAGAATAAATGAAATAAATAAATAAATAAATTAGAATAAATAAAATAGAATAGAATAAACGAAATAAATAAAATAAAATAATAAAATAGAATAGAATAGAATAGATAGAATAGAATAAATAGAATAGAATAAATGAAATAAAAAAGATAAAATAGAACAGAGTAAAATAAATAAAATAATAAAATAAATAAAATAAAATAGAATAGAATAAATAAAACAAAACAATAAAATAGAATAGAACTAATTAAAAAATAAAATAATAGAATAAATAGAATAGAATAGAATTAATAAAATAATAAAATAAAATAAAATAAAATAAAATAAAATAATAAAATAAAATAAAGGCTCATGGTCCCACCCAAGAACAGACCCTTCACAGGACCCAAGAGAGCCATGAGCCCCTCACCATGAAGGGACATTTTGGGGCGCTTCCCCCCTGCTGGGGGGGTGGGGGTTGGGGCCGAGAGAACACGGGACCAGAACCAGAACCGCATGCAACGTCTGGGAGAACCTGACCCGCACAACAGTCACCGCTCGCCGAGCAGACCAGCCGGACGGGGCGACCAAAACGGGGACCCCGAGAGGAAGAGGAAAAAATCGGGGTGCAGCCCCGGCCGGTGTTGCTCAGTGGTTAGAGCGCCGGCCTGCGGACTGAAGGGTCCTGGGTTCGATTCCCGGTCAAGGGCACAGGCCCGGGTTGCGGGCTCGACCCCCAGTAGGGGGCGTGTAGGAGGCAGCCGATCCGTGATTCTCTGTCCTCGTTGATATTTGTCCCTCTCCCTTCCTCTCTCTGAAATCAATAAACATATATATATATATTTTTAAAATAGAATAGAATTAATAAGTATATATGTATATATATAAAAATTTTAAAAAATAATATATATAAATTAATAAAAATTGATATATATACATTTTTTAAAAATAGAATAGAATTAATAAACATATATATTTACATATATAAAATTTTTAAAATAACATATATATATAAATTAATAAAAATTGATATATATACATTTTTAAAAAATAGAATAGAATTAATAAATATATATTTATATATAAAATTTTAAAAATAATATATATAAATTAATAAAAATTGATATATTTACATTTTTAAAAATAGAATAGAATTAATAAATATTATATTTACATATATAAAAATTTTTTTAAATAATCTATATAAATTAATAAAAATTGATAGATATACATTTTTTAAAATAGATAGAATTAATAATATAAATATTTATAGATATAAAATTTTAAAAAATTATATATCTAATAAATTAATAGATATTTTTTTAAAAAAATAGACTAGAAAGTAATAAAATATATATACTTATATATATATATAAAATTTTTAAAATAACGTATATATAAATTAATAAAAATTAATATATATATTTTTTTAAATGAATATAAAAAGCAGAAGTGGGGCTGGAGACGGACAGCCGTGGGGTAACATCCTTTCCTCCCGATGAGGCGATAACCCAGGTCGGGCCTCCCAGAGGGAGGGGGGCTCGGGCGATCGGCGCTTGAGATTTTGTGCAAAACCGGACCTCGCAGAGAATTCTTTAACAGAGAGACAGAGACGGGGTTCTTGCTACTTCTAGCAGCCGCCCCAATTCTGCCAGCTGCCCCCAGGACAGCAGCCGGGGGGACCCCTGGGGGCCTCGGTTTAGGGGGGACTGGGGGGGAGGGCGAGCATCGCCCAAAATTGCCCCGTTTCAGCCCAGGAAGCCAGCGTCTTGGAAACACAGAGACCCACCTCGAGGGGACAGGCCTGTAAGTTGACGTTTCTCATCTCTGGGGGGGGGGGTGATGGGGTTTGGGGGGGCTTGGGGGGTGAGACAGGGTGTTTGAAACAATAAGGCGAAGGCAGCCCGGCCGGTGTGGCTTAGTGGGTAGGGCGTCGGCCTGCGGACCGAAAGGTCCCGGGTGCGATTCCCGGTTAAGGGCATGGACCTGGGTGGCGGGCACATCCCCAGTGGGGGGCGTGCAGGAGGCGGCCGATCGATGGTTCTCTCTGTCCCTCTCCCTTCCTCTCCGTAAAAAAGATCAAAAAAAATATTTAAAAATATATTTTTAAATGCAGGCATTCCCACTTTTTGCAAAGCAAACTTGGACATTTGCATAAAGAACATTTGCATAAGGGACATTTGCATACAGGACATTTGCATAAAGGACATTTGCATAAAGGACATTTGCATAAAGGACATTAGCATGGGTGTGTTTGGGTGTGGTTGTTGCTAAACCTCATCCTAGAATATTTTTCCATTGGTTTTAAGAGAGAGAGACACAACCAGGGCCTGGGGCGGGGAGGGGGGAGCCCGCAATCCAGGGGGCATGCCCTTGACGGGACTCGGACCCGGGACCCTTCCGTCGGCCGGCTGTCGCTCTAGCCACTGAGCCACACCGGCCAGGGCAGGAGATTTCCATCGGTCACGAGTTCTCTGTACGAGGGGTCGGGCTGCTCTCAGAGAGAGAGATCTTATCCCCCCAGAGGCCTTATCGCCGGAGCCAGACACGCCTGGGACCCACAGATTTCCGCCCCTTCCCGTCCCAGAACGGTCGTTCTGCAGCTGGAAGCTCAAAAACCTTTTCTTTCTTTAGAATTTATACATAGATATATAGATAGATAGATGATAGATAGATAGATAGATAGATGATAGATAGATAGATAGATAGATAGATAGATAGATAGATAGATAGATAGATAGATACATAGATAGATAGATAGATAGCCCGGTGCACGAATTCGTGCACCAGTGGGGTCCCTCGGCCTGGCCTGCGGGATCGGGCAGGAACCGGCTTTCCGACATCCCCGGAGGGGTCCCGGATGGCGAGAGGGTGCAGGCCAGGCTGAGGGACCCCACCGGTGGACGATCGGGGCCGGGGAGGGACCATAGGGGGGCTCCAGGGGTGTGTCTGGCCCGTCTCGCTCAGTCCCAAACGGCCGGACCCCAGCAGCAAGCTCACCTACCGGTCAGAGGGTCTGCCCCCTGGTGGTCAGTGCACATCATAGCAACTGGTCGACCGGTCGACTGTCTGCCCCCTGGTGGTCAGTGCACGTCACAGCGACTGGTCGACTGGTTGACTGTCTGCCCCCTGGTGGTCAGTGCACGTCACAGCGACTGGTCGACCCGTCGACTGTCTGCCCCCTGGTGGTCAGTGCACGTCACAGCGACTGGTCGACCCGTCGACTGTCTGCCCCCTGGTGGTCAGTGCACGTCACAGCGACTGGTCGACCCGTCGACTGTCTGCCCCCTGGTGGTCAGTGCACGTCATAGCGACTGGTCGACCCGTCGACTGTCTGCTCCCTGGTGGTCAGTGCACGTCATAGCGACTGATCCATCAGTCGACTGTCTGCCCCTGGTGGTCAGTGCACGTCATAGCGACTGGTCGACCGGTCGGCTGTCTGCCCCTGGTGGTCAGTGCACGTCATAGCGACTGGTCGACCAGTTGACTGCCCCCTGGTGGTCAGTGCAATTCACAGCGACTGGTCGACTGTCTGCCCCCTGGTGGTCAGTGCACGTCATAGCGACTGGTCGATCCATCGCTGTCTGCCCCCTGGTGGTCAGTGCACGTCATAGCGACTGGTCGACCGGTCGACTGTCTGCCCCTGGTGGTCAGTGCACGTCATAGTGAGCAGTTGAGCGGCCTTCGCATATCATTAGCATATGACGCTTTGATTGGTTGAACGGCTGGCCAATAGACAGGACACTTAACATATTAGACTTTTATTCTATAGGATATATATGTATATAGTCTTCCTCTCTAAAATCAATAAGAATATGTATTAAAAAGAGAGGGAGAGAGACTCCTGGCCGGTGTGCCTCAGTGGATAGAGCATCGGCCTGCGGGCTGAAGGGTCCTGGGTTCGATTCCCGGTCAAGGGCACATGCCCGGGTTGTGGGCTTCATCCCCAGTCCGGGGCGTGCAGGAGGCAGTCGGTCCATGATTCTCTCTCATCATGGATGTTTCTCTCTCCCTCTCCGTTATTCTCTGAAATCAATAAAAATCTATTTTTTAAAAGAGAGAGAGGGAAATGTGACCTCTGACCTGGGGCTGCCTCCTCTTTGGCCAGCAGGTGCCGCTGTGGGTCTGGGATGGCGCCTCTGCTGGACTTGGCCGGCCTCCTGGTGCTCCTCAGCTTTGCACACCGTCAGGACGCAGACCTGGGTAGGTGCCGGCGAGGGCCCCGGGGTGGGGTGGGGTGGGGTGGGCCACACCTGGGCAGGTGCCGGCGACCTGGGTCGACGCCAGTGACGGCGAACCTAAGACACGCATGTCAGAGGGGACACACGAACTCATTGTTTTGGGTTCATGTTTCTTTGTTCAATGGCATTTAAATATATAAAATAAATATCAGAAATGTACGTCTTCGTTTGACTGTGGTTGCAAAGATCAAAAAATTTCTATAGGTGACACGGCCCCAGAGTTCAGTGAGGGTTTTTCCAAATGCGGACACGCCCAGCTCAAAAGGTTCGCCGTCGCGGGTCTACGCTCCTCCGCTCAGCCGCAACGGACGGGTGAAAAGGGCTCATTTTTATCTTCTGTGAATTTGGCCTCTTGACAGAAAACAAACCAAACCACACACAAACACACACGAAAAAAAACATTGTCGGCCGTCTGCCCCCTGGTGGTCAGTGCACGTCATAGCGACTGATCGGCAAGTTTACTGTCTGCCCCCTGGTGGTCAGTGCACGTCACAGCGACTGGTCGACCAGTCGACTGTCTGCCCCCTGGTGGTCAGTGCACGTCATGGCGACTGATCGACCAGTTTACTGTCTGCCCCCTGGTGGTCAGTGCACGTCACAGCGACTGGTCGACCAGTTTACTGTCTGCCCCTGGTGGTCAGTGCACGTCATAGCGACTGGTCGACCGGTCGACTGTCTGCCCCCTGGTGGTCAGTGCACATCATAGCGACTGGTCGACCATTGACTGTCTGCCCCCTGGTGGTCAGTGCACGTCATAGCGACTGGTCGACCAGTCGACTGTCTGCCCCCTGGTGGTCAGTGCACGTCATAGCGACTGGTCGGCCCTTCTACTATCTACCCCCTGGTGGTCAGTGCAAGTCATAGCGACTGGTCGACCGGTCGACTGTCTGCCCCCTGGTGGTCAGTGCATGTCATAGCGACTGGTCGACCAGTCGACTGTCTGCCCCCTGGTGGTCAGTGCACGTCACAGCGACTGGTCGACCATTCGACTGTCTGCCCCCGGGTGGTCAGTGCACGTCATAGCGACTGGTCGACCATTGACTGTCTGCCCCCTGGTGGTCAGTGCACGTCATAGCGACTGGTCGACCATTGACTGTCTGCCCCCTGGTGGTCAGTGCACGTCATAGCAACTGGTCGACCAGTCGACTGTCTGCCCCCTGGTGGTCAGTGCACGTCATAGCGACTGGTCGACCAGTCGACTGTCTGCCCCCTGGTGGTCAGTGCACGTCATAGCGACTGGTCGGCCCGTCTACTTTCTTCCCCCTGGTGGTCAGTGCACGTCATAGCGACTGGTCGGCCCATCTACTATCTACCCCCTGGTGGTCAGTGCACGTCATAGCGACTGGTCGACCATTGACTGTCTGCCCCCTGGTGGTCAGTGCACGTCATAGCGACTGGTCGACCATTGACTGTCTGCCCCCTGGTGGTCAGTGCACGTCATAGCGACTGGTCGACCAGTCGACTGTCTGCCCCCTGGTGGTCAGTGCACGTCATAGCGACTGGTCGACCAGTCGACTGTCTGCCCCCTGGTGGTCAGTGCACGTCATAGCGACTGGTCGGCCCGTCTACTATCTACCCCCTGGTGGTCAGTGCACGTCATAGCGACTGGTCGGCCCGTCTACTATCTACCCCCTGGTGGTCAGTGCAAGTCATAGCGACTGGTCGACCATTGACTGTCTGCCCCCTGGTGGTCAGTGCACGTCACAGCGACTGGTCGACCCGTCAACTGTCTCCCCCTGGTGGTCAGTGCCCCACCCATGCTTTCAAAAGGAGTCCCCTCAACTAGAATTATAAAGTCGACTGGGGAGAGAGAGGTTCCAGACTCTCACTGTGTTTTTATTTGTTTGTTGTTGTTTTGTCTCAGTGACCGCAGAGGCGGACGGGTCCCCCGTGGAAGACATGGAACTGGACCCCGGGAGGAAGACGCTGACCTGGAAAAACCAGAGAAACGTGACTGAGCAAGAATGCAAAGTCGACACCCCGCCCAGCTCCTCCACCAGGCAGCACCCACGGGTGAGGGTTCTGGGTTCGAGCCCCATGGCTCTGCTCTGTGTACATCTAGAATTTCCCTTGAGAAACGCCTCTTTAGATCCCCACGCCCCCACGCTTACTGCTCTCCCTGGAAAGAAAAGAAAAGAAAGAAAAGAGAAAAAAAAACATGTCCTCCATCCTCTTAGGTTCCGTGACGGGGGCGTGCAAATTAAACTGACGAAAGAGAGGTGAAGGGGAGAAAAAGTCTACCGCGGTGTTAAATTAGGGTTTAATTTTGACATTACACAAATCTTCGCAGAGAAGACATGAACAGACGAAAGAAGGGGCCGGACCAGGGAGCGTAGACAAGTGACCTTTTAAAAAAAGACAAATGGTGGAGAAGAGACTATGGGCGGTTCTCAGCCTTCCTCACGCCGCGGCCGTTTCATACGGTTCGTCATGTTGGGGGGACCCCCAATTTCATGGTGACACATTGAACACCATGAAAGCAACCTGATTCATCCCCAAAACAATATGTGATTATAGATGTGTTTTCCGACGGTCTTAGGCGACCCTGTGAAAGGGTCGTTCTCCTCCCCCAAGGGGTCGCGACCCACAGGTTGAGAACCGCTGGAATAGATGAAGAAACTGGGATTTTGGCTTCGGGGTCTGATCATTTGGTGGTTGTAAAACGGGCACCAATATGCCACCACATGGCCCTGGCTGGTGTGGCTCAGTGGATAGAGCATCGGTCTGCGGATGGAAGGGTCCCGAGTTCGATTCCAATCAAGGGCACATGCCCTGGTTGTGGGCTGGGTCCTCAGTAGGGGGCGTGCGGGAGGCAGCCAATCCATGATTCTCTCTCATCATGGATGTCTCTCTTCCTCTCCTTTCATCTCTGAAATCAATAAAATATATATATAAATATATATGGAATAAGAAGGAAACAGGTTCAAGGCCGTCCGAAGCAAAGGTCCTATATTTGACCCTGACGGTGCCTTTTGTAGGTCAAAGGAGACGGCACCTACGTTTGCCGGTTTCCCAACGCCGTCCTGCACCGGGGGGCCACGCTCACTGTCAACGGGATGGCGGACGGGACCCCTTTTCAGTCCGTCCTGGAGTTTCGCAATCCAGGTGAGGCCCCCCCCTCCCCCGGGGGGGACCCCAATGTCCCTACAGTGACCGGCATCGACCTCAAGGTCGAGAGAGGCTCCGTGTCCAGGGGCTGGAGATGCTGGAGGTGTGGTCGATCGGTAAGAATTTATTTTTAAAAAAATTCTTTAGTCCTGGCTGGTGTGGCTCAGTGGGTAGAGCGTCGGCCTGTGGACTGAAGGGTCCCGGGTTCGATTCCCGGTCAAGGGCACAGGCCCGGGTTGCGGGCTCGATTCCTAGTCGGGGCCGTGCAGGAGGCGGCCGGTCCATGATTCTCTCTCATCATGGATATTTTTCTCTCTCTCTCCCTTCCTCTCTGAAATCAATAAAAATATAATTTTAAAAAGATTCTTTATGGGTTGAAAGTTTCACAGATGACTCCTTTTTAAGGATTTTTCCTTGTTTTCCACCCTCCCAGGCCTGGAAGGATCCGGGGCCGTAAACCTCTCCTGCCTCATTTACAACCTGCGCCACATGAATTGTAGCTGGATCCCGGGCCCGACCGCCCCCGCCGACGTCCAGTATCACCTGTATGGCTGGACCTCCAGGTGAGCCGGGGACCGGCCAGGCATCGGAGACCTACCGGGGGGTCCCTGACGTCACAGGTAGTCCTGGCCGGTGTGGCTCAGTGGATAGAGCATCGAGCAATGAACCAGGAGGTCCCAGGTTCGATTCCCGGTCAAGGGCACTTGTCTGTGTTATGCACTCGATCCCCAGCTGGGGGCGTGCAGGAGGCGGCCGGTCCATGATTCTCTCTCATCATGGATGTTTCTCTCTCTCCCTCTCTCTGCAATAAAAAATATCTATATCTATACTAATAAAAGGGTAATATGCTAAATAGACTGGACGTCTTTTGGACATCCTTCCGGACAAAGCCACGGTGGTGGGGGCTGAGGCAAAGGTGATTAGGGGCGATCAGGCCAACAGGGGAGGGCGGTTAGGGGCGATCAGGCCGGCAGGGGAGGGCGGTTAGGGGCGATCAGGCCGGCAGGGGAGGGCGGTTAGGGGCGATCAGGCAGGCAGGGGAGGGCGGGTAGGGGCGATCAGGCCGGCAGGGGAGGGCGGTTAGGGGCGATCAGGCCGGCAGGGGAGGGCGGTTAGGGGCGATCAGGCCGGCAGGGGAGGGCGGTTAGGGGAGATCAGGCAGGCAGGGGAGGGCGGTTAGGGGCGATCAGGCCGGCAGGGGAGGGCGGTTAGGGGCGGTCAGGCCGGCAGGGGAGAGCAGTTAGGGGCGATCAGGCCGGCAGGGGAGGGCAGTTGGGGGCGATCAGGCCGGCAGGGGAGGGCAGTTAGGGGCGATCAGGCCGGCAGGGGAGGGCAGTTGGGGGCGATCAGGCCGGCAGGGGTGGGCGGTTAGGGGCGATCAGGCCGGCAGGGGAGGGCGGTTAGGGGCGATCAGGCCGGCAGGGGAGAGCAGTTAGGGGTGATCAGGCCAGCAGGGGAGAGCAGTTAGGGGTGATCAGGCCAGAAGGGGAGAGCAGTTAGGGGTGATCAGGCTAGAAGGGGGGAGCAGTTAGGGGCGATCAGGCCTGCAGGGGAGGGCAGTTAGGGGTGATCAGGCCGGCAGGGGAGAGCAGTTAGGGGCGATCAGGCTGGCAGGGGATGGCAGTTAGGGGCGATCAGGCTGGCAGGGGAGGGCAGTTGGGGGCGATTAGGCCAGCAGGGGAGGGCAGTTAGGGGCGATCAGGCCAGTAGGGGAGAGCAGTTAGGGGCGATCAGGCCGGCAGGGGAGGGCAGTTAGGGGTGATCAGGCAGGCAGACAGGTGAGTGGTTAGGAGCCAGCGGTCCTGGATGCGAGAGGGATGTCCGACTGCCGGTTTAGGCCCTATCCTTGCAGTTGGACATCCCCCGAGGGGTCCCAGATTGGAGAGGGTGCAGGCCGGGCTGAGGGACCCTCACCCCGTGCATGAATTTCATGCACTGAGCCTCTAGTATATATATATCTATATCTATCTCTCTCTATATATTTTTTTAAACAGAAAGAATCAACCAAAGAATGCCTAAATAAGTAGAAAAACACATCGATGTTTCTCTCTCTCCCTTCCTCCCTCTCTCCCTAAAAGTTAAAATGTCCTGAGCATTTTAATATATTAATTTCTTAGTAATTAAAACAAAGGGATACTACGTCTAGTTCCAAATTAGCACAGGCATCTGAAATGACAATTTGTGCCCTGGCTGGTGTGGCTCAGTGGATAGAGCGTCGGCCCGCGGACCGAAGGGTCCTGGGTTCGATTCCCGGTCAAGGGCACATGCCCGCGGTTGCGGGCTTGATCCCCAGCAGGGGGGCGTGCAGGAGGCGGCCGGTCCATGATTCTCTGTCCTCATGGATGTTTCTATTTCTCCCTCTCCCTTCCTCCCCGAAATCAATAAAAATATATTTAAAAGCAATGAAAATAAAATGACAATTTGCAGGTGATTGGAATGTGTGCATTGTTGCCGGCAGCAACTTCTTGTTCATATGCTTGGGAGGCAAAGAAACAGGTTAAATAATGGAAGAGTGTTCCCATAAAAAATAAATAAAAATGAACGTGAATACGTCTTAAAACATGAAATCGGTGAGATTTCTTCCTCTTTTCACAATCGCTTTGCGATTCCCTGGGACACGCATTCCACGGGGGTGTCGGGTTTATGCCATGACAAAAAAATGAGTCCCTTTTCTTGTCCCTTTAAAAAGAATTTTTTTTTTCATTCATTTCTGAAAAGAAGGGCGAAATAGATAGAAGCATCCGTCCTGAGACAGAATCACGGGTCGGCTGCCTCCTGCTCGCCCCCTGCTGGCGACGGAGGGCATTGTGCCTCTGACCGGGATTCGAACCCAGACCTCCTGGTTCACAGGTTAACGCTCAACCACTGAGCCACACCGGCCAGTCTTCTTGCCCGTTTTTGGAGAGTTTTCAGTGTGGAAATGGGGGGGAGGGGGAGGGGGGAGGAGAGATCGGGGTCTCCATGATGGACCCCTAACAGGATCCCCTCTCTGCCTGACCCCGGGACCCTCCTCCTTTGGAAATTCCAGGCATGAGGACGAGGTCGAGTGTCCCCGTTACGTGCCTGACTCGGGGACACGCGTGGGCTGTCGATTCGACGAGCTCGTGGGGTCCCAGCTCACGGACACCTACTTCTTCTTGGTCAACGGAACCAGCAAGGAGGCGGCCATCGAGTTTACGGACTTCGCCCCGTTTAAAGGCATCATGATCGGTGAGAGCAGTGGTTCTCAACCTCTGGCCCTTTCAATACAGTTCTATCTATCTATCTATCTATCTATCTATCTATCTATCTATCTATCTATCAATCTATCTATCTATCAATCTATCTATCTATCTATCTATCTATCATCACCTATATCTATCTATCTATAATCTATATCTATCTATACCTATATCTAATCTACATCTATAGCTATATCTATATATCTATCTCTATCTCTATCTCTATCTCTATCTATCTATATATAATATATATCTATATCTATATCTATCTATATATCTATATCTATATCTATCTATATCTATCTATATATCTATATCTATCTATATCTCTATATCTCTATCCCTATCTCTATCTATATCTATATCTATATCTAGATCTAGATCAATCTAGATCAATCTATATCTATATCTATATCTATATCTATATCTATATCTATATCTACATCTACATCTACATCTATATCTATATCCATATCCATATCCATATCTATATCTATATCTATATCTATATCTATATCTATATCTATATCATCTATATCTATATCTATATCTATATCTATATGTATACCATCCATATCTATATATATCTACATCTACATCTATATCTATATCTATATCTATATCATCTATAGCTATATCATCTATATCTATATCTATATCTATATCTATATCTATATCTATATCTATATCTATATCTATATCTATATCTATCTATATCTATATGAGTGGTTCTCAACCTTCCTAAGGCCGCGACCCTTGAATACAGCTCCCCATGCTGTGGGGACCCCCAACCATAACATTATTCTCGTTGCTACGTCATCACTGTCATGTTGCTACTGTCGTGAATCATCATGGAAATATCTGATCTGCAGGATGGTCTTAGGCGACCCCTGTGAAAGGGTCGTTTGACCGCCAAAGGGTTCGCGACCCACAGGTTGAGAACCGCTGGGTGAGACGATATCCCCCCTCCTAGTTCCTCCCCCAAGGAGTTCGTCTGGATTGACTGCCTTAGGGGACGTGTCGTGGTGCCCCCAGGGCCAGTCTGACCACCATCCGGGACCCAGACTCAGAGTCAGGGAGATAGAGGTGCAGAAGGGGAGTTAGGGAGGTCACGACCCTGCCTCAAGGTGAGCGTCACACGTAAAAGATGTCACACATGAGCCCCAGCCGGTGTGGCTCAGTGGATAGAGCGTCAGCCTGCGGACTGAAGGGTCCCTGGTTCGATTCCTGGTCAAGGGCACATGCCCGGGTTGCGGGCACATCCCCAGTAGGGGACGTGCTGGAGGCGGCCGGTCCATGATTCTCTCTCATCGTGAATGTTTCTCTTTCTCTCCCTCTCCCTTCTTCTCTGATATCATTGAAAATATATATTTTTAAATTTATGTATATAAAAAAAGGAAAAAGAAGAATAGAAAGTATGAAGAAAAATAAATTTAAAAAAAGAAAAAAGGAAAAAGAATAGAAAAAATGAAGAAAAATAAATAAATAAAGAAAGAAAGAAAGAGAAAAAAGAAAAAAATCTATGTATATAAAAGCCTAATCATGCAAATTGTCCCCTTCAGAGTTCGACCAGGAGACCGGGAGTTCAATGACTCGCTACGATGTGTGCTGACCAGCAGGGAGGGGGGGGGGCGCGGAACGAAGGGTGGCACCGGCCGACAGCCAGAGAGAAAGTCCTTTCCGGCAGCCGGAGGGCCCAGACCGGCCCTGGGGGCACCCGGACACGTCCCCTAACGCAGTCAATCCAGACGAGCTCCTTGGAGGAGAATCCAAGAGGGGGGATATCGTCTCACCGCAATCGACCCTGATCGCTAGGAGGCCTGGGGGCCCTACCTGGTGCACGAATTCCGTGCACCGAGCCTCTAGTAATAATAACAATAATAAGAAGAAAACCAGACAAGTGACTCTTACGATCCGTTTCTCTACGTCCCATCGAGTCACCTCGTTGACCTCGGACCGCGTTGAGTTGGTTGTGTTCTGTGTTTTGATTTTTGGGTTTTTTTGTTTGTTTTTTTTTCTTCTTAGAAAAGGTTGATCCCCCGGCCAACCTCACGGTCGGCGGCAACGGATCCCATCACGTGATCCAGTGGGACAACCCCAGGCTGCGGTTTGAGGCCTCGAGTCGCATCTTCGTTTACGAACTGGACGTCCAGCGAGAGGTGAGGGCGCAAGCCACGGGCAACGGTCACCCACAGGGTCCCCTCCATCTCTCCCGTTTGGAGTCGAATCCTCACCGATAGAATCTGTGATCCACGGAGCTGATTGGCCATAAGAGGGCCAGCCATTAATTTCTTTTTTCTTTTACACAAGCACTTAAATATATATATATATATATATATATATATATATATATATATATATATATATATATATAGATTGATTTCAGAGAGAGAGAGAGAGAGAGAAACATCAATGAAGAGAGAGAATCATGGATCGGCCGCCTCCTGTATGCCCCCTACTGGGGAATCGAGCACACACCCCGGGCACGTGCCCTTGACCGGGAATCGAACCCTGACCTCCTGGTTCATAGGTTAATGCTCAACCCCTGAGCCACACCAGCCAGGGCCCATAAGGCTTTTTTCCCTCATCTATTAAATCCCAAATATTTTCAGCTTAAAATAATCTTCAGACTAATGCTGAGGTTCTGGGTGGACTCCTGCCTTTAATTCCATTATTGAAAACTCAGCCACTTACCGTCTTTCCCATTTGCTATGGTTTTCCAGGGCAGTTCCTCCAAGCAAGACTCTGTAAGTATCTTTTCCCTTATATTAAAATATACTAGAGGACCCGGTGCACGAATTCGTGCACCAGTGGGGTCCCTGGGCCTGGCCTGCGGGATGGGGGTCGAAACCGGCTCTCTGACGTCCCCCGAGGGGTCCCGGATGGCGAGAGGGCACAGGCCAGGCCGAGGGACCCCACTGGTGCACGATTGGGGCCAGGGAGGGACCATGGGAGGGCTCCAGGGCGTGTCCGGCCTGTCTCGCCCAGTCCCGATCGGCCGGACCCCAGCAGCAAGCTCACCTACTGGTCAGAGCATCTGTCCCCTGGTGGTCAGTGCACGTCATAGCGACTGGTTGGCCATTTGACTGTCTGTCCCCTGGTGGTCAGTGCACGTCATAGCGACTGGTTGGCCATTTGACTGTCTGCCCCCTGGTGGTCAGTGCACGTCATAGCGACTGGTTGGCCATTTGACTGTCTGCCCCCTGGTGGTCAGTGCACGTCATAGCGACTGGTTGGCCATTTGACTGTCTGCCCCCTGGTGGTCAGTGCACGTCATAGCAAGCAGTTGAGCGGCCTTAGCATATCATTAGCATATTACTCTTTGATTGGTTGATCGGACAACCGATCAACCAGACACTTAGCATATTAGGCTTTTATTATGTAAGATTTTTATTGATTTCAGAGAGAAAGGGAGAGAGGGAGAGAGAAACATCCATGATGAGAGAGAATCATGCATCAGCTGCCTCCTGCACGCCCCCTACTGGGGATCGAGCTTGCAACCCGGGGATGTGCCCTGACCGGGAATCGAACCCTGACCTCCTGGTTCATAGGTTGATGCTCAACCACTGAGCCACACCAGCTGGGCTCCTAAGAGTGTTTAGTTCAAGCTGTAGCGAGAGGAACAATATCCCCCAAACTCCTGCTCACCTGGGACCTGGGAATGGTCCTAACCCCCATTTGGTGGGGTCTTGTCCCCCACGGAGCTCACGGCAAGTCCTTGATTCTCCGAAAGGTTTTCCTAAGAGGCAGCGAGGAGAACGTGTACCTGGTGCCCAGTTCGTCCATGAGAGCCGGGCACACCGTCCGGGCGAGAGTGAGGTTCAGGCACAGTGAGCTGTGGAGTGACTGGACCCCCATCTTGCGTTTTGGTGAGTGTGGTCCCCGGGACGGAGGCCGTCTGCCTCCCTCTCTCCATCCTGGAGCCCCGACGTCTGAGATCAAGGTGTCTCCAGGGCTGGTGGCCGCCTGTCTCCCCTCTCTCCATCCTGGAGACCAGACGTCTGAGATCAGGGTGTCTCTGGGGCTGGTGGCCGCTTCCCTCCCCTCTCTCCATCTTGGAGACCAGATGTCTGAGATCAGGGTGTCTCCAGGGCTGGTGGCCGCCTGTCTCCCCTCTCTCCATCCTGGAGACCAGAAGTCTGAGATCAGGGTGTCTCCGGGGCTGGAGGCCGCTTCCCTCCCCTCTCTCCATCTTGGAGACCAGATGTCTGAGATCAGGGTGTCTCCGGGGCTGGTGGCCTCCTGTCTCCCCTCTCTCCATCCTGGAGCCCCGACGTCTGAGATCAGGGTGTCTCCAGGGCTGGTGGCCGTCTGCCTCCCTCTCTCCATCCTGGAGCCCCGACGTCTGAGATCAGGGTGTCTCCAGGGCTGGTGGCCGCCTGTCTCCCCTCTCTCCATCCTGGAGACCAGACGTCTGAGATCAGGGTGTCTCAGGGGCTGGTGGCCGCTTCCCTCCCCTCTCTCCATCTTGGAGACCAGATGTCTGAGATCAGGGTGTCTCTGGGGCTGGTGGCCGCTTCCCTCCTCTCTCTCCATCCTGGAGACCAGACATCTGAGATCAGGGTGTCTCCGGGGCTGGTGGCCGCCTGCCTCCCCTCTCTCCATCCTGGAGCCCCGACGTCTGAGATCAGGGTGTCCCCGGGGCTGGTGGCCGCCTGCCTCCCTCCCGTCTCTGCCTCCCTCCGTCTCCACATGGCTTCTCCCCTGTGTCTGTGTCTCCTCTTCTGTGTCTGACAAGGACCCTGTCCCTGGAGGGAGGTCCCCCTGACCCAGGACAGCCTCGGCTCCGAACCTTCACTTGATCCCATCTTCAGACACCCCGTGTCTTTCTCTTTCTTAAAAAAAAAAAAAATATTTTTTTTATTGATTTCAGAGAGGAAGGGAGAGGGAGAGAGAGATAGAAATATCTTGCCCTGGCTGGTGCAGCTCAGTGGATAGAGCACCGGCCTGTGGAGTGAAGGATCCCGGGTTCGAATCCTGGTCAAGGGCACATGTCCGGGTTGCAGGCTCGATCCCCAGTAGGGGGCGTGCAGGAGGCAGCCAATCTGTGATTCTCGCTCATCATGGATGTTTCTCTCTCTCCCTCTCCCTTCCTCTCTGAAATCAATAAAAATTATATATATATATATTTTTAAAAATCAATGGGAGAATATGTTGGGTCAGGAATAACCCCCCCAAAAAAAAGAATATTCACACATCATGTTTTTGGGGGGGTCCAGGAGCCCATAACGGACCCCTCCCAGCATAGGGGGCCCAGGTCGGTCTTGCCAGCTCTTGGAGTTAACCTACCCTCTGTCTGTATCCTACACTGATCCCCTGTACCCCCAGCCATATTTCTGGGATCACCCCATAAGAGGGTCCCTCCTGGACTCAACGACAGGGGCCATGAGGCCTTCTTTGTCAGCTTATTCTCAACCCCATTGGGCTGGGTCTGTACGGGCCCCAGCTTCCTGCCACCCCCCATCTTAGGATGTCACCCCCAGAGGTCAGCCTGCCTGCTCTCTTGCCTGTGGGTGCCCATCATGCACCCCTCCTCTGCAGCAGCAGGGGGTGCTGTGGTCCCACGGGCCAGCCCCATAAGCACAGGGCCATGCAGTTTTCAGCATCCCTTGCACAGCCTCCTAATAGGCTGGCCCCATTGAACTGGCAAAAACGAACAAACAACAACAAAAAAAAAACAAACAAGAACAACTAAAACCAACTAAAAACAACAACAACAAAAACAACAACAAAAACAACAACAAAAAACAACAACAAAAAACAACAACAACAACAAGAAACCTCACAGGGTGGGGATCCCTGTTTGCCTGGGCCCAGCCATCCTTCGGGATCCATTTGGGGGCACACGGGGTATGGCCTCTAAATTCACACTTAGACATTCATTCCCTTGGCTGTGTCCCTGCCCATTTCACACTCACACACTCACTCCTTTGGCCGTGTCCCTGCCCATTTCACACTCACACACTCATTCCTTTGGCCGTGTCCCTGCCCATTTCACACTCACACACTCACCCCTTTGGCCGTGTCCCTGCCCATTTCACACTCACACACTCACTCCTTTGGCCGTGTCCCTGCCCATTTCACACTCACACACTCATTCCGTTGGCCGTGTCCCTGCCCATTTCACACTCACACACTCACCCCTTTGGCCGTGTCCCTGCCCATTTCACACTCACACACTCACCCCTTTGGCCGTGTCCCTGCGCATTTCACACTCACACACTCACTCCTTTGGCCGTGTCCCTGCCCATTTCACACTCACACACTCATCCCTTTGGCCGTGTCCCTGCCCATTTCACACTCACACACTCACCCCTTTGGCCGTGTCCCTGCCCATTTCACACTCACACACTCACTCCTTTGGCCGTGTCACTGCCCATTTCACACTCACACACTCACTCCTTTGGCCGTGTCCCTGCCCATTTCACACTCACACACTCATCCCTTTGGCCGTGTCCCTTCCCATTTCACACTCACACACTCATTCCGTTGGCCGTGTCCCTGCCCATTTCACACTCACACACACTCCTTTGGCCGTGTCCCTGCCCATTTCACACTCACACACTCATTCCTTTGGCCGTGTCCCTGCCCATTTCACACTCACACACTCATTCCGTTGGCCGTGTCCCTGGCCATTTCACACTCACACACTCATTCCGTTGGCCGTGTCCCTGCCCATTTCACACTCACACACTCATCCCTTTGGCCGTGTCCGTGCCCATTTCACACTCACACACTCACTCCTTTGGCCGTGTCCCTGCCCATTTCACACTCACACACTCACCCCTTTGGCCGTGTCCCCGCCCATTTCACACTCACACACTCGTTCCGTTGGCCGTGTCCCTGCCCATTTCACACTCACACACTCATTCCTTTGGCCGTGTCCCTGCCCATTTCACACTCACACACTCATTCCTTTGGCCGTGTCCCTGCCCATTTCACACTCACACACTCATTCCGTTGGCCGTGTCCCTGCCCATTTCACACTCACACACTCACCCCTTTGGCCGTGTCCCTGCCCATTTCACACTCACACACTCATACCGTTGGCCGTGTCCCTGCCCATTTCACACTCACACACTCACTCCTTTGGCCGTGTCCCTGCCCATTTCACACTCACACACTCATTCCGTTGGCCGTGTCCCTGCCCATTTCACACTCACACACTCATTCCGTTGGCCGTGTCACTGGCCATTTCACACTCACACACTCATTCCGTTGGCCGTGTCCCTGCCCATTTCACACTCACACACTCATCCCTTTGGCCGTGTCCCTGCCCATTTCACACTCACACACTCACTCCTTTGGCCGTGTCCCTGCCCATTTCACACTCACACACTCATTCCGTTGGCCGTGTCCCTGCCCATTTCACACTCACACACTCACCCCTTTGGCCGTGTCCCTGCCCATTTCACACTCACACACTCACCCCTTTGGCCGTGTCCCTGCCCATTTCACACTCACACACTCACCCCTTTGGCCGTGTCCCTGCCCATTTCACACTCACACACTCATTCCGTTGGCCGTGTCCCTGCCCTTTTCACACTCACACACTCACCCCTTTGGCCGTGTCCCTGCCCATTTCACACTCACACACTCACTCCTTTGGCCGTGTCCCTGCCCATTTCACACTCACACACTCACCCCTTTGGCCGTGTCCCTGCACATTTCACACTCACACACTCATTCCGTTGGCCGTGTCCCTGCCCATTTCACACTCACACACTCACCCCTTTGGCCGTGTCCCTGCCCATTTCACACTCACACACTCATTCCTTTGGCCGTGTCCCTGCCCATTTCACACTCACACACTCACCCCTTTGGCCGTGTCCCTGCCCATTTCACAATCACACACTCATTCCGTTGGCCGTGTCCCTGCCCATTTCACACTCACACACTCACCCCTTTGGCCGTGTCCCTGCCCATTTCACACTCACACACTCACTCCTTTGGCCGTGTCCCTGCCCATTTCACACTCACACACTCACCCCTTTGGCCGTGTCCCTGCCCATTTCACACTCACACACTCATTCCGTTGGCCGTGTCCCTGCCCATTTCACACTCACACACTCACTCCTTTGGCCGTGTCCCTGCCCATTTCACACTCACACACTCACCCCTTTGGCCGTGTCCCCGCCCATTTCACACTCACACACTCACTCCTTTGGCCGTGTCCCTGCCCATTTCACACTCACACACTCACCCCTTTGGCCGTGTCCCTGCCCATTTCACACTCACACACACTCATTCCGTTGGCCGTGTCCCTGCCCATTTCACACTCACACACTCACCCCTTTGGCCGTGTCCCTGCCCATTTCACACTCACACAGTCACTCCTTTGGCCGTGTCCCTGCCCATTTCACACTCACACACTCATCCCTTTGGCCGTGTCCCTGCCCATTTCACACTCACACACTCATCCCTTTGGCCGTGTCCCTGCCCATTTCACAATCATACACTCACTCCTTTGGCCTTGTCCCTGCCCATTTCACACTCACACACTCACTCCGTTGGCCGTGTCCCTGCCCATTTCACACTCACACACTCACCCCTTTGGCCGTGTCCCTGCCCATTTCACACTCACACACTCATCCCTTTGGCCGTGTCCCTGCCCATTTCACACTCACACACTCACCCCTTTGGCCGTGTCCCTGCCCATTTCACACTCACACACTCATCCCTTTGGCCGTGTCCCTGCCCATTTCACACTCACACACTCATTCCGTTGGCCGTGTCCCCGCCCATTTCACACTCACACACTCACTCCTTTGGCCGTGTCCCTGCCCATTTCACACTCACACACTCACCCCTTTGGCCGTGTCCCCGCCCATTTCACACTCACACACTCACTCCTTTGGCCGTGTCCCTGCCCATTTCACACTCACACACTCACCCCTTTGGCCGTGTCCCTGCCCATTTCACACTCACACACACTCATTCCGTTGGCCGTGTCCCTGCCCATTTCACACTCACACACTCACCCCTTTGGCCGTGTCCCTGCCCATTTCACACTCACACACTCACTCCTTTGGCCGTGTCCCTGCCCATTTCACACTCACACACTCACTCCTTTGGCCGTGTCCCTGCCCATTTCACACTCACACACTCATCCCTTTGGCCGTGTCCCTGCCCATTTCACACTCACACACTCATCCCTTTGGCCGTGTCCCTGCCCATTTCACAATCATACACTCACTCCTTTGGCCGTGTCCCTGCCCATTTCACACTCACACACTCACCCCTTTGGCCGTGTCCCTGCCCATTTCACACTCACACACTCACTCCTTTGGCCTTGTCCCTGCCCATTTCACACTCACACACTCACTCCGTTGGCCGTGTCACTGCCCATTTCACAATCATACACTCACTCCTTTGGCCGTGTCCCTGCCCATTTCACACTCACACACTCACCCCTTTGGCCGTGTCCCCGCCCATTTCACACTCACACACTCACACCTTTGGCCGTGTCCCTGCCCATTTCACACTCACACACTCACTCCTTTGGCCGTGTCCCTGCCCATTTCACACTCACACACTCACTCCTTTGGCCGTGTCCCTGCCCATTTCACACTCACACACTCACTCCTTTGGCCGTGTCCCTGCCCATTTCACACTCACACACTCACTCCTTTGGCCGTGTCCCTGCCCATTTCACAATCATACACTCACTCCTTTGGCCGTGTCCCTGCCCATTTCACAATCATACACTCACTCCTTTGGCCGTGTCCCTGCCCATTTCACAATCATACACTCACTCCTTTGGCCGTGTCCCTGCCCATTTCACACTCACACACTCACCCCTTTGGCCGTGTCCCTGCCCATTTCACACTCACACACTCACCCCTTTGGCCGTGTCCCTGCCCATTTCACACTCACACACTCATTCCGTTGGCCGTGTCCCTGCCCATTTCACACTCACACACTCATCCCTTTGGCCGTGTCCCTGCCCATTTCACACTCACACACTCACCCCTTTGGCCGTGTCCCTGCCCATTTCACACTCACACACTCACCCCTTTGGCCGTGTCCCTGCCCATTTCACACTCACACACTCACTCCTTTGGCCGTGTCCCTGCCCATTTCACACTCACACACTCATCCCTTTGGCCGTGTCCCTGCCCATTTCACACTCACACACTCACTCCTTTGGCCGTGTCCCTGCCCATTTCACAATCATACACTCACTCCTTTGGCCGTGTCCCTGCCCATTTCACACTCACACACTCACCCCTTTGGCCGTGTCCCTGCCCATTTCACACTCACACACTCACCCCTTTGGCCGTGTCCCTGCCCATTTCACAATCATACACTCATTCCGTTGGCCGTGTCCCTGCCCATTTCACACTCACACACTCACCCCTTTGGCCGTGTCCCTGCCCATTTCACAATCATACACTCACTCCTTTGGCCTTGTCCCTGCCCATTTCACACTCACACACTCACTCCGTTGGCCGTGTCCCTGCCCATTTCACAATCATACACTCACTCCTTTGGCCGTGTCCCTGCCCATTTCACACTCACACACTCACTCCGTTGGCCGTGTCCCTGCCCATTTCACACTCATACACTCACTCCTTTGGCCGTGTCCCTGCCCATTTCACACTCACACACTCACCCCTTTGGCCGTGTCCCTGCCCATTTCACACTCACACACTCATCCCTTTGGCCGTGTCCCTGCCCATTTCACACTCACACACTCACCCCTTTGGCCGTGTCCCTGCCCATTTCACAATCACACACTCACCCCTTTGGCCGTGTCCCCGCCCATTTCACACTCACACACTCATTCCGTTGGCCGTGTCCCTGCCCATTTCACACTCACACACTCATCCCTTTGGCCGTGTCCCTGCCCATTTCACAATCATACACTCACTCCTTTGGCCTTGTCCCTGCCCATTTCACACTCACACACTCACTCCGTTGGCCGTGTCCCTGCCCATTTCACAATCATACACTCACTCCTTTGGCCGTGTCCCTGCCCATTTCACACTCACACACTCACTCCGTTGGCCGTGTCCCTGCCCATTTCACAATCATACACTCACTCCTTTGGCCGTGTCCCTGCCCATTTCACACTCACACACTCACCCCTTTGGCCGTGTCCCCGCCCATTTCACACTCACACACTCACCCCTTTGGCCGTGTCCCCGCCCATTTCACACTCACACACTCACCCCTTTGGCCGTGTCCCTGCCCATTTCACACTCACACACTCACCCCTTTGGCCGTGTCCCTGCCCATTTCACACTCACACACTCATCCCTTTGGCCGTGTCCCTGCCCATTTCACACTCACACACTCACCCCTTTGGCCGTGTCCCTGCCCATTTCACACTCACACACTCACCCCTTTGGCCGTGTCCCTGCCCATTTCACACTCACACACTCACCCCTTTGGCCGTGTCCCTGCCCATTTCACACTCACACACTCACCCCTTTGGCCGTGTCCCCGCCCATTTCACACTCACACACTCACACCTTTGGCCGTGTCCCCGCCCATTTCACACTCACACACTCACCCCTTTGGCCGTGTCCCTGCCCATTTCACACTCACACACTCACTCCTTTGGCCGTGTCCCTGCCCATTTCACACTCACACACTCACTCCGTTGGCCGTGTCCGTGCCCATTTCACAATCATACACTCACTCCTTTGGCCGTGTCCCTGCCCATTTCACAATCATACACTCACTCCTTTGGCCGTGTCCCTGCCCATTTCACAATCATACACTCACTCCTTTGGCCGTGTCCCTGCCCATTTCACAATCATACACTCACTCCTTTGGCCGTGTCCCTGCCCATTTCACACTCACACACTCACACCTTTGGCCGTGTCCCTGCCCATTTCACACTCACACACTCACACCTTTGGCCGTGTCCCTGCCCATTTCACACTCACACACTCATTCCGTTGGCCGTGTCCCTGCCCATTTCACACTCACACACTCACCCCTTTGGCCGTGTCCCTGCCCATTTCACACTCACACACTCACTCCTTTGGCCTTGTCCCTGCCCATTTCACACTCACACACTCATTCCTTTGGCCGTGTCCCTGCCCATTTCACACTCACACACTCACCCCTTTGGCCGTGTCCCTGCCCATTTCACACTCACACACTCACTCCTTTGGCCTTGTCCCTGCCCATTTCACACTCACACACTCATTCCGTTGGCCGTGTCCCTGCCCATTTCACACTCACACACTCACCCCTTTGGCCGTGTCCCCGCCCATTTCACACTCACACACTCACTCCTTTGGCCTTGTCCCTGCCCATTTCACACTCACACACTCACCCCTTTGGCCGTGTCCCTGCCCATTTCACACTCACACACTCACCCCTTTGGCCGTGTCCCTGCCCATTTCACACTCACACACTCACCCCTTTGGCCGTGTCCCTGCCCATTTCACACTCACACACTCACTCCTTTGGCCGTGTCCCTGCCCATTTCACACTCACACACACTCCTTTGGCCGTGTCCCTGCCCATTTCACACTCACACACTCACCCCTTTGGCCTTGTCCCTGCCCATTTCACACTCACACACTCACTCCTTTGGCCGTGTCCCTGCCCATTTCACACTCACACACTCACCCCTTTGGCCGTGTCCCTGCCCATTTCACACTCACACACTCACCCCTTTGGCCGTGTCCCTGCCCATTTCACACTCACACACTCACCCCTTTGGCCGTGTCCCTGCCCATTTCACACTCACACACTCACTCCTTTGGCCTTGTCCCTGCCCATTTCACACTCACACACTCACCCCTTTGGCCGTGTCCCTGCCCATTTCACACTCACACACTCACCCCTTTGGCCGTGTCCCCGCCCATTTCACACTCACACACTCACCCCTTTGGCCGTGTCCCTGCCCATTTCACACTCACACACTCACCCCTTTGGCCGTGTCCCCGCCCATTTCACACTCACACACTCACCCCTTTGGCCTTGTCCCTGCCCATTTCACACTTAGACATTCATTTTTTTATTGCCTATGAGAAAGAAAGAGCTGGTGCTGGGCAGGTTCAGTCTTGTGAGCTGGGCGTGGAGACAACGAGGGGGGGGGTGTGGGGTGACAGCAAGGAGGGGTGGATACAGGACCCCAAGAAGGAGACATTGTCCACTGTCCATGTTCCTGGGCTCGCTGGGGTCCCCTCCGCCCTTCTTCCTCTGACCACACTCTCTCACCTCATATTTGTCTGCTAATTCGATGGGGAAGGAGGGATGTGTGTGAAACAGACCGGGGTCCCCTCTGACCCCCCTCTTCTCCTCCCCGCCCCCCTCCACAGGCCTCCCAGACCAGGATGTCGGCGGCTTCCCTGGTGCCCTTTTGGGGATGGTGGTGGGAGTGGCCACTTTGGTCATCACCGTCCTCATGTTTCTCTGCACGAGGTAACTCCCCCCTCCCCACGCCCCCATCCCCACCCCCACTGACCAACAAAACAAACACCCAAAAAACTCAAAAATGTGACGCTCTGGGCCCTGGCTGGTGTGGCACAGTGGATAGAGCGTCGGCCTGCAGACTGAAGGGTCCTGGGTTCGATTCCCAGTCAAGGACCCAGGCCTAGGGGTTCAGGCTCCTCCCTGGCCCAAGCTGGGCCCTGGTCGGGGCATGTGCAAGAGGGAACCCATCGACGTGTTTCTCTCACATCGAAATTTTTTTCTCTCTTTCCCTCTCTCTTCCACTCTCTCTAAACATCAATGGGAAAATGTTCCCATGTCAGGATTCACAAAAAAATAAATAAATAAAATTCAAGGTCAACCCGGCCAGCGTGGCTCGGTGGTTGAGCGTCAACCTATGAACCAGGTGGTCATGGGTTCGATTCCCGGTCAAGGGCACATGCCCGGGGTTGCGGGCTCCATCCCCAACCAGTAGGGGGCGTGCAGGAGGCAGCCGATCCGTGATTCTCTCTCCTCACGGATGTTTCTCTGTCTCTCTCTCTACCTCTCCCTTTTTCTCTGAAATCAATTTTTTTAAAATATATATTTTTTAAATGGAGCCGTAGCTGCCACCCCAGTCAAACCCCCTGGCACAGCTGATACCTCAACCCTCCGGCTGTTGAAACAGGCCCAAGTCACCCTTGTCCAGGACCTGAAGCCACATTCTGGCCCCAAAGATCTGTTTTTTTGCAAAGAGACAACAGCAAAGCAAGTGTCTATCTGTAGTAGCCCTTGAGGGTAGGGGGGCAGCTCCCCACCATCCATGTCCCCCATCCCCGCCCCCATTCGGCAGGAAGTGCGAGTCCCGGGTGGATGGCGTCCAGGCCACATGCCCTGAACTTGGCCGCTGGGTTGATCGGGGAGGAGCCGGGTGCCCCTGGGGTCAGACCCTGAGCTGGCGGGCCCCTCACGATTTCTCTTCCTCCCTCCCCCTCCCACCCCCAGGTTCTCCCTGAGACGGAAGCTATTCCCTCCGGTGCCCCAGGTGAAAAGGGAGGTGACGGGCACCGGTGAGGCCTTCCCAGAGGTAAGTGTGTGCACGGGCAGCTGGATCCGGGGGGACAGGCATGGGCCCGGGTGGCCCTGGAGGTTTGGGGTGGCTGGGGACATGGTACCCAGAGATTTGCACGTTCTGGAACGTTCCACAGAAATGGAATCAGCCTGGCCGGTGTGGCTCAATGGATAGAGTGTCAACGTATGAACCTGGAGGTCCCGGGTTCAATTCCCGGTCAGGGGCACATGTCCCGGGTTGCGGGCTCCATCCCCAACCAGTAGGGGGCGTGCAGGAGGCGGCCGATCCATGATTCTCTCTTGTCGATGTTTCTCTCTCTCTCTCTCTCTCTCTCCCTCTCCCTTCTTCTCTGAAATCAATAAAAAATATAAAATAATAATAATAATAATAATAAAATTAGCAAATGGGCCTTGTGTGTCTGGCTTTTCTCACTGAGCATCTTGTATGCAAGGCGCATCCACACTGTAGCCTGGGCCAGGGCCGGCCTCCCTTTTTCATGGCTGCGTACTATTCCACTGTGCGGAGGGGACCAGCTCTGCTTGGCCATTCGTCCATCTGCGGACACTGGGGCTGCTGTGACGGGGGCTGGCATTTCTGCTGGTCTTACTGCTGTTTTTTTCTTTCTTTCTTTCTTCTTTCCTTCCTTCCTTCCTTCCTTCCTTCCTTCCTTCCTTCCTTCCTTTCTTTCTTTCTTCCTTTTTTCTTGGATAATCCTGACCTAAGGGTATTTTTTCCCCATTGAGATTTTTCATTTATTTTTGTTTAATATTCCTTTTTATTGATTTCAGGGAGGAAGGGAGAGGGAGAGAGCAATAGAAACACCCATGATGAGAGAGAGAATCATGGATCGGCCGCCTCCTGCACGCCCCCCACTGGGGATGGAGCCTGCAACCCGGGCGTGTGCCCTTGACCGGGAATCGAACCCGGGACCCTTCGGTCCGCGGTCCGGCGCTCTAACCACTGAGCCACAACAGCTGACGCTCTAACCACTGAGCGACACCGGCCGGGCGAATGCTCATTTCCCGCCGGGAGAACCGCAGGCTCCGGCCGGCGGCCTGAACTGGGAGGGCTCCGTCCTCTCTCTCAGGTCGCCTGGGACCGGGTCAGCCGGCGGCCGAGCCTGCAGGAAGCAGAGGAGATCCTGTCGGTGGAGGAGGTGCGGCCCCTGGAGAGCGGACAGGGGGACCCCGTGTACCCGGCATTGCCCCAGCACCTCAGCGCTGAGGGCATCGGTCCTGAGTGTCATCCCCTCGACGTGTGAGGTTCCAGGCGGGGAGAGAGAGGTCACCCCATCCCACTGGGCCCGCGGCCTGTTCAACCAGCTTGTGTGTGTGTGTGTGTGTGTGTGTGTGTGCAGGGGTGTGTGTGTGTGCAGGCGTGCACGCACACTTTTGCAAATCATGTGCAGATGTGCATGCACGTGTGTGCAAGGCATGTGCAGAAATGCATGCATGTGCATGCAAAGCATGTGCAAGTGTGCATGCATGTGTGTGCAAAGCATTGCAGGTATGCATGCTATATGCCCATGTGCACACGTGCAGGATCATGTGTGGTCATGTGTGTTGTGTACATGTTCATATGTGGTGTATGCAGAAACATTGTGCAGGTGCACGCGTGCTGTATGTGCATGCACACCTGCAAAATCATGTGTGTTATGTGCTATGATCACGTGTTGTGTGAGAGCATGTGCATGTGTGTGCACACATGTATGCACGTGTGTGCATGTGCAGGGTCATGTGCTGTACGTGTGTGCTGTGTGCACAGGTTTGCTTGTGCTGTGTGTGCAGAAACATTCGTGTGGGTGTGGGTGTTTTGTGTTATGAGCACTGTTCTGTGTGAGCATGCATGTGCATGTGTGTGTGTGCATATTGTGTGTGCATGCAGGGGTATGCGTGACTATGTGGGCATTGTGGACGGACATGCATGTGCATGTGTGTGTGTGCATATTGTGTGTGCATGTGGGGGTATGCGTGACTATGGGGGCATTGTGGACGGACATGCATGTGCATGCGTGTGTGTGCATATTGTGTGTGCATGCGGGGATATGCGTGACTATGGGGGCATTGTGGACGTGCGTGCGTGTGCATTGTGTGTGCAAGCATGCATTCGAACACATGCGCACACGTGTTTATATGCACGAACCCCTGAGAATTCGACGGAGGAATGCCAAGGGTGGTCATTGCCAAACTTCAGGAAACTTTATGTTCTCCTCACGTGTGTATTCGTGACGTTTTTCCAAAAGCCCTTTGTCGCCGTGGAAATAAACACACCCAGTCCTGACCGGTGTGGCTCAGTGGATAGAGCGTCGGCCTGCAGACTGAAGGGTCCCGGGTTCGATTCCCGGTCAAGGGCATGGACCTTGGTTGCGGCCTCGATCCCCAGTGGGGGGCGTGCAGGAGGCAGCCGGTCCATGATTCTCTCTCATCTTCATGTTTCTCTCTCCCTCTCCCTTCCTCTCTGAAATCAATAAATACATATCTATATCTATATATCTATATATCTATGTCTATATGTCTATATGTCTATATATCTATATATCTATATGTCTATATGTCTATATGTCTATATGTCTATATGTCTATATGTCTATATGTCTATATATCTATATGCCTATATGTCTATATATCTATATGTCTATATGTCTATATATCTATTTATCTATATGCCTATATGTCTATATGTCTATATGTCTATATATCTATATGTCTATATGTCTATAGGTCTATATGTCTATATGTCTATATGTCTACATGTCTATATGTCTATATGTCTATATGTCTATATGTCTATATGTCTATATGTCTATATGTCTATATGTCTATATATCTATATATCTATATGCCTATATGTCTATTTCTATATATCTATATGTCTATATGTCTATATATCTATATATCTATATGCCTATATGTCTATTTCTATATATCTATATGTCTATATATCTATATATCTATATGCCTATATGTCTATTTCTATATATCTATATGTCTATATGTCTATATGTCTATAATCTGTATGTCTATATATCTATCTCTATCTATCTCTATCTATCTATATATATATATATATACATATATATATATATATTATATATCAATGGAGAAATATATCCTCAGGTGAGGATTAACAAAAAAGAAAAGAAATACAAGAAAAAATTGAAAAAAAGGAAGAGAGAAAAGACGCGAAGACCTGCTGATAAGACAGAGGTTTAGCTTCACCGCCTCCCCCCGGGCGGGGCCGGCACTGGGCAGATAAAAAAGCAGCAGGAACCTCTTTCGAAAGATTTTCTTTTCCTCGAACTGAGCCCTGAACATACGACCCGTTTCCCGGTATCGCAGGGGCCAGCTGGGCCCGAGACCCGCAGCCCTCACCCCGTGTGGCAACCCCAGCGGGTTCGGTGCAGTCACGCCCCTGGGTCACCACAGCTGGGGTTGTGGCCGCGTCTGGACGGAAAAAAAAAAAAAAAGATAAATTTGTCCTGAAAAGGCAGGCAAAGGGGGAGGGGGGCTGGGTGCTCGAACCCGGCCCCAGGGAGGGGAGTGTGTGACGGACCTGCAGGATGTGACCTAAAGTATCACAACCCGGGCCGGCCGGGGTGGCTCAGTGGTTAGAGCGTTGGCCGGCGGACTGAAGGGTCCCGGGTTCGATTCCCGGTCCAGGGCACAGGCCCGGGTTGCGGGCTCCGTCCCCAGTGGGGGGCGTGCGGGAGGCGGCCGATCCCTGATTCTCTCTCGTCGTGGATGTTTCTCTGTCTCTCTTCCTCTCTGAGATCAATACAAATATATTTTAAAAACATGCAATGGGATCAATATAATTTGATGAACAAGAATCGATCCAGAGACAAATAACAGGGGAGGTGGCGGGGGCAGGGGGTGCGTTTGAGAGCCACCAAAGGACCTGTACGCTGGCAACCTCTATAATAAAAGCCTAAAGTGCCAGGTGTCCGGTCGTCCGTTCAACCAATCAGAGCGTCATATGCTAATGAGATGCTAAGGATGCTCAAACACTCGCTGTGACGTGCACTGACCACCAGGGGCAGACAGTCGACCGGTCGACCAGTCGCGATGACATGCACTGACCACCAGGGGGCGACAGTCGACGGGTCGACCAGTGGCTATGACGTGCACTGACCACCAGGGGGCAGACAGTCGACCGGACGGCCAGTGGCTATGACGTGCACTGACCACCAGGGGGCAGACAGTCGACCGGACGGCCAGTCGCTGTGACGTGCACTGACCACCAGGGGGCAGACAGTCGACCGGTCGGCCAGTCGCTGTGACGTGCACTGACCACCAGGGGGCAGACAGTTGCTATGACGTGCACTGACCACCAGGGGGCAGACAGTCGGCCGGTCGGCCAGTCGCTGTGACGTGCACTGACCACCAGGGGGCAGACAGTCGACCGGTCGGCCAGTCGCTGTGACGTGCACTGACCACCAGGGGGCGACAGTTGCTATGACGTGCACTGACCACCAGGGGGCAGACAGTCGGCCGGTCGACCAGTCGCTGTGACGTGCACTGACCACCAGGGGGCAGACAGTCGACCGGTCGGCCAGTCGCTGTGACGTGCACTGACCACCAGGGGGCAGACAGTCGACCGGTCGGCCAGTCGCTGTGACATGCACTGACCACCAGGGGCAGACAGTCGGCCGGTCGACCAGTCGCTGTGACGTGCACTGACCACCAGGGGGCGACAGTTGCTATGACGTGCACTGACCACCAGGGGGCAGACAGTCGGCCGGTCGACCAGTCGCCGTGACGTGCACTGACCACCAGGGGGCAGACAGTCGGCCGGTTGACCAGTCGCTATGACGTGCACTGACCACCAGGGGCAGACAGTCGGCTGGTCGGCCAGTCGCTATGACGTGCACTGACCACCAGGGGGCAGACAGTCGACCGGTCGGCCAGTCGCTATGACGTGCACCGACCACCAGGGGGCAGACAGTCGACCGGTCGGCCAGTCGCTATGACGTGCACTGACCACCAGGGGCAGACAGTCGACGGGTCGGCCAGTCGCTATGACGTGCACTGACCACCAGGGGGCAGACGTTCCCACCGGTAGGTGAGCTTGCTGCTGGGGTCCGGCCGATCGGGACTGAGCTTGCGGAGGTCGGGGGGCCGGTTTGGGACCTCACTGCCCAGGCTTCTGAGAAGTGGCCATGGGCCGAACAGTCGGATGGCCGGGGGTCAGGGGGTCAGGGCAAAAAAAATGAAGATGTGAAATGACTATAGGCGTGTCCTGGGCAGGCAAAATAAACGGCCCTTAATCCAGAGACACAAACGCATCCGTAAGAAGGTGTGCACCCCTGTGTTCATCGCAGCACCATCATCCTATACAATAAAAGGCTAATATGCAAATCGACCGATCGGCACAAAGACCGGTCGCTATGACGCGCACTGGCCACCGGGGGGGGCAGACGTTCAATGCAGGAGCTACCCCCTGGAGGTCAGTGTGCTCCCACAGGGGCAGCCCTGCTCAGCCAGAAGCCGGGCTCACAGAGGGCTCCCTGGCTGCGAAAGGGTGCAGGCCGGGCTGAGGGACACCCCCCCCCCTGAGTGCACGAATTTTGTGCACCGGCCTCTGGTTTACAAGCGCTAAGATCTGGAAACCGCCCAAGTGCCCATCAGCAGACGAGCGGATGAGACAGCCGTGGTCCACCGACACCGTGGAATACTACGCAGCCCTGAAAAAGGTAGGGTCTCTTACCCTTTGAGACGGCAGGGAGGGGCCTGGAGACCATGAGGCTGAGAGACACAAGCCGGTCAGAGAAAGACACGTATCCCATGATCTCCCTCCTCCCTGGAAGCTAATGAACCAAATAAACCGATGAACAAAATAGATCCAGAGCCCTGGCCGGTGTGGCTCAGTGGATAGAGCATCACCCTGTGGACGGAAGGGTCTCAGGTTCGATTCCGGTCAAGGGCATGGACCTGGGTTGCGGGCACATCCCCAGTGGGGGGTGTGCAGGAGGCAGCTGATCGATGTTTCTCTCTCATCGATGTTTCTAACTCTCGATCCCTCTCCCTTCCTCTCTGTAAAAAAATCAACAAAATATATATTTTTTTAAATATTTAAAAAAATAGATCTAGAGACATAGAAGCATCGAACAGGCTGACATACCTCGATGTCGGGGGGATGAGAAGAGATAAATGAAAGAATCTATACACAGCCCTGGCCGGTGTGGCTCAGTGGATAGAGTGCCGGCCTGCGGACTGAAGGGTCCCGGGTTCGATTCCCGGTCAAGGGCACATGCCCGGGTTGTGGGCTCCGTCGCCAGGAGGGGGCGTGCAGGAGGCGGCCGATGCATGATTCTCTCTCATCATGGATTTTCTCTCTCCCTGAGATCAATAAAGATATATATATTTTTTTAAAAAAAGCAAAGAACGTCTATATTTGTATGTACACGGGCAGTAGGGGGGTGAAGACCTCTGTGCATGGGGGGGCGGTTAGGGGCTGGGTGGAATCTGGGGTGCGTGACCTTGGGGTGACCTTTGCGATCCCTGGTGGCCAGAGCCCCCAGAATTTGGGCAGAAAGGCATTCAAGGCTCTACCCCCGATCCCCCCTCCTCCCGGCTGAGCCCTGATGGGTCCCCACCCCTGGGGCTGTGGGTGCAGATGCGCCTGGCTGGGGGGCCCTGGCCTTGCCCTCTCCCCTCCCAGTTCCCCATTTTCTGTTCCTCTGCCCCCCCATGTGCGGCCCCTGCCCTGGGCGCCCGCCTTTGCCACCTGCAACCTGGGCTCTCGGACCCCCTCCCTCCCCCACCCTCCCCCCCTCCCCCCCCAACCCCCGGGGTTTCGTCCCATGTTCCCTTTTTTTAAATTTATATTTTTATAGATTTCAGAGAGGAAGCGAGAGGGAGAGAGAAGCATCCACGAGGAGAGAGAATCGTGGACCGGCCGCCTCCTGCACCTGCCCTTGACCGGGAATCGAACCCGAGACCCTTCAGTCCGCAGGCCGGCGCTCTACCCACTGAGCCACACCGGCCAGGGCTCCTGGGTCTCTAAATATCAAAGGAGCCCTGACCGGTGTGGCTCAGTGGGTAGAGCGCCGGCCTGCGGATGGAAGGGTCCCGGGTTCGATTCCCGGTCAAGGGCATGGACCTGGGTTGCGGGCACATCCCCAGTGGGGGGGCGTGCAGGAGGCAGGTGATCGATGTTTCTCTCTGTCCCTCTCCCTTCCTTTCTGTGAAAAATCAATAAAATATATTTAAATATTTTAACTATTTATATATTTTAATATTTTAACTATTTATATATTTTAATATTTTAAAATATTTATATATTTTAATATTTTAACTATTTATATATTTAAACATTTTAAATATACATCTAAATAAATATATTTAAATATATTTAAATAAATGCATTTAAATATATTTAAATATTTGTCTATATCCTGCAGTGAGGATTTAAAAAAAATTTAATAATTTTTTTTAAAAAAAAATAAAATAATACATGGACAAATCGCCTGTTTCCACCTTCACGTAATTACACCGGCAACAACGGTCTTGTTTAAAAATAAAAAAATAAAAAAAAATTGAAAATAAAACACAACAAAACATCTATAATAATAATAAAAAGTCAATCGCAACCGATAGGTTCCCTGCTCGCCAGACAATGCTGTGCTCTCCGTAGCAATGAGAAGCTTGTTTTACTGGATATTGATGTGTAACAATAAAACTTCAACGGTGACAAGGAAATTTAAAAAAAAAAAAAGTGAATATGCTAATTCGACCGGGCGTCCTTCCGGGCGTCCTTCCGGACACAGCAGGGGTTCGGGGGGGGGGGGGGAGGGAAGCCAGCCCGGGTCTCGGGTGCCAGAAGCCTGGCGGGGAAGGGAGGATTGTGGGGGGCGGGGGTGTGGGGGGATTTGGGGGGGACGAGGCTGAGCCCTGGCAGCAGTGACCTGTGACGGTTGGTCGGTCGGTCGGTCGGAAGGACGGGGAGGGGCGGAGGGAAAAGCTGGAGTCCGAGTCAGGCTGGAAGGGAAGCTGCGGGCCGCCCCGCGGGTTGAACTTGACCCCAGCTGCCCCCTTGCGCGCGCACTGGCCACACCGCGGATGTCTCTTTGAACCCAGATTACATTTATCTTTATTTATTTTTTTTTTAAACAGGAACCTTTTTTTAAGACAAAGGAGAACAAGCAACCGATCTGTTGAGAAAGAGGGTGGAGGTGAGAGGGGGGTGCATTTCAAGGAAACACCCCGATTTTCTGAGGACGCGCGGGGGGTGGGGTGGGGGAGCGCGCACTAGGTCCATTAGGACGCGAGGGGCGGGGCCCCAGACAGAGGCTATAAAAAAGGCTGAATTGGCCAAAAAAAAACAAGCATTGGGGTTTCTCTTCGGCTCTGGGCAGCCGGAGGCAGAAGTGGGGGGCGGAGGGAGGGCCTGGAGGGGGACCCCGAGGCCGCCTGGGGACCAGCCGGCGGGGACTTGGATCTGCGCGCGCTGCGCCCTGGGCGCACCAGGTAAGACGCAGGTGCTGGGTTCGCGGGGGACGTGGTGTCCGGGGGCCACGCCCACGGGATTCAAGGGCTTGTCCCCAGTGGCAAAAGCCCAAGATTTAGTTATTTTTTCATTAAATATATATTTTTATTCATTTCAGAGAGAGAGGAAGGGAGAGGGGGAGAGAGAGACATCCATGAGGAGAGTGGATCAGGGACCGGCTGCCTCCGGCACGCCCCACGCTGGGGGATGGAGCCCGCAACCCGGGCACGTGCCCTTGACCGGGAATCGAACCCTGACCTCCCGGTTCATTGGTCGATGCGCAACCCCTGAGCCACACCGGCCGGTCAGCTCAAGATCTTAATTATTGTTGGAGCGATTATCAGGGTGCGCGCAGGGCACTCAGAGCGGGTGGGGTTCCCATGCGTTTGGGGACCAGCTTGTCTGTATTCCTCTCACAGACCCGCAACTCTCCTCTCCTGGAAAAGGGTCCGAGCCCAAAGCGATACAGAGGTTTGCAGCCTTAGCCGGTGCGGCTCGTTGGGTAGAGCGCCTGCCTGCGGACTGAATGGTCCTGGGTTCGAATCCTGTCAAGGGCACAGGCCCGGGTTGTGGGCTCCATCCCCAGTGCGGGGCGTGCAGGAGGCGGGGGATCCAGGATTCCCTCTCATCATGGATGTTTCTCTTTCTCTCTCTGTCTCCCTCTCCCTTCCTCCCTGAAATCAATTAAAAAAATATTTTTTAAAAATATAAATAATAGATGTTTGCAAAAAGAGGAGTCAGGGTGCGGAGGGATGGAGGGGGTGGAGGGCCCATTGGGGGGTCTGAGACCAGGTCATCCTGGGCAAGGGTGGCCCCCCATCCAAGGACAGAGGGGGACTCGGGATCCCCCGGGTTACGGTCTTGGCTGGGACGTTGGCACAACGCGGGGTCCGGTTACAGTAACTGGGTCCCTCCAGGAAGTGCTGTCCGCCCTGATTGCTGGCCCTTAATTAGACTTCCTTCCAGGGCTTTGTCATCACGGCGCTTCCTGGTGATTTTCCTGGCGCGTGGTGTCCGGGTGTCTGCAGGGGGGTTGGGAAACCCCAGGGCTGACTTATACACACACACGGACGGACACACGTGCACAGGCACACACGCGTGCGTAGCTGTGCACACACAAGCAAACGTTGATATGTGCAAACATGCCTACAAACCAGCCCCCACGCCTGGGCATGCCCATGCAGACATGAGCACACAGGCAGGTGCATACATGCGTGTACACAGGTGGCATGTGAGGCACATATACACGGATGTAGCAGCAGGCACATGCATGCATGCACACACATGTGTGCCCACAGGCAGACACGGGTGTGCACGCAACTGTGCCTGTGCATGCATGTCACATGTGTGTGCGTGCACAGGCAGGCACACACAGGCACATGAGGAACACATACATGCAGGCGTATACGTGTGCACATACACCGTGCCTGCATGCATGCAGACAGCTCTGCACACACCTTTTTTTAAATATATTTTATTGATTTTTTACAGAGAGGAAGGGAGAGGGATAGAGAGTTAGAAACATGGATGAGAGAGAAGCATCCATCAGCCGCCTCCTGCACACCCCCCACTGGGGATGTGCCCGCAACCCAGGTCCATGCCCCTGACTGGAATCGAACCCGGGACCCTTGAGTCTGCAGGCCGACGCTCTAGCCACTGAGCCACACCGGTCAGGGCTGCACACACCTTTTTATACACACGCAGATGCACGCCTGAATAGAGACAGGCACCCATGCACACGTGTGCTCACTGGCAGACACATGCACACACGTGCATATATGCACAGAGGTGCACGTGCATACACATGGAGGCACATACACGCACACGCCTGCAAACCCACAGGTACACGCATGCGGGCAAACACGCACACCTGGGTCCCTCCAGCGCCTAGACCAGCGACGGCGAACCTTTCGAGCTGGGCGTGTCCGCATTTTGAAGAACCGTCACTTAACTCTGGTGCCCTGTCACCTACAGACATGTTTTGATCTTTGCAACCAGAGTCACACAAAGGCTTATATTTTTGATGTTTATTTTATATATTTCAATGCCACTGAACAGAGAAAAATCAACCCCCAAAAAAATGAGTTCGCGTGTCGCCTCGGACACGCGTGTCAGAGGTTCGCCATCGCCGGCCTATCCTATGCACAGATGCCCGTGTGCATGTCTACACCTGTAGCCGTGTGTGTGTGCAGACAGTGCAGGAAGATTACCGCACACACCCGTGTGCACACAGAGGAGGTTCCTTCCCTGAGGAAAGGACACCCACCAGGTACCTCTCCCTCGTCCTGCAGCTCAGCCCCTCGCCCTCTCACCATGGCCTCGCTCTGGCTCGCCGCCCTGCTCCTGGCGCCCCCCGTCTCTGTCCTGCTGCACAAGGACCAAGGTAGGCCGCCCGCCTGCGCTGGGCAGGTGCTTTGCGTTGAGTGGAAACCGGTGGCCTCACGAACGCCATAGAGTCACATCGATACGAATCAAAGGGTAATATGCTAATTAGACTGGGAGATCTTGGGGGCCATGAGGGTGGCGGGGGGTGGAAGTTGGGGCAAGCAGGCCGGCAGGCAGGGAGGTTAGGGGCGAGCTGGCCGGCAGGCAGGCAGGTGAGGGGTTAGGAGCCAGCAGCCTGGATTGAAAGAGGGTGCAGGCCGGGCTGAGGGACAACCCACACCCCCAGTGCACGAATTTCATGCACCGGGCCTCTAGTTTTATATAGTAAAAGCCTAATATGCTAAGTGTCCGGTCGGCCGTTCGGCCGTTCAACCAATCAAAGCGTCATATGCTGATGATATGCTAAGGCGGCTCAACCGCTTGCTATGACATGCACTGACCACCGGGGGGCAGTTAACTGGTCGACCAGCCGCTGTGACATGCACTGACCACCAGGGGGCAGACAGTCGACGGGTCGACCAGTCGCTATGACGTGCACTGACCACCAGGGGGCAGACGCTATGACCGGTAGGTTAGCTTGCTGCTGGGGTCTGGCTGATCGGGACTGAGCAAGACGGGCGGACACGCCCTGGAACCCTCTCGCCATCCGGGACCCCTCGGGGGATGTCGGACAGCCGGTTTCGGCCCCACCCCGCAGGCCAGGCCGAGGGACCCCACTGGTGCACGAATTCATGCACCGGGGCCTCTAGTGCAGCTATAAGACATGATGGAATCCGGCCAGTGTGGCTCAGTGGTTGAGCGTCGACCTAGGAACCAGGAGGTCCCGGGTTCGATTCCCGGTCAAGGGCACATGCCCTGGTTGCGGGCTCCATCCCCAGTCGGGGGCGTGCAGGAGGCGGCCGATCCATGATTCTCTCTCATCATCGATGTTTCTAACTCTCTATCCCTCTCCCTTCCTGTCTGTAAAAAATCAATAAAATATGCTTTTTAAAAAATAATAATAATAATAATAACAAATAAAGGGACTCTGTGTATAGGTCTTTTTTTTTTTTTCCGGACACTTGGGGGGCTGGGGCGGAGGGGATTTTGTCGTCTGAATATCTTAGAAAAAGGAGAATATTCTCATCCTGAACAGGCCAACCGCGGCCGCTGGGGCCTGGTTGCACCAGCCGGGGTGGGGTGAGCGGAGATGGTCAACCACAACATTTCATAACCTTTTGCCGGTGGTTTCTTTGCCTCCAAAGGGGGGGGGACGGTGGAGAGGGCGGGGGGGGGGGCGCCTTTTCGTTCCCTTTTGAACCCCTGGCAGTTCTAAAATAGGCCACCGCTGGCATTGATCTGCCCGATGTTTTATAACAGGAACGACGATTTCATGAAGTTTGCTCAGATTTTGTCGCCCTAAATCTCCGAAGCGGTGCCCAGTGCTAAGTCGGCTTTTATGGGCGACGATGGTCTCGCTAAAGACGCCCGTTCTTGCCCCGAAGATGGCGATTTTGTGGGGGATTTTGGGGGGGAGGGCGTCCCTCTCTATTTTAACATGATATGTTTTGTTCAAAATTTGCTTCTGCTAGAATTTTATAATACAGTCAGCAAGCAACGATGAAAACAAATGTAGTCCAGGGTTCCTGAAGTTTTTATTGCCTTTGGGGGTTTTTTTTTTCTTTTCCGTAAGTTTTTTGGGGGTATTTTTTTTAAATATATTTTATTGATTTTTTACAGAGAGGAAGGGAGAGGGAGAGAGAGTCAGAAACATCGATGAGAGAGAAACATCGATCGGCCGCCTCCTGCACGCCCCCCACTGGGGAAGTGCCCGCAACCCAGGTCCGTGCCCTTGACCGGGAATCGAACCCGGGACCCTTCAGTCCGCAGGTCAAGGCTCTATCCACTGAGCCAAACCGGCCAGGTATATACATATATATTAGAGGCCCGGTGCACAAAATTTGTGCACTGGGGGTGGAGTCCCTCAGCCCGGATTGCAAGAGGGCGCAGGCCAGGCCGAGGGACCCCACGGGTGCACGATCGGGGCCGGGGAGGGACCATAGGGGGGCTCCAGGGTGTGTCCGGCCCATCTCGCTCAGTTCCGATCGGCCGGACCCCAGCAGCAAGCTCACCTACCGGTCTGAGCGTCTGCCCCCTGGTGGTCAGTGCACGTCATAGCGACATGTCGACTGTCTGCCCCCTGGTGGTCAGTGCACGTCACAGCGACTGGTTGTCCCGTTGACTGTCTGCCCCCTGGTGGTCAGTGCACGTCACAGCGACTGGTCACCATCTGCCCCCTGGTGGTCAGTGCACGTCATAGCGACTGGTCAACCATCTGACCCCTGGTGGTCAGTGCACGTCACAGCGACTGGTTGTCCCGTCGACTGTCTGCCCCCTGGTGGTCAGTGCACGTCACAGCGACTGGTTGTCCCGTTGACTGTCTGCCCCCTGGTGGTCAGTGCATGTCACAGCGACTGGTCAACCATCTGCCCCCTGGTGGTCAGTGCACGTCACAGCGACTGGTCAACCATCTGCCCCCTGGTGGTCAGTACACGTCATAGCGAGTGGTGGAGTGCCATTAGCATATCATTAGCATCTTACGCTTTGATTGCTTGAATGGCGGACCGGCTGACGGGACACTTAGCATATTAGGCTTTTATTCTATAGGACATTTTTTTTTAAAAAATAACTCCACGTTTCCACAATATTGCCTAAGTCAGAGAGAGAACGAAGTTTCCCGTCGGGGGGCGGGTTTTAGCGTCCCCGTCTCTCTCCTAACCCTCCACCCTTCAGATCCAAACCCGCCGATTACGAACGTCAGGATGGAGCCCGGGACCAAGAGGCTGACCTGGGATCTCCGTGGCAACGTCTCCAGCATCGAATGCGTCGAAGGTTCCACTTTCAACGCAAAGGTAAAAGCCGTTCCCCTGGACGTAGCACACCAGACGATACCAAGTCTTCCCCTGACCAGAGAACAGGCAATCGTTGAGCCTGAGCCCATCTCGGGGCACCCCCTGGCCTGTGGGCTGTGGGGCGAGGCATTTACGGGCACCAGGCTCAGGGTGGGTCGTCTGCAAAATGTCGAAGATGGTACCGCTCGGCCCAGCCTGTTTGGCTCAGCAACTGAGCATCGGCCGATGAACCAGGAGGTCACGGCACGTGCCCGGGTTGCGGGCTCGATGCCCAGTAGGGGGCGGGCAGGAGGCAGCCGGTCCATGATTCCCTCTTATCTTTGACTAGACGCCAGGTGCACGAATTCGTGCACCAGTGGGGTCCCTTTCCCTGGCCTGCAGGATTGGGCCGAAACCGGCTCTCCGAAGTCCCCCGATGGGTCCCGGATGGCGAGAGGGCACAGGCCAGGCCGAGGGGCCCCACCATTGCACGATCGCGGCCGGGGAGGGGCCGCAAGAGGAATCCAGGGCGTGTCCAACCCGTCTCGCCCAGACCCCAGCAGCAAGCTGATCTACCGGTCAGAGCTTCTGCCCCATGGTGGTCAGTGTGCGTCATAGCGACTGGTCGGGCGGTCGAACAGACGGTCGGACGCTTAGGATATTAGGCTTTTATTATACTAGTACTAGAGGCTCAAAGCATGATTGAATTGTGCCCGTGTAGGGTCCCCTAGGCCAAGCCTGGCTTCAGGGCCATGTCCGTTGCCCCGGAATGCCTCACACGCTCTGAGGACACTGCCGGCGCCCCGGGGGGCGGTGGGGGAGAGCCCGAGAGGTGCCCCATGCACGGCCTGGTGACCGGTCGTTTGGTCGTTACGCGTTATGGTCACTGGCCATTTATAATGTAGATAGGGAGGATGATTCCTGTCTCTCTCCCTGTCCTTTCCCCTCTGAACTCAGTAAAAGTATGAAACACACACAAAAAATCAAGGTTAAATATGCTGAGTGTCTCTAAACGGGACATTCCTCCGTCTCGCTCAGGCCGAAAACAACCTTTTCTGCCAGTTCTTCCTGCTCCCCAAATGCACGCGGACGAACTACACGGTCAAGGTCACCGTGATCGACGGTGAGCCGTACTCCACGTGGATTGAGTATCCCAAGCAAGGTGAGGGCTAAATGCTATATATATTGATAAATAAATAGATAGATAGATAGATAGATAGATAGATAGATAGATAGATAGATAGATAGATGATAGATAGATAGATAGATAGATAGATAGATAGATAGATAGATAGATAGATAGATAGATAGATAGATAGATAGATGATAGATAGATAGATAGATAGATAGATAGATCGATATAGATAGATAGATAGATAGATAGATAGATATAGATATAGATAGATAGATAGATAGATAGATAGATAGATAGATAGATAGATAGATGATAGATAGATAATAGATAGATACATAGATACATAGATACATTGATAGGATAGATGATAGATGGATAGATGATAGATTGATAGATGATAGATAGATATAGATGATAGATAGATGATAGGTAGGTAGATAGATAGATAGATAGATAGATAGATAGATAGATAGTGTCCCAAAATTCACGCAAGATTTGAATTCTGCGTGAGCATTCACAACAACAACAAATAAAAGCCTGATTTGACTCAGTTTATTGAATCAGATTCTCATATCTGTTGCCCTTGGATGTCAATCCCTTCGATTCGATCAGCATCACCAAGGACCAATGATGGCCCAGGAGCCGGGACAGGGAAGACCAATGAAGACCGCGGCTTTGCGTCTGTGCCAGCAAAGCCAGGGAGGCCATGGACCCGAAGTGCTATTCCATTCATAAACCCTAGACTGTGTCCTTTATGAGTCAATGAAAAATTTACAGTTTTTAATGATAAACCTGTATTTTCTATCAAAATTACTTCTTGCGTGAATTTTGGGACACTATATATATTTTTTGCTTTTAATCATGAATCGGTCGTCTGAATATCAAAAATCATTACTTTGAGCCCAGCCGGTGTTGCTCAGTGGTTAAGCATCAACCTAGGAACCAGGAGGTCACGGGTTCGATTCCCGGTCAAGGGCACACGCCCAGGTTGTGGGCTCGACCCGCAGTAGCCCTTGAGTGGGAATCGAACCTGCGACCCTTTGGGGTGCAGGGTGATGCTCTGACCACTGAGCCACACCAGCCAAGGCAAAAGGAACTTGGGGTGTGTGTGGGGGGGGGTGTGAGTGTGAGTGTGTGTGTGAGCGTGTGTGGGGGTTTTTTTTGTTGTTTTTACTTTTCTCTTCCTTACATTTGTGGTGATCTTCCTGGCTTTTTTTTTTTTTTTTTTTTGGTAATCTGAATATTTTGGTAATCTTTGCATTTTTCAGTTCTCTTCCTTGCAGTATTTTTTTGTAATTTTTGCGCTTTTTTTTTTGGCTATTTTTCTTGCATGTTTTTGTAATTTTTGTATTTTTCAGCTTTCTCCGTTGCAATTTTTTTTGTTTTTTTGCGATCTTCTTTGCATCTTTTGGTAATCGTTGCATTTGTCGGTTTTCTTCCTTGCATTGTTTTGTAATTTTTGCATTTTTTGGCTAACTCCCTTGCTTTTTTTTTCTTCTTCTTCTTCTTCTTCTGATCTTCTTGGCATCTTTAGGTAATCTTTGCATTTGTCGGTTTTCTTCCTTGCATATTTTTGTAATTTTTGCATTTTTTATTTTTGGCTATTTTCCTTGCATGTTTTTGTAATTTTTGTATTTTTCGGCTTTCTCCCTTGCATTTTTTTTCTGTAATTTTTGCATTTTTTTGGGGGCCATTTTCTTTGCATATTTTTGTAATTTTTGCATTTTTTCATCGGTCTTTTTTGGAATTGGTGGGAAGAATTTTCTTTGCCTTTTTTTTGTAATTTTCTTTGCTTTTTTTTGTTTGTTTTGCTCTCGTCTTCGTACGTGTAGAAGGGAACCCCGCCGCAGCTGCTGAGGGCCTGGCCTGCGAGGTCCATGACAAGGACGCCCTGACCTGCAGGTGGGCGGTGGGCAGGGCGGCCCCCAGCGACGTCCAATATTATTTCCACTTGGAGCACTCCAGGTAGGGGGGCCTTGGGCGGGGCTGGCGCCTCCTGGGCGGGGCTAGGATCTCCTGGGCGGGCTGGGGCCTCCTGGGCGGGACTAGGGTCTCCTGGGCGGGGCCAGAGCCATTGGGCGGGGCCACAGCCTCCTGGAATTGGCTAGGGTCTCATGGGCGTGGCTTGGGTCTCCTGGGCGTGGCTAGGGTCTACTGGGCGGAGCTAAGGTTTCCTGGGCGTGGCTTTGTCTCAAGGGCGTGGCTAGGGTCTCCTGGGCGGGGCTTAGGACTTCTGGGCGGGGCTAAGGACTTCAGGGCGTGGTTAAAGACTTCTGGGCGGGGCTAAGGGCTTGCTCGGGCGGGTCTAAGGGCTTCTGGGCGGGTCTAAGGACTTCTGAGCGGGAATAAGGGCTTCTGGGCGGGACTAAGGGCTTCTGGGCGGGGCTAAGGGCTTCTGGGCGGGTCTAAGGGCTTCTGGGCGGGACTAAGGGCTTCTGGGCGGGACTAAGGACTTCTGGGCGGGACTAAGGGCTTCTGGGCAGGACTAAGGACTTCTGGGCGGGGCTAAGGGGCTTCTGGGCGGGACTAAGGGCTTCTGGGCGGGACTAAGGGCTTCTGGGTGGGACTAAGACTTCTGGGCGGGGCTAATGACTTCTGGGCGGGACTAAGGACTTCTGGGCGGGACTAAGGGCTTCTGGCGGGTCTAAGGGCTCTGGGCGGGACTAGGACTTCTGGGCGGGACTAAGGTCTTCTGGTCGGGACTAAGGACTTCTGCTGGCGGGACTAGGGACTTCTGGGCGGGACTAAGGTCTTCTGGGCGGGGCTAAGGGCTTCTGGGGCGGGACTAAGGCTTTCTGGGCGGGTACTAAGGACTTCTGGGTGGGACTAAAGGACTTCTGGGCGGGACTAAGGCTTCTGGCGGACTAAGGACTTCTGGGCGGGACTAGGATGGGCATCTGGGCGGGACTAAGGACTTCTGGGCGGGGCTTAGGGACTTCTGGGCGGGGCTAGCATCTGCTGGGCGTGGCAGTTGTCTCCTGGGCGGGGCTAGGCCATCCTTCTTAACCACGCCCCCTTCGTGCAGCACCGCTCAGCGGTGGGCGTGTCCCAGGTACCTGACGACCGAGGGCAAACACACCGCGTGCCGGTTTGACAACATCTCTGCCTTTTTCGACCCAAAACAACACCTGTTCTACCAGTTCTGGGTGACGGGCACCAGCCACGGGGACACGATTCCCTGCTCTGAATTATTCTCCGAATTGTCCAAGATCGGTGAGTGATTGAGGGTCCAGGAAACTTCTTTTTTTCATAGATGCATTTTTTTAAAAAAAAAAAAAATGATTTTGGAGAGGAAGGGAGAGGGATGGAGAGAGAGAGACATCCGTGATGAGAGAGAATCATGGATCGGCCGCCTCCTGCACGCCCCACACTGGGGATGGAGCCCGCAACCCGGGCCTGTGCCCTTGACCCGGATTCGAACCCGGGACCTCCTGGTTCCTAGGGCGACGCTCTAACCACTGAGCCACACTGGCCGGGCACCAAGCAGGCTTTTAAGCGTTCTGTCCTGAGGTCGAAATGCAGGTGAATCATTTTTTCCGGCCAAAAGCCATTTGGATATTTATGACGTCATTCAAAAACCATACAAAACTTTCTACCTAAAAATTTACCCTGCAAGCCCTGGCCGGTGGGGCTCAGTGGGTAGAGCGTCGGCCTGCGGACGGAAGGGTCCCGGGTTTGATTCCCGGTCAAGGGCATGGACCTGGGTTGCGGGCACATCCCCAGTGGGGGGCGTGCAGGAGGCAGCTGACCGATCTTTCTCTCCCATCAATGTTTTAACTCTCTATCTTTCTCCCTTCCTCTCTGTAAAAAATCAATAAAATATATTTAAAAATATATATATATATATTTTAATTGGTTTTAGAGAGGAATGAATAGGAAAGGGAGATAAAGCGTGTCCCAAAATTCACGCAAGAAGTCATTTTGGTAGAAAACACAGATTTGTCATTAAAAATTGTAAATTTTTTTTTGATTCATAAAGGATACAGTCTAGGGTTATGTATGGAATAGCATGTCAGGTAAGTGGCCTCCAGGAGAAATGAGAAATACTAAGGATGAGAGAGAACCATGGGTCGGCCGCCTCCTGCACGCCTCCTACTGGGGATCCAGCCTGCAACCCGTGCCTGTGCCCTTGACCGGGAATCGAACCCGGGACCCTTCCGTCTGCAGGCCGGCGCTCTACCCACTGAGCAACACCGGCCAGGGCCATGACTGATCATTTTCATACCCAACTACCTACTTGTTACATCTGTCTGTTGTTTCACAGACATTATTTATCCTGCGTCTGTGTCAGCAAAGCCGTGGAGGCCGTGGACCCGCTGTGCTGTTCCATCCATAACCCTAGACTGTGTCCTTTGAGAATCAATAAAACATGTACGATTTTTAAAGATAAACCTGTGTTTTCTATCAAAATGACTTCTTGCGTGAATTTTGGGACACGCTTTAGCAATACGAACGGCGGGGAGAGAGAATCATGGATCGGCCGCCTCCTGCACGCCCCCTACTGGGCTGGGGGAAAATATAGATTTTTTTTTTTTTTTTTTTTGGTTGTTTCACTGATCTGAGCTTTTTTTTTCCCTTTTTTTTTCTTTTTTCCTTTTTTTTCCCCACCAGAGAAGTTGATCGCACCCAACATCAGCGCCTCCTGCAACGAGTCTCTCGCGCTCCTGGAATGGGACATGTCCAGCCACTTGCAGAAGCAGTTTGACTACGAGCTCGAAATACGACAGGTAAATCCTTCCGCCCTTTGAAAATGTATTTTTATGGATTTCAGAGAAGAAGGAAGGGAGAGAGAGAGAAAAGCATCAACAGATAAGCCAGAATCATGGGTCGGCCGCCTCCCGCACGCCCCCTACTGGGGACCCAGCGCATTACACGGGCAGGTGCCCTTGACCGGGACTCGAACCCGGGACCCTTCTTCCGTCTGCAGGCGGACGCTCTATCCACCGAGCCACACCGGCCGGGGTCGTCATGGCTGATCATTTTTATAGCCGACTCCCTGCGTGTTATAGCTGTATGTTGTTTTACGTACATTATTTATCCTGCGTGATTCATCACCGTATACTCCCTTATCCATGTATATTCATGATTGATGTGTTATCTTTATGATTTATCCTCCTCATCTATTGACATGTCGTGTTTTCTAACTGGCCATCCGTTTCTATTTTATATGCACTGTTTATATTTATTTTTTTTATATTTATTTATTTATTATTATTTTATTTTTATATTATTTATTTTTAAAAAAATATATTTATATTTATATTTATTATTTTTTAAAATATATTTTTATTAATTTCAGAGAGGAAGGGAGAGAGAGAGAGAAACATCCATGATGAGCCAGAATCATGGGTCGGCCGCCTCCCGCACGCCCCCGACTGGGGGCCGAGCGCATAACACGGGCAAGTGCCCTTGGCCGGGAATCGAACCCGGGACCGCCAGGCTCTCGTAGGTCGAGCCTCAACCACTGAACCACACCGGCCGGTCATCGCTGGCCGTTTCACACTCCGTTTCTGTGAACGTCCACCCTCTCGGACACTCTCGGACCCTCTCAGGGGCACCCCCCGACCCAGGGCTGTTGGCTTGTGTCTTGCAGGGCGCCAACCCGCCGTTCACATCGACGGTAAGCGCACCCCTCTTGGAAATGTCCATGGGGAAGACGGGGGGAGCCGGGTGCCTGAGGGGCAGCTCAGAGAGGCTGCTGTCCGCCTGGGGCCACCCACAGAGGGGCACCCCAACGCCCCCCCCCCAATTCCTTAAGCTGGGCCGGGCAGGGAACTTGGGGGGGAAAGTCACAGACCGTCAGCTCTAACCCGCGTCATTCCACACGGCTGACCATGCATTGGCCAAACATCCATTAGCTTTGACTCTCTCTCTCTCTCTCTCTCTCATTCTCTCTCTAGAGGCCCCGGTGCACGAAATCCATGCACGGGTAGGATCCCTAGGCCTGGCCGGCGATCAGGGCCAATCTGCGGGGCGACCGGCAGGCGATCAGGGGTGGGGGGGGGTCCCCCACCGGCACCCGCCATGGCCGGCCTGGGGTCTGGGGGCTGGAGGCAGCTCCCGCATTGAGCGTCTGCCCCCCGGTGGTCAGTGCGTGTCATAGCGACTGGTCCTTCCGCCATTGGGTCGATTTGCATATTAGGCTTTTATGCTATAGGGATTCTTTCTGTTTTGCTCTCTCCTTCTCGTTCTCATTCTCTCTCTCTCTTTGACGCCAATGTGTGGCTGCTCCTCTGTGTCTGCGTCTCCTCTTCGGTGTCTGACGAGGACCCCGTCCCTGGAGGGAGCCCCCCCCCCCCCCGAGCCAGGACGGCCTCGTCTCCGAGCCTTCACCCCATCCCGTCCGCAAAGGGCCTGTTCCCAAACGAGGTCCCGTTCCCAGGTTCCGGGGGCCACACCTCTTTTGGGGAGGACAGCATTCCACACTGCGGGGCTCAGGGCACAACACCCCCAAAGTCAACACCTATGTATCAATACATAGGGTGCAGGCCGGGTTGGGGGACACCCTGGCCCTGTGCACGAATTTCATGCACCAGGCCTCTAGCATATCTATCTATCTATCTATCTATCTATAGACAGATAATTATCAGCAATGGGGGATACATAATAACCTATGTAAATGGATACATAGATGTATTGATCCATTGATGTACCGGCTCCTAACTGCTCGCCCGCCTGCCGGCCTGATCGCCCCTTAACTGCTCTCCCCTGCCAGCCTGATCACCCCTAACCACCTCTGCCTCGGCCCCTGCCACCGTGGCTTTCAGGAATCATTTACCTCCCAGGAATTAGACCATTTAAAAAATTTATATTTTTTTATGGATTTCAGCGAGGAAGGGAGAGGGGGAAACAGAGAGAGAAACATCCATGATGAGGGAGAATCATGGACCGGCCGCCTCCTGCACGCCCCCGACTGGGGATGGAGCCCTCAACCCGGGCCTGTGCCCTTGACCGGGAATCGAACCCGTGACCGCCTGGTTCCTAGGTTGACGCTCAACCACTGAGCCACACGGGCTAGGCCTGGTCTTGCTGGTTTTCCTTGCATCATAGGTCGAGGAAGATAAGTCCTACAGGCTGACCAACCCTGGAACCTTCATGGTGAAAATCCGAGCTCGGACCTCCTCCCCCTACCTGGTCGGCCAGTGGAGCGCCCCCCAGCGTTTCGGTGAGCGGGACACCCTTTCTCTCTCCCTCCTGGGCGAGTGTTGAATGAAGGCTTTGGGCACTGGCCTTCCTCCAGGAAACAGACTCGCCCACCCCCACCCCCCCAGTCTGAAAGCTCCCTGGGGTGTCTGCCTTCCAGATAGAGGGGCGTCACCCTACCACCACCCCTTCCCTCTTTTTTTCAGAAAGGGAGACAGAGAGAGAAACATCCATGATGAGAGAGAATCAGGGACCGGCTACCTCCCGCACGCCCCGGACTGGGGATGGATGGAGCGCACCAACCCGGGCGTGTGGCCTTGACCGGGAATCGAACCGGTGACCTCCTGGTTCATAGGTCGAAGCTCAAGCCCTGAGCCAAGCTGGCCGGGCTTTTATGCAGTCTTTTTTTAAAAAAAAAAATAAAAATGAATGAGAAAAATCCATACTCGCCCGGCCCACGCCACCCCAGGGCGCGTCCCCTCCCCTCTGGCCGTAGCTGACTCCTCTGCAGCCGACACACGTGCCAAGTCTTTGAAAACCCAGGCTCTTCCCCGGGTCCCTGAGGACTGGCCAGGCCAGAGCGCGCTGTGTGTGGTTATATGTGGGTGTGGCTCCGAGTGTCCCTGCATGGTGGGCGCAGCGGGGTCCCGGCGATGGGCGTGCGCCATTGGAGAGGTTCCCACGCTTCCGGGCGCGCAGGTGGCCCAGGTCCCCATTGCACGCGCCCCAACTCCGATTTAGGGTTTTGGGAAATGCCCGGGGGCTGCGTAAAGCCGCCATCCCAGACCCCAAGGGCCGGTCCAAGGGTCCTCTCCACCTCCTACCCTTAGTGTGTGACCAGGAGGCGAGCGCGCGTCTCCAAGCGAAAACCCAGTCTCTTCCCCGGGGTCCCTGAGGACTGGCCAGGCCAGAGCGCGTTGTGTGTGGTTGAATGTGCGTGCGGCTCCAAGTGTCCCTGCGTGGTGGGGCGCCTTGGGGTCCCGGAGATGGGCGCGCGCCCGTTGGAGAGGTTCCCGCGCGCCCGGGCGCGCAGATGGCCTCTGTCCCCACTGGACTGAGCCCCAAACTGGACCTGGGAGTTCAGGGAAATGCCCGGGGGATACTTGAAACCGCCTTCCCAGGCACCCTTCCCCCAGGGCCGGCGCGAGGGGTCCCTTGTGCCTCCCCTAGTGTGTGACCAGGAGGCGGGCGCGCGTCTCCAAGCGAAAACCCAGGCTCTGCCCGGGGTCCCTGAGGACTGGCCAGGCCAGAGCGCGCTGTGTGTGGTTGAATGTGTCCCTGCGTGGTGGGGCGCATCGGGGTCGCGGCAATGGGCGCGCGACGTTGGAGAGGTTCCCGCGCGCCCGGGCGCGCAGGTGGCCGCTGTGCTCACTTGGACTGAGCCCCAACCTGGACCTGGGACCTAAGGGAAATGCCCGGGGGGTACTTGAAACCGCCTTCCCAGACGCTTCCCCACCTCCACCCCCACCCCTGGGCCGGTGCGAGTCGTCCCCTGTGCTCCACCCTCCAGTGTGTGACCCGGGGGCGGGCGCGCTTTCCCACGTCTGGCTGAGCTCCTCCCTCATGGCGCTGGCGACGCTGCTCACCGTGGGAACAGCCGTCTTCCTTTGCCGAAGGTGAGTCTCGAGCCCTGGTTGCCAGGAGCGCACCAAGCCCCGTGCGCCCCGCCCGCCGCCTCCTCCCGCGCCCCACCCACCCGGCGCGCGCGCGCGTCTTGGATGCCCGGGCGCGCGCTCGCGGGTCCCCGCACACAGCCTGCAGCCCCCCGCCCTGGTTTCCTTCTTTCTTTCTTTCTTTCTTCTTCTTCTTCTTATTTTTTAAATCCTCACCCGAGGATATTTTTCCCTTTGATTTTTAGAGAGAGTGGTAGGGAGAGAGGGAAAGCCAGAGAGAAACTTCGATGTGAGAGAGACACATCGATGGGTTGCCTCCTGCGCGCGCCCCGCCGGGGAGGAGCCTGCCACCGAGGTCCGTGCCCTGGACCGGAATCGAACCCGGGACCCTTCGGGTCCGCAGGCTGGAGCTCTATCCACTGAGCCACACCGGCCAGGCCCGAGGGGGATTTTGGAAAACTTGTCCCCGGCTTCGCCCATCTATGAGGTCCCTGCCGCCTGGGGGACCCCCCCCCCCTGGATGCCTGATCCCCAAGGCTGTATCCGGGGGACCCCTGCCTTCCCTATCCGGACCCCCAAACAGATGGGTGCGTGGAGGCTACAATCCGGCTCCTTTGCGTGGCCCCAGTGCCCCCCGCCCCCACCCCCCAATTTAGCTCCTTGAAACATTGTCCAGACTCCGCGAGCCCCGCCATGACCCCGCCCCGGCCTCGGGGTCCCTCCCGCCTGCCAGGTCTCTCTCCTGGCTTCTCCCCAAGTCTCCCAGAGGAGGGGACATAGTCCCAGGGTAGGGGACCATGGACTTCCAGCAGACGCTGTTGGGAGGGGGGAGGTTGCCATGGTGACAAGGGAGGGGGAGGTTGCTATGGTGACAGGCATCTCTAGCTGCGTCTCCGAAGTGGACGCAGCCTGGTCTGTGCTGAGGCCATTTTTTCATTTTTGCAGAGAGTGGAAGGGAGAGGGAAAGGCCGAGAGTAAAAACAAAATAAAACAAAACAAAAACACAAAAGACAGAAACATTGATGTGAGAGAGACACATCCATGGGTTGCCTCCTGCACACGCCCCGACCAGGGCTCGGTAGGGAGGAGCCTGCAAGCCAGGTACGTGCCCTTGATGGGAATTGAACCCAGGACCCTTCAGTCCGCAGGCCGGCGCGCTATCCACTGATCAACACTGGCTAGGGCATGGCCTCCCCTTTGGAGGTGCAGGTACCAGCACTCCTACTAAGAATAGGATGGCTCATCTGGGGTGGGGGGAATGAAGAGGGGGGTCCCTATAGCTACCCGGTAACCTGCGTCGCTGGCATGGAGGATGGATGGATGGATTGATGAATGGATGGGTGGATGGATAGGTGGATGGATGGATGGATGGACGGATGGATGGATGGATGGATGGGTGGGTGGATGGGTGGATGGATGGATGGGTGGATGGATGGGTGGATGGATGGATGGGTGGATGGATGGGTGGATGGATGGATGGATGGATGGGTGGATGGATGGATGGATGGATGGGTGGATGGATGGATGGATGGTGGATGGATGGATGGATGGATGGATGGATGTATGGATGGATGGGTGGATGGATGGATGGATGTATGGATGGATGGATGGGTGGGTGGGTGGATGTATGGATGGATGGGTGGATGGATGGGTGGATGTATGGATGGATGGATGGGTGGGTGGGTGGGTGGATGTATGGATGGATGGGTGGATGGATGGGTGGATGGATAGATGGGTGGATGTATAGATAGATGGATGGATGGGTGGATGGATAGATGGATGGGTGGATGGATAGATGGATGGGTGGATGGATGGATGGATGATGGGTGGGTGGATGGGTAGCTGGATGGATGGGTGGATGGATGGGTGGATGATGGATGTATGGATGGGTAGATGGATGGATAGGTGGGTGGATGGATGGGTGGATGATGGATGTATGGATGGGTAGATGGATGGATGGGTGGATGGGTAGCTGGATGGATGGATGGATGGATGGATGGATGGGTAGATGGATGGATGGATGGATGGATGGATGGATGGATGGGTGATGGGTGGGTGGATGATGGATGGATGGAGGGTGGATGGATGGAGGGGTGGATGGTGGCTGGATGGATGGGTAGCTGGATGGATGGATGGATGGATGGATGGGTAGCTGATGGATGGATTGATGGATGGATGGGTAGCTGGATGGATGGATGGATGTTATGGATGGGTCGCTGGATGATGGTGGCGGATGGGTGTATGCTGAGTATGGCTGGGTAGATGGATGGATAGGTGGTGCGGTGGATGGTGGGGGATGATGGAGTATGATAGTAGTTAGCTGGCTGGATGAGGATGGCTGAGGATGGATGGATGGAGGAGGATGGGTAGATGGATGGATGGATGGGTGATGGGTGGGTATATAGATGGAGGGTGGATGGATGGATGGATGGATGGGTAGATGGATGGAGGTTGGATGGATGGGTGGGTGGATGGGTGGATGGATACAGGCCGTGCCAGGCCCCGCTCAGGTGACTTTCTCAGGTACTCGGTGCTGAAGACCCTCTTCCCGCCCATCCCGCACCTGAAGGACCCCATCGGGGGCAGCCTGCAGAACGAGAAGATGGTACGTCCAGGTGTCCGCCCACGGGTCCCTCTGGGGGGGAGGTGGCCACAGTCCCGCCCAGGCAGCAGGAAGGGGGGTGACCACAAGGGTAGCCGGCAAGCAGACAGGACAGGGAACCCAGAACCCGTGCCCCCTGCCCCCTGGCCAGGCCCTGTGACCCACCCGGACCCTCCTCACCCCACAGTTTACCTGGGAGGCCGGCCGACCCACCCAGGAGGAGTGTCCGGTGGCTGAACTGCAGGTTTTAAGGGAGATGTGAGCCCGGATGAGGTCATGGCTGGCCAGGTGCCCACACAGCCTGGTGGCTTCCGGAGGGGATGTGTGTACCGGGGCGGGGACGCCCACCTGCGATGTTCACCGGGAAGGAAGCTAAATAAAGCGCTTTTTCAACCCGCTCTCCGGCCCCCCGCACACACACGGCTCCCACCCCTCACCTCAAGGCTGCTGGGGTGTCCTGTTCCCCACACCCGCACCGCCCCCCCAGCTTCTGAAATTGGAGTCCTATCTCCTCCCCATCGTGTGGACTTCTGTCTTTCAATCGTATTATGTACTTTCTTCTCCTCGTTAAAGATATTTTTATGCATTTCAGAGAGAGAGAGAGAGAGAGAGAGGGGCATCCATGAGGAGAGGGGATCATGGACCCGCCGCCTCCTGCACGCCCCCGACTGGGGATGGAGCCCGCAACCCGGGCCTGTGCCCTTTGATTCTCTCCCATCGTTGATGTTTCTCTCTCCCCCCTCGCTCTCTGAAATCAATAAAAATGTATTAAAAAAAAGGGGGCCCTGACCAGCATGCTCAGTGGATAGAGCATCGGCCTGCGGACGGAAGGGTCCCGGGTTCGATTCCTCGTCAAGGGCATGTACCTGGGTTGTGGGCACATCCCCAGTGGGGGCGTGCAGGAGGCAGCTGATCGATGTTTCTCTCTCATCGATGTTTCTGATTCTCTATCCCTCTCCCTTCCTCACTGTAAAAAATCAATAAAATATATTTTAAAAAAGGAAAAGAAAGGATACCTGGTGCATTTCGCCAGGAAGTGGCCTGGAATTCCTAACCTTGTCCAGTGCCCGGCTTCCCAGGTAACTAGTGTTTGTTAGGGGGGTGGGGGAGCGGGGGACAGCAGGTGCCAACCGGCCTCCCTTTGGCAGAGTGTCCTTGGGGCCAAGGGCAGAGCTGATCTCAAGTTGCTGCACTAACTGACCGCGGCCGGGAGGGCCCACCTGGCCGGCAGGTGAGAGCGAGCAGGGCTGGAACCGGCCTCGGCTAGAGTCCCGCCCCGGGCAGGCGTCCAGGTAGGGCAGGGGGGAGCTGAGTGACGCCCCCGCGAGGGCGAGGCTGTGGGCAGAAACGGCTGCTGTGCCCAGCGGGCAGGGCCCACAGGGGTGTGGCGGCGGCCGCCCCGTCCTGTCCTGTCCCTTCAGCCGGCAGGAGGCAGGTGACCTTGAGAGAAGCTGCTGGGAAGGTGACCCCGAATGTCACCCCCTCTGTGGGGGAGAATGTGGGTTTGCACCCGTGTGGGGGGCGGGGGGGAGGCGCTGGGGACCTCAAGATGCGCTCTGGCCCCAGCAGGTGTGGCTCAGTGCATAGAGGGTCGGCCTGCGGATGGAAGGGTCCCGGGTTCGATTCCCGGTCAAGGGCACAGGCCCGGGTTGCAGGCTCGATCCCCAGTAGGGGGCGTGCAGGAGGCGGCTGATCCATGATGGATCTGGTACCCCAGTCCCCAAGGAACAAGCCCAGAGGAGGCCCGAACCCCACGTCCAGCTGGGGGGAGACCAGCCCTGCCCTCCCTGTGCAGGGGGGTCCTGGAGGAGCCCCCACAGGTGTGGGCGGGAGGTGGGCAGCAGGGGGGCCATTCCCGGCTCCTTGGTGGGAACAATGAGTGGTCCAGTGACAGCAGGGAAGGTGAAGGGGACCCAGGGCTCCCGGAGGGAACTTCAGGTGTGAAATGCCCGTTTGTGGGGGCCACAGGGTCTCCCCCATTTATCTGCTCCCCCGCCCTCACCCCCCAAGCAAAGCCAGGGGCCCCCTTGTGACGGCTCCTCAACGGCCACTGTCCCCACCCCTCGAGGCCAATGGATCCAAACAAAACCACCTGCACCCTGGCTGTACGGCTCAGTGGGTAGAGCAGACGGAAGGGTCCCGGGTTCGAGTCCAGTCAAGGGCACGTACCTCGGTTGCAGGCTGGATCCCTGTCCTTGTGGGAGGCGACCAATCGATGTTTCTCTCCCCCTCCCTTCCACGCTCTGTAAAAACCCATGGAAACATACCCTCTGGTGAAGATGAACAAACCAAAATGAGATAATCATCCTATGTAACGAAGAGCTAATGTGCTCATTAGACCGAACGGCCGAACGGATGTCTGGACAACCTTCCGGACGAAGCCGGGGCCGCCAGGGCCGAGCCCCCTGCACGGATTCCGGGCACCGAGCCTCTAGGAATAATAATAATAATAATAACAGGAACAATAATAATGAAAAGCACAGGAAGCCGTGTCTCCGTGTCTGGGTTTAATTGCCGGCGGAATGCCCGACAGAAGGGGTTTGCGGATACTCAGCTGTGCAGAGAGGACAGCGCGGAAGCACAGATGGCGCACGATTTCCTTTAAATAAACGCTACACACGCGGCCTGCGAGGGGGGGGGGCGGGCCTGCCGGGGACCCTGGGGCCGGGGCGCCCTCCCCGTCGAGGCGTGGAATGGGGTGTCAGTGGTCATGATCGGAGGAAGGGTCTGGTCCTAGGTCCCGCCGGCGCTACCGTGATCTGGCCGCGGGGACGTGGAATTTCCGGAAGGTCAATGGTCCGTAACCGTGAGGGGCTGGGCGGGCGGCCCTGGGCCCGTGTCCGGCGGGCGGGCGCCTAGATGACCTTCTTCAGCTCATCGTACAGGACCAGCACGAAGGCCCCGCCCATGCCCCGCAGGACGTTGGACCAGGCGCCCTTGAAGAAGGCCTTGCCGCCCTCGTCCTTGAAGATCTTCCGCCAGCAGTCGATGGTGCCCGTGTACATGATGTCGGCTGCGGGGGGACGGGCGGGTGAGGACGGGCCCTGGGACTGGGCGCCGAGGGGGCCCCGGGTCTCAGGCCCAACCCCGGCCGGCGTCGGGGGGTGGCGTGCAGGAGGCAGCCGGTCAACGGTTCTCTCTCATCATTGATTCTCTCTCTCTCTCCCCCCTTCCTCTCTGAGATCAATAAAAAATATCAATGATAATAAAAGCCTAATATGGTAATTAGATCGGACAGCCGGACGAGCTTCCGGATGAAGCCAAAGCTCTGAGGGCCGAGCCCCTAGCGTATATATAAAATAATAATTAAACACCACACAGCCCTGGCCGGTGTGGCTCAGTGGATAGAGCGCCGGCCTGCGGACTGAAGGGTCCCGGGTTCGATTCCCGGCCAAGGGCACAGGCCCGGGTTGCCGGCTCCATCCCCAGTGTGGGGCGTGCAGGAGGCAGCCGGTCCATCATTCTCTCTCCTCATGAATGTCTCTCTCTCCCTCCCTCTCTGAAACCAATAAAAACATATTTTTAAAATATAATAATAAATAAAAAAACAACAACAAAAAAGAGAACTAGACCCAGCCGGCACCCCCCCCCAGGGTGCGTGCTCCCCCCATCACCCCCCCCCCCACACACACACAGAGGAGGTGAGAGAAGGGCAGCGCCCGGGACCAGGCCGCCCCAGGAAGCCAGGACAAACCCCCTCCCAGGCACTCGGGCGGGGTCCAGGGGTGGCTCCCGACTCTCGGGGTGAACCTGTGGGCTCCCTCCCTCCCGCTCCCGCCCCCCCCCCCCCCGCCCAGAACCCAGGCTCGGCACCTCCTTTGCGCCCCGACTGCATCATCATCCGTCGCCTCACGGTGTCGAAGGGGTAGGAGACCACGCCGGCCACGGCCGTCACCGACTGGGCGATCATCCAGCTGATGAAGATGTGGGTGTTCTTGGGGTCGGGGAGCATGCCTGGGGGTCACAGCGCGGTCAGGCCCGGCCCCCTCCCCCCCGTCCCCCCCCGCCCCACGCAGCCCCCAGCACCAGCGCTGCCATCCAGGGGGCGGGCGAGCCCCGGGATCGGACAGGCCACGCGTTCGGGCTGTTCCCTTGCAGAGGCGCCAGCAGGCCCCGGCCCTGACCCTCAGGGCGGCTTCCTTTTCGGGGCCTAAACCGTGTTCTCCAAAATCCACCCTGCAGCTCTCACAGGCCAGGACCCCAGAATGAGACTGTGTTTGCAAACAGGACCTTAATAAGGTGGTGAAGCCCTGGCCGGTGTGGCTCAGTGGGTAGAGCACCGGCCTGCGGACCGAAGGGTCCCGGGTTCGATTCCCGCTCAGGGCACAGGCCCGGGTTGCGGGCTCCATCCCCAGTGGGGGGCGTGCAGGAGGCGGCCGATCCATGGTTCTCTCTCGTCATGGATGTTTCTCTCTCTCTCTCTCCCTTCCTCTCTGAGATCAATTAAAAAAATAAAGAGATATTTTTGTTGTCCCAGCTGGCTTGGCTCAGAGCAAAGAGCGTCAGCCTGCGGACCGAGGGTCCTGGGTGCGACTCCGGTCGACGGCACGTACAGGAGGCAACCCGTCGACAGGTTTCTCTCTCATCGACATTTCTCTGGGTCGTTCTCCTTCTCGAAATCAATGGAAACAATATCCTCAGGGAAGAATTAAAGACACGCAAACAAACCAACCACTATCTGTATGGACGTACTTTGTTCGGAGCGAGGAAGGAAGAGACAGGCACATCAATGATGAGAATCACTGACCAGCCGCCTCCCGCATGCCCCCCACTGGGGGTGGAGCCCCCAACCCGGGCCTGTGCCCTTGACCGGGAATCGAACCCCGACCTCCTGGTTCCACTGAGCCTCGCTGGCTGAGCTGCAGACAGGGTCTTAAGAAGGTGGTGACGGTAAAATGGGGTCACTAGGGTCAGCCGTGATCCCATAGGACTGCGGTCCTTGTAAGAGGAGGTGATGAGGTCCTAGCCGGTGTGGCTCAGTGGGTAGAGCGTCGGTCTGCGGACTGATTGGGTCGGGTCACTAGGGTCAGCCGTGATCCCATAGGACTGCGGTCCTTGTAAGAGGAGGTGATGAGGTCCTAGCCGGTGTGGCTCAGTGGGTAGAGTGTCGGTCTGCGGACTGATGGGTCCCGGGTTCGAATCCGGCCAAGAGCACATGCCAGGGTGCGGGCTCCATCCCCAGTGGGGGGCGTGCAGGAGGCAGCCGTTCCATGATTCTCTCTCTTCATGGATGTGTCTCTCTCTCCCCCCTCTCCCTTCCTCTCTGAAATCACGGCTGCCGACACACCAAGGGGAAAGCAGCCCTGCCCACCCCTGGATTTCAGGACCCGCCTGTCCATTGCCAAGCAAGCCCCCCGGCCCGGCCGAGGCCACACCCACCTTTGGCCGTGTCGTACACCCCGAAGTAGGCCGCCCGGTAGATGATGATGCCTTGCACGGAGACGTTGAACCCCTGGTACATGCCCCGGATGCCGTCGGACTTGGTGATCTGCACCAGGCAGTCGCCCAGCCCCTTGAACTGGCGCTCGGCCCCCGACTTGCCCACATCGGCCGCCAGCCGGGTCCGGGCGAAATCCAGGGGGTACACGAAGCAGAGGGAGGTGGCCCCGGCGGCCCCGCCCGAGGCCAGGTTGCCGGCGAAGTACCTCCAGAACTGGGTGTGCTTGTCCACGCCCCCGAGGAACACCTGCTTGTACTTATCCTTGAAGGCGAAGTTGAGGGCCTGGGTGGGGAAGTAGCGGATGACGTTGGCCATGTTGCCCCGCCAGAAGGACAGCACGCCCTGCTCCTTGGGGATGCGCACGATGCAGTCCATGATGCCCTTGTACTGCTTGTCGGCCGTGATCTGCTGGCTGGCATGCTGCACCTGGGGGGCGGGCGGAGAGGGGGGTCATGAGGGGTCCTCACAGCAGGACCAGCTACAAGCCAACGAAAGGGGTCCCCAGAAAGCCAACCGGTGCCCACAGCCTACCACCTTCTGACTTAAAAAATATATATATATTTAGGCCTGGCCGGTGTTGCTCAGTGGATAGCGCGTCAGCCTGCAGACTCAAGGGTCTCAGGTTCGATTCCGGTCAAGGGCATGTACCTGGGTTGTGGGCACATCCCCAGTAGGGGGCGTGCAGGAGGCAGCTGATCGATGTTTCTAACTCTCTATCCCTCTCCCTTCCTCTCTGTAAAAAAATCAATAAAATATATTAAAATATATATATATATATATATATATATATATATTTAGCCCGAGCTGGTGTGGCTCAGTGAGTAGACCGTAAGCCTGCAGAATGGAGGGTCCCGGGTTCGATTCCCGGTCAAGGGCACATGCCCTGGGTTGCGGGCTTGGTCCCCAGTGTGGGGGGCATGCAGGAGGCGGCCGGTCCATGACTCACTCTCATCACGGATGTTTCTTTTATTTAAATATATTTTATTGATTTTTTACGGAGAGGAAGGTAGAGGGATAGAAAGTTAGAAACATTGATGAGAGAAACATCGATCAGCCGCCTCCTGCACACCCCCCACTGGGGATGTGACCGGAACCAAGGTGCATGCCCTTGGTTGGAATCGAACCTGGGACCCTTCAGTCCGCAGGCTGACACTCTAGCCACTGGGCAAAACCAGTCAGGGCTCATCATGGATGTTTCTATAGCTTCCTCTCTGAAATCAATAAAAATATACTTAATAAAAAAATATATATATTTTTTACAATAAAATCCACCAACAATGTGCGTTTTCTTCTTTTTATTATATATTTTTTAATTGATTTCAGAGAGGAAGGGAGAGGGAGAGGGAGATAGACAATCAATGATGAGTGACAATCACGGACCGGCCGCCTCCTGCACGCCCCCGACTGGGGATGGAGCCCACACCCCGGCCTGTGCCCTTGACCGGGAATGGAACTGGTTTGTAGGTCAACACTCAACCTATGAACCAGGAGGTCAGGGTTCGATTCCCCGTCAGGACACAGGCCCGGGTTGTGAGCTTGATCCCCAGTGGGGGCGTGCAGGAGGCAGCCGATCTATGGTTCTCTCATCACTGATGTTTCTCCCTCTCTCTCTGAAATCAATAAAAATATATTAAAAAAAAAAAAAAACCAAAGCTGCTGAAACTATTACATATGTCTCCCTCCCCCCCCCATTGGCCCCCTCCAGCGCACCCTGCTCTGCACCCCAGGCCTGCACCCCCCCATTGTCTGTGTCCATGGGCCTCGCCTCTATGCATACCTACAAGGCCTGTGGCTAACCTCTTCCCACCCACCCACCCACCCGTCCCCGCCTTCCCTCTGAGATTCTGCAATGTGTGCGATGCTTCTCCGTCTCCGCATCTACTTTGCTCATCAGTTTGTTCATTAGCTTCGCCATAGGAGATCATGGGGTACGTGTCTGTCTCGGACCGGCTTATATCACCCAGTATCACCCTCTCCAGGTCCCCACATGGTGCCTCAATGGGCCTGAGACCCTTGTCTTGTTTTGTTTTTTTTAAATGAAATCTTGCCCCAGCTGGTGTGGCTCAGTGGGTAGAGCGCCGGCCTGCGGACTGAAGGGTCCCGGGTTCGATTCCCGGTCAAGGGCACATGCCCAGGTTGCGGGCTCCATCCCCAGTGTGGGGCGTGCAGGAGGCACCCGATGGGTGATCCTCTGTCGTCATTGGTGTTTCTATCTCATTCTCCCTCTCCCTTCCTCTCTGAAGTCAATAAACGTGTATTTAAAAAAAAATAAAAAAAATAATTAAAAAATGAAATCTTTATTTTTTTTAATGTATATTTGTATTGATTTTAGAGAGGAAGAGATAGGGGGAGATAGAAACATCTATGATGAGAGAGAATCACGGATCGGCTGCCTCCTGCACGCCCCTTATAGGGGATCAAGCCCGCAACCCGGGGCATGTACCCAGGACCAGGAATCGAACCCGGGACCCTTCAGTCTGCAGGCCGACGCTCTACCCACTGAGCCACACCGGTTAGGGAAAAATATATTTAAAAAATATATAATTTTTTTTTTAAAAAAATGTCATCTTTATTGTTGCAACTTCTACATATGTCCCCATTTTACCCTCCCCTCCTGGAGCCCCCCTGGCCCATGCCCCGCCCTATAGCCTGTGCCCGCGGGTGATGCACAGGTGCAGAGCCATGAGCTGGCAAACCCGCCCTCCCCGTGCAATTCCGCAGCCTCACCCCGGTCTCCCAGGTCCCTCCCCGCGCTCCACCCTGACTCACTCGCTGCAACAAGGTTGCCAGCGATCACCCCGAGGCGCGTTCCCATTTGCAACAATTGCACCACCGCCTGCAACCCTGTTGCCGCCGCTGAAAACCGCACGGACCGTGGACGGCATCCAAGTCCGGCCAAGGGGACCCGCGGGCGGGGAGGCCCCCCGTCCACGCCGCGGCCCCGCGCAGGGCTCACCCGCCTGCAAAACAGCCCAGCGCGCCGCAGCCCCGCCTCTGCGCATGCGCCCCGCTCCCCCACCCCCTCCCACCTCCCGGAAGTCTGCAGCGGCCCGGACAAAGCGGGGTGCCGGCCTCCCACTTCCGGCGCCCTCCCGCCCGCCGGGCCCCGGTGCACGCGGCCCCGAGCTGGCCTGCAGCCCCCCGAAACCCCCCGCCGAGCTCACGCATGCGCACACCGCGCCCCCCACACCTGCAACAGCAGCTTGACCCGCTCGATGGGGGCCACGGCCGTCTTGGAGATGGCGGCGGCGACGCCTCCGGCCAGGAAGTCCTTGGCGAAGGAGATGGCCTGTTCCGTCATGGCGGCGGCGGCGCGGGGAGCCGGGGGCGCGGAGAGAGCGGAGCGGAGGCGCGGACGGGAGCCGGGAGTGTGGGCGCCGCTCGCTCAGCGCTGCAGCCGCCGCCGGGACCGAAAGGACGGGGCACGCAGCGCGCAGCCGCTAAGGCGCCCCGACGCCCCGCCCCGCGCCCCCGCGCGCCCCTCCTATTGGCCGCCGCGCCCGCCGTGGCCACGCCCCCTCCAGGGACCCGCGCCCCCGAGGGTTTCCGGCAGCCGCACCAGGCCCCGCCCCACGTCCCCTGGCGCCGTGCTCATTGGCTGCGCCGGTGATGTCTCTCGCGCCGCGCCCCGGGGGATGCCGGGAAGTGGGGGCACGCCCATGCGCTGTGCGTCCCGCGGGTGGGGGCTTTCGGAGGCCGCCGTGACCTTGTCAAGGTCACGTGCTGCGCCGACCACCCCGGACCGGAGGCGGCGGGACGGGGAGGGTCGAGCGCGTCCGAGGAGGACCCCTTTGCAGCCGGGAGCCCCGGGAAGGTCCTGTGATCACGGGGTTCAGAGCCAGCGCTGCCCCGGCCCGTACAGTGCGAACCCCCCCCAGGCCCCCACACCCGCCCCCCGTGGCCCGGCTCTGCAGGCCCCGCTCGCCTCCTGCCCCTGAGACCCCGGCCCGGCCCGTGTCCCGTGTCCATCTGCGTGGCCTGCAGGACCCTGCGCAGCTGGAGGGATCCCTGACCTCGTGACCCCTGGTGATGGTGCAGGGACTTGGGGGAAGGTTCTGGGGCGGGGGTGGCCCCTTGCACCCTGTGGGCTGCTAAGGTCCCTTCCTCCCAGGGCCCAGCCGGCTTTGGGGTCCCCTCCTCCAGGGGGTCTGGAGGCCCCAGGGCTGCTCATCACACTCCTGTCTGCACACATTCAGCTGCTCATTCCTATTTCACCTCTCACATCCACTCACCTGCCCATTCATCCATTCATTCAGCTGCTCACTCACACACTCACCTGCTCACTCTCACATCCACTCACCTGCCCATTCATCCATTCATTCAGCTGCTCACTCACACATCCACTCACCTGCTCACTCACACACTCACCTGCTCACTCACCCATCCACTCACCTGCTCACTCACACACTCACCTGCTCACTCACACATCCACTCACCTGCCCATTCATCCATTCATTCAGCTGCTCACTCACACACTCACCTGCTCACTCTCACATCCACTCACCTGCCCATTCATCCATTCATTCACCTGCTCACTCACACACTCACCTGCCCATTCATCCATTCATTCAGCTGCTCACTCACACACTCACCTGCTCACTCACACACTCACCTGCCCATTCATCCATTCATTCACCTGCTCACTCACACACTCACCTGCCCATTCATCCATTCATTCAGCTGCTCACTCACACACTCACCTGCTCACACACACACTCACCTGCTCACTCACCCATCCACTCACCTGCCCATTCATCCATTCATTCAGCTGCTCACTCACACACTCACCTGTTCACTCACACATCCACTCACCTGCTCACTCACACATCCACTCACCTGCTCACTCACCCATCCACTCACCTGCTCACTCACACACTCACCTGCTCACTCACACATCCACTCACCTGCTCACTCACCTATCCACTCACCTGCTCACTCACACACTCACCTGCTCACTCTCACATCCACTCACCTGCTCACTCACCCATCCACTCACCTGCTCACTCACACACTCACCTGCTCACTCACACATCCACTCACCTGCTCACTCACACACTCACCTGCTCACTCACACACCTGCTCACTCACACACTCACCTGCTCACTCACACACACACCTGCTCACTCACACACTCACCTGCTCACTCACACACCTGCTCACTCACACACTCACCTGCTCACTCACACACCTGCTCACTCACACACTCACCTGCTCACTCACACACCTGCTCACTCACACACTCACCTGCTCACACACACACTCACCTGCTCACTCTCACATCCATTCACCTGCTCACTCACCCATCCATTCACCTGCTCATTCACACACTCACCTGCTCACTCTCACATCCACTCACCTGCCCATTCATCCATTCATTCACCTGCTCACTCACACACTCACCTGCTCACTCACACACTCACCTGCTCACTCTCACATCCACTCACCTGCCCATTCATCCATTCATTCAGCTGCTCACTCACACACTCACCTGCTCACTCACACACTCACCTGCTCACTCTCACATCCACTCACCTGCCCATTCATTCAGCTGCTCACTCACACACTCACCTGCTCACTCACACACTCACCTGCTCACTCTCACATCCACTCACCTGCCCATTCATCCATTCATTCAGCTGCTCACTCACACACTCACCTGCTCACTCACACACTCACCTGCTCACTCTCACATCCACTCACCTGCCCATTCATCCATTCATTCACCTGCTCACTCACACACTCACCTGCTCACTCTCACATCCACTCACCTGCCCATTCATCCATTCATTCACCTGCTCACTCACACACTCACCTGCCCATTCATCCATTCATTCAGCTGCTCACTCACACACTCACCTGCTCACTCACACACTCACCTGCTCACTCTCACATCCATTCACCTGCTCACTCACCCATCCATTCACCTGCTCACTCACACACTCACCTGCTCACACACACACTCACCTGCTCATTCACACACTCACCTGCTCATTCACACACTCACCTGCTCACACACTCACCTGCTCACACACACACTCACCTGCTCATCTCCGGCCCCCACCCCAGGGGAAGCCCCTGAGACCCTCCTGTGTGAAACGCTGGGTGTTTTATTAACTTCCAGCTGAACGGCACACGGCCCGCCTGCTGGCACCCGGCGAATCTTCAGACGGGTCCACCTCGGCGCCCAGGCCCAGAACAGCTGCTTGGTAGCGACTCAAACGCAAAGGTACTTTTTTTCTTTTTTTTCCCCTTCCCTCTCACGTTCTCATTTCCTTCCCCTGTGTGTGTGTGTGTGTGTGTGTGTGTGTGTGTCCCAACTTGCAGGTAAAAACCGCAGACACTGGCCAGGCCGGCACAGCTCAGCGGTTGAGCATCGACCTAGGAACCAGGAGGTCCCGGGTTCGATTCCCGCTCAGGGCTCATGCCCGGGTTGCAGGCTCCATCCTCAGTGGGGGACGTGCAGGAGGCGGCCGGTCCATGATTCTCCCTCATCACTGATGTTTCTCTGTCTCTCCCTCTCCCTCTGAAAGTCAATGGAAACATACCCTCGGCTAGGATTTACAACAACAGAAAATTACGTGCATAGTATAGAAGTCACATACGTCTCTCTCTCTGTATATATACACATATACCTTTATTTGTGAAACAATTTACAAATTCTATATAAAATACGTTCTTGCACGGACAATTATATGTTTAACAATCTGCTGGTTTCGGCTGGGACGCCTGAGTAAGATATCAAAAGCCGCAGGGGCCTGTGCGAAGGTACGGCTCCCTCTCTGGAAGTCCGGAATTTCCCCAATAATAACGGATATATCTGCATAAAACCACCGGTCACACTTATTGGCCTGAGACACACAGGGATGGGTGTGCATTCACTTGCTCTTTTTTTTGGTAACTTACATCTTTTTTAAAAACAATATTCTTTTTTTAATACATTTTTTATTGCTTTCAGAGAAGAAGGGAGAGGGAGATAGAAACATCAACGATGAGAGAATCATGGACCGGCTGCCACCTGCACGCCCCGACTGGGGGAGAGATCGTGCGTGCCCTTGGCCGGAATCGAACCCGGGACCCTTAGGTCCGCAGGCCGACGCTCTACCCACTGAGCCACACTGGCCAGGGCCAGAGGTAACTATTAATAGAAGTTCCCAAGGCTTCCTTCCGTCTAGAAATCTGTGGGTAACGACATTAAAAACAAACAAAAAAAAACCACAAAACACGGTTTATGCCCAGGATGTGGGCTCGATGCCCAGGAGGGGCCGATCCCTGATATTCTCTCTCCTCGTGGCTGTGTCTCTCTCTCTCCCCCTCTCCCTTCCTCTCTGAAATCAATAAATTAATAAATGTATTTTTTAAGGGAACCGTTTAATTTTTAAAGAGGAATGCAACGCTACCGCTCGGCTCCCTCCAGTCCCGGCATCCTGGCCGCCTCGCCCCCTCCCCTCCCCTCCCCTCCCCTCCCCGTCCTGTCCCGTCCCTGATGGGCATTTCTCTGTGTTTCCACTCACCGGCCCTTTTCAGAAACCAGACACTCAGCCTGGAACACAGCACGGGCCCGAGCCTCCCACTGGGGCGTCTGGGGAACCTTGTCGGTGAAACGGGCAACGTGACCCAAACGAGACCTCCGCCCGCCCGCGCTCCGAGCTTCTGACGGCGCCGGCGCCGGGTCAGCCCTGGCCCGTGTGGCTCGGTGGTCACAGCGCCGCCTGTGGAGGGAGGGTCCGGGCCCGATGCCGGCCGAGGCTGCATCCCCGAGGCAGCCCATGGACGGGTCTCTCCCGTGGGCGTTTCTGTGTGTGTCTCCCTGGCCCTCCGCGCTCTTCATAAAAAACGATGGAAAATCTCCTCGGGGCAGGCCTGCCAATCAGAGCCCGTCCCCTTGGGCGCCTGCCAATCAGAGGCTGTGGCCTCGCAGGGACACGGAACCCCGGCCGGCCGGAGAGGAGAGGAGAGGAGAGAAGGGGGCTGGCGGCCAGGGCAGCGAGGAGGTGGCACCCGCTGAGGAGCACCCGGGGCAGGTGGCCACCTGCCGGGCGAGGTCAGGGCAGAGGTCAGAGGTCAGGGCTGGGACGGTGGAGGGAGGGACCTGGGCTGGGCTGGCCTCTCCCGGTGCAGCCACTGGGTGTCCAGCCCCACGCGGAGCTCACCACCCCTTCTGTCTACGTCCTGTCCTCCGGGAGCCTGTGCCTGTGATGGGCAGGTTGGGGGGCGCCCTCAGGCCAGGCTTGGGGGCTCAGGGCAGGCTGGGGGACTGAGGGCAGGCTGCGGGGGCGCTGAGGGCAGGCTGAGGGGCTGAGGGCAGGCTGGGGGGGGGCTCAGGGCAGGCTGGGGGGCTCAGTGCAGGCTGGGGGGGGCCTCAGGGCAGACTGCGGGCGGCTCAGGGCAGGCTGGGGGGGGCTCAGGGCAGGCTGGGGGGCTCAGGGCAGGCTGGGGGGCTCAGGGCAGGCTGGGGGAACTCAGGGCAGGCTGGGTGGCTCAGGGCAGGCTGGGGGGGGCCTCAGGGCAGACTGGGGGCGGCTCAGGGCAGGCTGGGGGGCTCAGGGCAGGCTGGGGGAACTCAGGGCAGGCTGGGGGGCTCAGGGCAGGCTGGGGGAACTCAGGGCAGGATGGGGGGGCTAAGGGCAGGCTGGGGGGGGCTGAGGGCAGGCTGGGGGGGCTCAGGGCAGGCTGGGGGGCTCAGGGCAGGCTGGGGGAACTCAGGGCAGACTGGGGGGCTCAGGGCAGGCTGGGGGAACTCAGGGCAGGATGGGGGGGCTAAGGGCAGGCTGGGGGGCTCAGGGCAGGCTGGGGGGGCTAAGGGCAGGCTGGGGGGGCTCAGGGCAGGCTGGGGGGCTCAGGGCAGGCTGGGGGGGCTCAGGGCAGGCTGGGGGGCTCAGGGCAGGCTGAGGGGGGCACAGGGCAGGCTGGGGGGGCTCAGGAAAGGCTGGGGGGCTCAGGGCAGGCTGGGGGAACTCAGGGAAAGCTGGGGGGGCTCAGGGCAGGCTGGGGGGCTCAGGGCAGGCTGGGGGGGCTAAGGGCAGGCTGGGGGGCTCAGGGCAGGCTGGGGGGGGCTCAGGGCAGGCTGGGGGGCTCAGGGCAGGCTCGGGGGCTCAGGGCAGGCTGGGGGGGCTCAGGGCAGGCTGGGGGGGGCTCAGGGCAGGCTGGGGGCGGCTCAGGGCAGGCTGGGGGCGGCTCAGGGCAGGCTGGGGGGCTCAGGGCAGGCTGGGGGAACTCAGGGCAGGCTGGGTGGCTCAGGGCAGGCTGGGGGGGGCCTCAGGGCAGACTGGGGGCGGCTCAGGGCAGGCTGGGGGGCTCAGGGCAGGCTGGGGGAACTCAGGGCAGGCTGGGGGGCTCAGGGCAGGCTGGGGGAACTCAGGGCAGGATGGGGGGGCTAAGGGCAGGCTGGGGGGGGCTGAGGGCAGGCTGGGGGGGCTCAGGGCAGGCTGGGGGGCTCAGGGCAGGCTGGGGGAACTCAGGGCAGACTGGGGGGCTCAGGGCAGGCTGGGGGAACTCAGGGCAGGATGGGGGGGCTAAGGGCAGGCTGGGGGGCTCAGGGCAGGCTGGGGGGGCTAAGGGCAGGCTGGGGGGGCTCAGGGCAGGCTGGGGGGCTCAGGGCAGGCTGGGGGGGCTCAGGGCAGGCTGGGGGGCTCAGGGCAGGCTGAGGGGGGCACAGGGCAGGCTGGGGGGGCTCAGGAAAGGCTGGGGGGCTCAGGGCAGGCTGGGGGAACTCAGGGAAAGCTGGGGGGGCTCAGGGCAGGCTGGGGGGCTCAGGGCAGGCTGGGGGGGCTCAGGACAGGCTGGCGGGGGGCTCAGGGTGTGGTGCGCGTGGCCAGGATGACGTCCACGATGGTCCCCGTGCGCGCGGCCCCCACGATCTCGAAGCCGTGGGCCTGCAGCAGGCGCCCGTACTCGCCCAGGCTGCGCTCCCGGCCCCACGACTGCACCAGCAGGTCCAGCGACTGCAGCAGCCCCGGCCGCGCCGCCCGCTTCTGCTCGTCCAGCACCGTCTCTGCCACCAGCAGGCAGCCGCCTGCGGCACAAGAGCAGCCGCTGGGGTCCTGGCCCAGCGCAGGGGCGGGGGTGGGAGTTGGGGGGCTGGGGGTGTGGAGGTCCTGGGGGGGTGTCCACGCTGATGGGGACCGGGGACCGAGGTTAGAAGCATAGGGGACAGGCTGCGGACAGTGCTGGCTGGGCCGGGGACCAGGAGACGGAGGGAGGGAGGGAGGGAGAGAGGGAGGGAGAGGGGCAGACAAAAACAGTGAGCAGGAAGACAGAGAGAAATGAGGGGTGAAGAGGCAGAAATCCCAGGAGCAGGGCGTGGGGGGTGCCTGGTCCTCCCTCCACGGGTTCCTGTACGGGCTCCCCGAGGGGCTCACCATGTGGGGAACAGGGATTCCCACTGTAGGGAGGAGCCTCCGTGAGCCTCATGGGGGGTGGGGGGGGGCAGGCGGGAAACCTGGGCCCCAGCTGCTGGGAGCAGGTGAGCACCCGCCCCGCACGGGGCACAGGAGGGTGAGCTGGGGGGGAGGCGAGCGCCAGCTCCGAGGAGTGCAGTGGGTGCGAGTGTGCGAGTGTGTGTGTGTGAGTGTGCGCGAGTGTGTATATGTGTGTGTGTGTGAGTGTGTGTGTGAGAGTGTGAGAGTGTGTGTGCGAGTGTGTGTGTGTGAGCGAGTGCGAGTGTGTGTGCAAGTGTGTGCGCGAGTGTGTATATGTGTGTGTGTGTGAGTGTGTGTGCAAGTGTGTGAGTGTGTGTGTGCGAGTGTGTGTGTGTGAGCGAGTGCGAGTGTGTGTGCAAGTGTGTGAGTGTGTGTGTGCGAGTGTGTGTGTGGGGGCGAGTGTGCGTGTGTGAGTGTGTGTGCAAGTGTGTGAGTGCGAGTGTGTGTGTGGGGGCGAGTGTGTGTGTGTGTGTGAGTGTATGTGTGTCTGTGTGCACGAGCGTGTGTATGTGTGTGTGGGGGGCGAGTGTGTGTGTGTGTGAGTGTGTGTATGTATGTGAGAGTATGTGGGCGAGTGTGTGTGTGTGTGTGTGTGTGTCTGAGTGTGCGAGTGTCTGTGTGCCTCCTGAGCACCGATGATGTAGGGACTTGGTGTGAAGGCTCCAAGAAGTACAGTGTGTGTGTAAGTGTGTGCGCACGTGTGTGTGTGTGTGTCTGCCTCCTGTGCACTGATGAGGGTGGGGACTCGGTATGACAACTCTGAGCAGCGAATGCACGTGTGTGAGTTTGTGTGTGTCTCTGTGTGAGTGTGTGCACATGTGCACGTCTGTCGGCTCCCCGTGCTCTGAGGATGTGGGGAGTCAGTGAGAGCTCTGAGCGGTGTGTGTGTGGTTCAGCGTCGACCTAGGAACCGGGAGGTCACAGGTTCGAGTCCCGGTCCAGGGCACAGGCCCGGGTTGTGGGCTCCATCCCCAGTGGGGGGCGTGCAGGAGGCGGCCGGTCCATGATTCTCTCTCATCACAGATGTTTCTCTCTCTCCCTCTCCCTTCCTCTCTGACATCAATAAAAATATATTTTAAAAAAGAGACAAGACAACGGTTTTAAGAAAAGCAAGTGTGGCACCCAGTCTCACCTGGTTTGCAGCTGCCCGAGATCCGGCTCAGCAACGCGTGGGCCTTGTCGTCCGGCCAGTCACGGAGGATTCTGGAAAGGATGTACAGGTCGGCCTCCGGGAGGCTGTCTTGGAAAAAGTCGCCTGGTTTCAAGACAAAATGCAGGGACCAGTCCGTCAGGGACCCAGGCACCACCCTGGGAACTGAGATGCAAAAGGGGGGCTGCGTGTAGTGGGGTTTGCTGCCCCCAAAAGCCGTGTCCACGTCCTAACCCTGGACCTGGGAACAGAACCAGGGCCATTGCAGACGGGATGGAGGGAAGGCTCGGAGACGAGGTCGTCCTGGGTCGGGGGGGCCTCCCTCCGGGGACAGCGTCCTCGTGAGACACAGAAGAGGAGACGCAGACACAGAGGAGCAGCCACGTAGAGACAGAGGGAGGCGGAGGCGGGAGGGAGGCGGCCACCAGCCCGGGGAGGCCTGGAGCCCCAGGAGCTGGGGGACGCAGGGGGCACCCTCCTTGGAGCCTCCAGAGGGATCGGCCCTGGGACCCCTGGACCTCAGACGCCTGGTCTCCAGGGCGGAGAGGACGAATGTGGATTTTAAGGTGCCCAGTTGCGTGGTTTTGTGTGGTTTGTTTTCCCGGCCGGACAAAACCAATACCCGGAAAACCTATTTGAAAAAGTTACACGGTTGCCACGGCATCAGCAAGTGTTACATTGTAGCCATGCGGTCAGGCCACAGTGTGAGCAAGTGTTACATTGTAGCCATGTGGTCGGCCACGGAATTAGCAAGTGTTACATTGTTACCACGCGGTCGGGACACGGAATTAGCATTACATTGTTACCATTTGGTCGGCCACGGAATTAGCAAGTCTTACATTGTTACCACGCGGTCGGGACACGGAATTAGCAAGTGTTACATTGTTACCAAGTGGTCGGGACACGGAATTAGCATTACATTGTTACCATTTGGTCGGCCACGGAATTAGCAAGTCTTACATTGTTACCACGCGGTCGGGACACGGAATTAGCAAGTGTTTACATTGTTACCATGTGGTCGGGCCATGGTGTTAGCAAGTGTTACATTGTTACCATGCGGTCAGGCCACAGTGTGAGCAAGTGTTACATTGTAGCCATGTGGTTGGCCACGGAATTAGCAAGTGTTACATTGTTACCACGTGGTCGGGACACGGAATTAGCATTACATTGTTACCATTTGGTCGGCCACGGAATTAGCAAGTCTTACATTGTTACCACGCGGTCGGGACACGGAATTAGCAAGTGTTACATTGTTACCACGTGGTCGGGACACGGAATTAGCATTACATTGTTACCATTTGGTCGGCCACGGAATTAGCAAGTCTTACATTGTTACCACGCGGTCGGGACACGGAATTAGCAAGTGTTACATTGTTACCATGCGGTCGGGCCACGGAATTAGCAAGTGTTACATTGTTACCATGTGGTCGGGCCACGGAATTAGCAAGTGTTACATTGTTACCATGTGGTCGGCCATGGAATTAGCAAGTGTTACATTGTTACCATGTGGTCGGCCACGGAATTAGCAAGTGTTACATTGTTACCATGCGGTCGGGCCACGGCATCAGCAAGTGTTACATTGTTACCATGCGGTCAGGCCACAGTGTGAGCAAGTGTTACATTGTAGCCATGTGGTCGGCCACGGAATTAGCAAGTGTTACATTGTTACCATGGGTCGGCCACGGAATTAGCAAGTGTTACATTGTTACCATGCGGTCGGGCCACGGAATTAGCAAGTGTTACATTGTTACCATGCGGTCGGGCCACGGAATTAGCAAGTGTTACATTGTTACCATGCGGTCGGGCCAGGAAGGCTGCCTGCACAGCACAGCATTGTTTTCCAGTCCACGGGAGGGTGTGGGCGTTCTGTGCGAACGCGAGGGCACTTTACATGAGGGACCGGAGCTCCGAGGATTGTGGCCCCTGAGGGGGTCGTGGGACCCATCGCTCATGGACACGGAGGGACCGTGTACAGACGGGGGTGCACACGCCACCTGCTCAGAGACACAGGCAGCATGCACATGCCCCTGCAGACACACGGACAGACACAGCTGCACACACTCAGACACACACACCTGCACACACACACACAGACACACTCGGTGCCCGCGGTCGGCCCAGGGCTGAGCCGACGTGAGGCGGCGGGACCTTACCTGGCACGAAGCTGACCCGCGGAGCCCGTGCGCGGTCGGGCTGGAACCCGGAGACGTCCTCGAGGACCTCCGGGAGGTCGAACACGGTCACCTTCAGGCCGGGGTACGCCCGGGCGAGCTCGTGGGCGAGGGTTCCCGTGCAGCCTGCGGGACGGACACGCAGAAACACACTCCATCACCGACCGACCGTCCTGGCACCGGCACCCGCGGTGAGGCTCCTCAGTCCGGCCTCGGCAGAACCAAGGCTCTAACCGCGGGTCGGGGCCGGCGCCGTGAGCGGCGGAAAAAGCAACGCAGGCTGGCGAGTGACCCGGGTGTGGGGTGGGGGTGCGGGCGGGCACGGCGCCCGGGGAATCCTCAGGGCAGAGCCGTGGGGGCCGTCACCTTCCCTTCTCCTTCCTGCCGGGGGACGCAGATGCAATGGCCAGTGCCACAGCAGCCCCTCTGGGCCACCGAACGGGGTGTGTGCAGGGGAGGGGAAAATGGAAGGGGGGGGGGGGGGCGGGCCATGGAGGTCTTGCCTCCCAGCCTGTGTTGTCAGTTTGGGTCAAATAAACTCATAAAAATGCTCAAAAAAAGAGAGAATGTAAGGTGGCCGCTCAGGAGTCGTCTTGGGACCCCGATCCCATGACACCCCCCTCCCCCCCGTCCAGCCAGCCGGGTGGCTCCTAGGAACCAGGGGGCCCGGGTTCAAGTCCCGGTCAAGGGCACATGCCCGGATTGCGGGCTCGATCCCCAGTGGGGGGCGTGCAGGAGGCGGCCGGTCCCTGGTTCTCTCTCATCGTGGACGTTTCTCTCTCTCCCCCCCCTTCCTCTCTGAGACCCACACGAACAGGTATAGAACAAACGGAAGGAAGGAAGCGGAGGCCGGGGCCTGGCCGGCTGTGGGCCCGGTTCCCGGGGCGGACCCACCTCCCAGGTCGCAGGCGGAGGTGAACCGAGACAGGTCGAAGGCCGTGGCCACCTGGCGGGCGGTCAGCTTGCTGAGGCTGTGCATGGCCCTCAGGAACTGCAGCTTCCGGTCCTGGCTCTGGTAGAAGCGGTCCTGAACGGAGCAGGGTCTCAGCCGGGGCCGTGCGGGCGGGAGGTGTGGGTGCGGGCGTGCAGGTGACGGGGGTTGGGGGGTGGGGGGGGGTGGGGGGGGGGGGAAGGGCGGGCGGGGGGCGGGCGCAGGGAAAACCCTTAGGCAGAGCTGTGGGGCTGTCACCTTCCCTCCTCCTTTCCGCTGTGGGGACGCAGGCACCCCCGCCTGGCCTGGCCCCGATGTCCCCGGAGCTGGGGGCTGGGGGCTCGCGGGGTGGGGCGCTGGGCTGGGAGGAGGGGCTCAGCATGGCTGTGGGGTCGTGGTCCCGGGGAGAGGGCAAGTCCATTCAAATCTGCCTGGTAACACCCCTGAGCGTCACCGCGGCCTGGGGCAGTGTGTGTGTGGCGGGGCAGGCTCTCCTCAGGGCCAATGGAGGGACAGCCCCCCACCTCGCCAGCACCTCTGGCGGGGGGCGCTCAGGGCAGCTTTGCGTTTTCATTCTCAGCCTCCCTCCCTCCCTGTCTGTCTCTCTCCCCCTCGGGGCTCACAGGGCGTGTTCTGAGCGCTCCCCCAGCCTCAGCCTCTGCCCGGGGTCCCTGTCTGTCCCTCTGTCTGTCCCCTTGTATCTGTCTGTGTCCCTTGGTGAATTTCTTTCTGTGTCTGTCTGTCCCTCTCTGTGTGTCTGTCTGGCCCTCTCTGTCTCTGTCCCTGTCTGTCTCGTCCTGCCCTGGCCCGAGCCTGTCTGTCCGCCCGCCCGTCTGTCTGTCCCTCTGCCCCACAGGCGGCTTGGCCGCGCGCTCCATCACCCTCCCTCAGAACCCGACGGACCCCCGTGCGCTCCGGCCTCGCAAACCCGGCTGGGAACGGCCGCGCCCCCCGGAGCCCCGTCCTGTCCGTGCGGCCGCACACCGCGGCCCTCGCCGGGACGCCCCCACAGCACACACAGCGTCCTACGGCACCCCCAGACGAGGCTCTCTGGACCGAGAGGCTGGGGGGCTGGGGGGCACGAGGGGCCTGGACACTGTGGGCTCCCCGACAAGGGAACTGCTCGCAGGAGCCACGGCGCCCGGTCTGCCGCGCCCCTTCCCGAGGGATCCTCCTTCCGGGACCGGGCACCCACCAACGCCTGGAGCCGGGCCCAGCCAGCACCCGAGCCCCAGGGCCCCCCAACACTAGCCCTCGGGGCGGCCAGTGCGGGGAGAGGAAGGCCCGCCGGGGTACCTGGAACAGGCTGTCCACCGTCCTCCCCTGGGCCCCGCGGTGCCGGCTGGTCCCCTCGCGGACGGCGGACTCCAGGTCCGTGAAGAAGTCCCAGGTGTGCTCGTCCTGGTAGACGATGAGGGGGTGCAGGGAGTACTTGCCGCCCGAGGGCAGGTACAGGCTGGCCAGCTCGGTGTTGCTGTACCCTGAAGGGACAGGGGACCTGGCTGCCTCTCGGGGCCTGGGAATGTCGCCCCCCCTCCCCCTTCCTACTTCCCAGGCACCATCCCGAGCCCCCTGCTCAGAGACCGCGCCCGAGAGTTCAGGTCAACCCAGCAAACACGTTCCCATCCACCCTCCCCCACGCACCCCTCCATCCATTTATTTATATCTCATCTGTCATCTACCGTCCGTCCATCCATTTATCTCATCTGTCATCTGTCCATCCGTCCATCCATCCATCCATCCATCCATCCATCTCATCTGTCATCTACTGTCCGTCCGTCCATCCATTTATCTCATCTGTCATCTGTCCATCCGTCCATCCACCCATCCATCCATCCATCCATCTCATCTGTCATCTACTGTCCGTCCGTCCATCCATTTATCTCATCTGTCATCTGTCCATCCGTCCATCCACCCATCCATCCATCCATCCATCCATCTCATCTGTCATCTACTGTCCGTCCGTCCATCCACCCATCCATCCATCCATTTATTTATATCTCATGTCATCTACCGTCCGTCTGTCCGTCCGTCCATCCACCCCTCCATCCATTTATTTATATCTCATCTGTCATGTCCATCCGTCCATCCACCCATCCATCCATCCATCTCATCTGTCATCTACTGTCTGTCCGTCCATCCACCCATCCATCCATCCATCTCATCTGTCATGTCTGTCCATCCATCCATCCCTCCATCCATCCCTCCATCCATTTATTTATATCTCATCTGTCATGTCCATCCGTCCATCCATCTCATCTGTCATCTACTGTCCGTCCGTCCATCCACCCATCCATCCATCCATCCATCTCATCTGTCATCTACTGTCCGTCCATCCATTTATCTCATCTGTCATCTGACCATCCGTCCATCCACCCATCCATCCATCTCATCTGTCATCTACCGTCCGTCCATCCATTTATCTCATCTGTCATCTGTCCATCCGTCCATCCGTCCATCCGTCCATCCATCCATCCATCCATCTCATCTGTCATCTACTGTCCGTCCGTCCGTCCGTCCATCCATCCCTCCATCCATTTATTTATATCTCATCTGTCATGTCCATCCGTCCATCCACCCATCCATCCATCCATCTCATCTGTCATCTACTGTCTGTCCGTCCATCCACCCATCCACCCATTTATCTCATCTGTCATCTGTCCATCCATCCATCCCTCCATCCATCCCTCCATCCATTTATTTATATCTCATCTGTCATCTATCATCTGTCCGTCCATCCATCCATCCATTTATCTCATCTGTCATCTACTGTCCGTCCGTCCATCCATTCATCCATTTATCTCATCTGTCATCTACTATTTATCCATCCATCCATCCATTTATCTCATCTGTCATCTACTGTCGGTCCATCCATCCATCCATCCATCCATTTCTCATCTGTCATCTACTATCCATCAATCCATCCATCAATTTATCTTATCTGTCATCTACTATATATCTATCTATCTACCCACCCACTATTTCTACTTACCTACCTATCCATCTCTCCATCCATTTATTCATCTCATCTGTCATCTATCGTCCACCTGTCCATCCACCCATCCATCCATTTATCTCATCTGTCATCTACCAACCATCCATCCATCCATTCATTTATCTTATCTGTCATCTACTATGTATCCATCCATCCATCCATCTTATCTATCATCTACTATCCATCAATCCATCCATCCATCTCATTTGTCACTACTATTAATCCATCTATCTACCCACTATTTCTATCTACCTATCTACCCATCCATCAACCCATTTATCTACGCTTTCAACTATCCACCCATCCATTTATCTCATCTGTCATCTACCAACCATCCATCCATCCATTTTTCTCATCTGTCATTTATTATGTATCTATCCATCTACCCACCATTTATACCTACCAATGTATCCATCCATCCATCCATCCATCTACACCTTTAATTATCAACCCACCCATCCACCTACCTATCTATCCATCCATCCATTTATCTTATCTGTCATCTACTATGTATCTATTCATCTACCCACTATTTTTACTTACCTACCTAGCCATCTCTCCATCCATCCATCGACACCTTTAATTATCCATCCATCCATCTATCCATCCATCCACCTTCTATCCATCCGTCCATCCATTTTTTCATGTCAGCTACCATCCGCCCACTCATCCACCCTTTTATCTCACCTGTCATCTACTATCTATCTATCCATCGGTCCATCTATCCATCCATCTACACCTCCCACTATCCATCCATCCATCCATCCATCCGTCTATCCATCCAGTCACCCACCCACCCACCCATTTGTCCATTTTTCCATCCATTATCCCTATCCTCTGTCATCTATCTATGTATCATCTATCTGTTCACTTATCATCTATATATCATCTCTGTTATCAATATCGATCTCTCCCCTATCTATCAACTATCTGTCATCTCTCCACCCCTCCATGTCATCTGGCTGTCTGTCTAAATAAATAAGCATCCATGTTGTGCACACACATATATCCTATTGGTTGTTTCTCTGGAGAACCCCGACCGCTACAGCCCCTGTGAGACCAGAACCCATAAGAGTCATTCTTCTCACACACGTGTGCATGGACACACACACACACACACACACACACACGTCCTTCCTTCCATCCATCCCTGTCTCTCACCCTCCAGGAAGCGGCCATGCTCCCAGGGCACAGGGACAGCCAGTCGGGTCTCCCCTTCACTCAGTGACTGGCTCCCGCCTCCCAAGGTTCTCGGCAAAACACCCATCCCCTCACCTCTGTCCGTCTTCTCCAGCAACCCCAGGGCCGCGCACACGTCCAGCAGCCGCCCGGTCCCGCCTTCGGAGGCCTCGATTCTCTGGGCAATCTCCGCGGCACCCAGGGGCGCTTCGTCTTGCAACAGATCAAACACCTTCATCTTGCAGGCGGTGAACAGGGCCTGTTCGTGGAAAACAGGGACCGTCAGGCTCGATGTGTGACTTATCGGGTATGTTTCCCTCCCACAGGCCCGAAGGCGGAGGGCAAGGCTGTCACGGTGAGGGAAGTCATCAATCCACCAGCATTTCCACCTACCAACCTACCCACCCACCCATCCATCTACACCTTCACTTATCCATCCATCCATCCATCCACCTATCTATCCGTCCATCCATGTACCCATCTAGCCAATCATCCACCTATTTATCCATCCGTCCATCCATCTACCTATCTATCCATCTACCTATCCATCCATCCATCCATCCATCTACCTATCTATTCGTCATACATGTACCCATCCATCCACCCATCCACCCATCCATCATCCATCCATCCATCTACACCTTTAATTATCCATCCATCCATCCATCCACCTATCTATCCGTCCATCCATGTACCCATCTAGCCAATCATCCACCTATTTATCCATCCATCCATCCATCTACACCTTTAATTATCCATCCATCCATCCATCCATCCATCCATCCATCCACCTATCTATCTGTCCATCCATGTACCCATCTAGCCAATCATCCACCTATTTATCCATCCATCCATCCATCTACACCTTTAATTATCCATTCATCATCCATCCATCCATGCACACCTTTAATTATCCTCCATGCATCGATCCTCCATCCATCCATCCATTTATACCTTTAATTATCCATCCATCCATCCACCCACTATTTCTACCTACCTACCCATCCATCTCCCTATCTGTCTATACCTTCAACTATCCATCCATCCATCCAATCATAAAAGAGAGGATTTAGGCTACAGCTGGTACAAGGTTTGCTCAAGATTAGAGCAAATGAGTGAGCCCGGCTGGTGTGGTCTCCAGGATCGACAGGAGGGAGCAGGGCCCGGGGACACCCGGTCTCCAGGATCGACAGGAGGGAGCAGGGCCCTGGGACACCCGGTCTCCAGGACGGACAGGAGGAGCAGGGCCCTGGGACACCCGGTCTCCAGGATCGACAGGAGGGAGCAGGGCCCTGGGGACACCCGGTCTCCAGGATCGACAGGAGGGAGCAGGGCCCGGGGACACCCGGTCTCCCGGATGGACAGGAGGGAGCAGGGCCCTGGGACACCCGGTCTCCAGGATCGACAGGAGGGAGCAGGGCCCTGGGGACACCCGGTCTCCAGGATCGGAAGGAGGGAGCAGGGCCCTGGGACACCCCGTCTCCAGGATCGACAGGAGGGAGCAGGGCCCTGGGACACCCGGTCTCCAGGATCGACAGGAGGAATCTCTGTTGTGAAGCCCCGTGTGTGGTCCTCCGTCTCGGCCGCCCCAGCGTGGCCGTGGAGGTACCTTGGATGCTTTGAAGCCGTCCAGGAGTTCCAGGAGGGGCGTCGGGGGCAGGCTGTCCACCATCCTGCTAGGAACCGAGTTCTTCCGGCCCAGAGCCCGCGGCCGGTCGGCCTGCCCCTGGGCCCCGCCCTGGCCGCGGCCCTCCGCGTCGCTGAGGTTCTCGAAGGTGTCGACGGCGGGGATGGAGTCGTGCTCGGCCGGCGGCAGGTCCTCGTTGGGCCGCGTGAGGTACAGCTCCGCCAGCTTCTTGCAGAAGTGGTTCAGGGGGAAGCCCACGACGTTGAGGAAGTCTCCGTGGACGTACTCCACCAGCATCCCGCCCAGCGCCTGGATCCCGTAACCGCCGGCCTTGTCCCTGAGTGGGGGGCGGGAGGGATGATAAGACACAGGGCAGGGGCCTGGCCGGTGTGGCTCAGTGGTGGAGCTTCGACCTAGGAACCAGAGGTCAGGGTTCGAGTCCCAGTCAAGGGCACATGCCCGGGTTGCCGGCTCGATCCCCAGTAGGGGGCGTGCAGGAGGCAGCCAGTCCATGATTCTCTCTCATCATGGATGTTTCTCTCTCTCTCTTCCTCTTCCTCTCTCTGAATCAATAAAAATATATTTTTAAGCCCAGGTGGGTTTAGGTCAGTGGATAGAGCATCGGCCTGCGGATCGAAGGGTCCCGGGTTCGATTCAGGTCCAGGGCACAGGCCCGGGTTGCAGGCTCCATCCCCAGTGGGGGGTGTGCAGGAGGCGGCCGGTACATGATTCTCTCTCCTCATGGATGTTTCTCTCTCTCCCTTCCTCTCTCAAATCAATAAAAAATACTAAAAAAAAAAAAAAAATTTGTAAAACATAAATCCAAAAAGAATAAAAGGCAGGTTGGTGTGGACTCTCTCCCTGAGCCTGGGCCCTGGGGAGTGAATGCAGCCCCGGCCCGGCCCTGGCGGGGACACTCACATGGGCTCCCCGCTGTGGATGTAATCCCACAGCAGCTCCTCCGACAGCTGCGAGAACTTCACCAGCGTCTCCTCGTGGAATTCCGAGATCTCCATGTCCAGCCGGCTGTCTGCGGGGACAAGAGGTCCGCGGTCGGACACGCGTCGCCCCCGCGTCCCCCAGTTTGTGTCGCCGCCTGGGGGGGAGGGGGGGGCGTCGCCCCAGTGATGCGTGCAGCTCAGATGTAGGTCATGAATGCAGAGGAAAAGGTTCAACGTAGAGGGAAAGATTAAAAGAAAATTAGAGGAAACAGCCCGGCCGGCGTGGCTCCGTGGCTGAGCCTCGACCAATGAACCAGGAGGTCCTGGGTTCGATTCCCGGTCAAGGGCACAGGCCCGGGTTGCGGGCTCCACCCCCAGTGTGTGTGTGGGGGGTGTGTGTGCAGGAGGCGGCTGGTCCACGATTCTCTCTCATTGTGGATGTTTCTGTCTCCCTCTCCCTTCCTCTCTGAAATCAATAAAAAAATTTTTTTTTTTTTTCAAAAAACAAAGAGCCCTAGTTGGTGTGGCTCAGTGGATAGAGCGTCAGCCTGGGTCCCAGGTTCAATTCCGGCCGAGGGCACCTGCCTGGGTTGCAGGCTCCATCCCCCCTGGGGGGCGTGCAGGAGGCCGCCAATCAGTGATTCTCTCTCATTGTGGATGTTTCTGTCTCCCTCTCCCTTCCTCTCTGAAATCAATAAAAGAAATATATTTAAAAATAAAAATAAAAAAAAACAAAATAAAAAAACGAAGGGAATTAGGGGAAACACACAAACAAAATGAGCCGAAAGGCGACAGAGCTGCAGCCGGCAGGCACAGCGGACGAGACGGCCCGTGTTTTGCGGTGACAATTCGTGGAGGGGCATTTCCGGGGCCGACAGCCCCCGGCTGTGGGGTTAGAAGAGCCCCGGCCGCAGTGGCTGCGGGTCGGGGTCCCCCTCCGTAGGAGAGCCCCCCAGAGCCACGACCCAGGCGCATATGATGTCCCCCCAGAATTCTCCGTCTACCCGGAGCCTGTGAGTGGACCCGTTTGGGAACGGGGCCTTTGCAGACGGGACGGGGTGAAGGGTCGGAGACGAGGCCGTCCTGGGTCGGGGGGGGGGGGGGGCCTCCCTCCAGGGACAGGGTCCTTGTCGGCCACAGAAGAGGAGACGCAGACACAGGGGAGCAGCCACGTGGAGACGGAGGGAGGCAGAGGCGGGAGGGAGGGAGGCGGCCACCAGCCGGGGAGGCCTGGAGCCCCAGGAGCTGGGAGAGGCAGGAAGTCTGAGATCCAGGGGTCCCAGGGCCGTGGTGGGAGTCGTGCCCGAGCTGCCCCCCCGCCCCGGGCCCTGGTTCCCGAGGGTCCCCAGGCCCGCCGCCGTGAGCCTGGGGAGGGGTGGAGCCGGCGTTACCTCGGCAGGAGCACTGGATGATGGTGACGCCTGTGAACACACTGTGTTCCTTCCCGTTCAACCTGCAAGACACGACCGTGTGGCTCAGTGGGTGGAGCGCCGGGCCTCGGACTGCAGGGTCCCGGGTTCGATTCCCGTCTGGAGCGTGTACCCGGGTTGCGGGCTTGATCCCCGGTCTCAGGCCGGGCGCGTGCAGGAGGCAACCAATCCATGTCTCTCTCTCTCGCATCAATGTTTCTCTCTCTCTGTCTCTCCCCCTCTCCATTCTCTCTATGAAAAAAAAAAAAAAAATCAAGCCGGTGTGGCTCAGTGGATAGAGCGTTGTCCTGTGGACTGAAGGGTCCTGGGTTCGATTCCCGGTCAAGGGCACAGGCCTGGGTTGTGGGCTCCATCCCCAGTGGGGGGCCTGCAGGAGGCAGCCGGTCCCTGATTCTCTCATCATGGATGTTTCTCTCTCTCCCTCCCTCTCCCTTCCTCTCTGAAATCAATAAACATATATTTTAAAAAAGTAAAAATAAAGTAAAATAAAAAAAGTAATAAAAATAATAAAGGATACTAAAAAAAAGGGAGAGACAGATGGGTTCAGGGGGACACAGGTGTGGGGTCACCGGTCCCAGTTAGCTGGGAGCACATGGACCCCAACATCAGAACGGGGGATGGGGGCGGGCAAGAGGGACCCAGATGGGAGGCAGCCCTGAGCAGGCAATTTCTTTTCTTTCTTTCCTCCTTTATTTTTTTTAAAATATATTTTATTTTTTTCAGCGAGGAAGGGAGAGGGATAGAGAGTTAGAAACATCGATGAGAGAGAAACATCGATAAGCTGCCTCCTGCACGCCCCCCACTGGGGATGTGCCCGCAACCCAGGCACATGCCCTTGGCGGGAATTGAACCTGGAACCCTTGAGTCTGCAGGCCGATGCTCTATCCACTGAGCCACACCAGCCAGGGCTTTTCTTTCTTTTTTTTTTTTAAAAATACATATTTTATTAATTTTTTACAGAGAGGAAGGGAGAGGGATAGAGAGTTAGAAACATCGGGTCAGGGGGAGGCGGCCCTGGGGAGGGAGGAGGGAGGAGGGACCGGAGATGAAGGTCATGGACACGTGGACCCCGGCTCCAGCCCCATTTGGGGGAACGAACACGGCTAAGCTCCAGGGTGCAGGGTCGGGCCTCCAAGGGACCCCACAAGGGCCCCGGCCCCTCCCCGCGTCCCTGGCTCCATGGGATGCGGGCTGGTCCCCGGGAGGCGGTCGCCATGGCGCCCACCTGGAGAGCATGCTGTAGGCATCCTGCTTGTCCACCGGCTTCTCCAAGATCAGCCCCTGCAGCGTCTGCAAGACAAACCGGAGGGCGACGGGCGTGTCCAGCCCCGAGCCGGCCTGTGCAGGCGGCCCTGTCCCCTGGCTGCACGTTCCTTTTAGAATTCGAGGTGGCCCAGTGGCTTGAGCATCGATCGAGGACCCAGGAGGTCACGGTTCGATTCCCGGTCGGGGCAGCCCATGGATGTGCCTCTCTTCTGCCTTTTCTCCCGCTCTCTCTGAAAACCAACGGGGCCCCGGCCGGTGTGGCTCAGTGGCTAGAGCGTCGTCCTGCGGACCCAAGGTTCCCGGGTTCGATTCCGGCCAAGGGGCACGGACCTCGGTGGCAGGCTCCTCCCCGGCCCGGGCCCTGGTCAGACCCTGTGCAGGAGGCAACCCATCGGTGTGTTTCTCTCACATCGATGTTTCTCTCTGTCTCTCCCTCTCTCTAAAAACCAATGGGGAAAAAAATAAAATAAAATAAAATAAAATAATAAGATAAATAAATAAAATAGGATAAAATAAAATAAAATAAAGTAAATAAATAAAATAAATAAAATAAAATTAAAAATAAAATAAATAAAATAAAATAATAAATAAAATAAAATAAAATAATAAGTAAAATAAAATAAATTAAATTAAATAAATAAAATAAAATAAAATCAATGGGAAAATAGGCCCAGGTGAGGATTAATAAAAAATAAATAAAATTCAAGGTGAGCCCAGCCGATGTGGCTCAGTGGTTGAGCCCAAACCTAGGAACCAGGAGGTCAGGGTTCGATTCCCGGTCAGGGCACAGGCCCGGGTTGTGGACTCCATCCCCAGTAGGGGGGTGCAGGAGGCGGCCGATCCGGGATTCTCTCCCTCTCCCTTCCTCTCTGAAGTCAATAAAAATATATATGTAAAAAGAAAAAAACGAGGGAAATTGGGGCACAGGCTCCCGCTGAGGGAGAAGCCACGTGCAGACGACGCCAGAGATCGGATGATGTGACGCGGCCGGGAGCCGGGAGCCAGCCGGGGGCCGGGGGCCGGGTGCCGGGAGCCGGGAGGACGGGCTGGGACACATGCTGCTGAGGGCGGGCAGCCCGCGCCCGACTGGGTGACCCGGACGGGCAACCCCCCGGAGGGCGGCCAGGAGCGGGACTCACCACGATGGTGTCGGCTCCAATGACGATGTCGGGGGCCCGGAGGTCTTTCTGCAAGAAACACAAACCCGGCTTTATTTTCATTGCTTCTTAACCCTCACCCGAGGATCTGCCCATGGATTTTTGGAGACGGAGCGGGAGAGAGAGGGAGAGACAGAGAGAAACACATCGATGGGGTGCCTCCTGCACGCGCCCCGACCAGGGCCCGGGGAGGGGAGGAGCCTTCCACCGAGGTCTGTGGCCTTGATCAGGAATCGAACCCGGGACCCTTTGGTCTGCAGGCCGAGGCTCTATCCACTGAGCCACACTACCTAGGCCCAAACTCAGCTTTAAAAACAACGCATGTCACCCGGCCGGGGTGGCTCAGTGGACAGTGCATCGGCCTGCGGACCGAAGGGTCCCGGGTTCGATTCCTGGTCAAGGGCACATGCCCGGGTTACAGGCTCCATCCCCAGTAGGGGCGTGCAGGAGGCGGCCGGTCTGTGATTCCCTCTCATCATGGATATTTCTCTCTCTCTCTGCTTTCCTCTCTGAAATCAATAAAATTATCTTTTTTAAAAATAGGCATTTGGCCCTAACCGGTGTGGCTCAGTGGATAGAGCGTCGGCCTGCAGACTGAAGGGTCCTGGGTTCGATTCCGGTCAAGGGCATGTACCTGGTTGCGGGCACATCCCCAGTGGGGGGTGTGCAGGAGGCAGCTGATCGATGTTTCTCTCTCATCGATGTTTCTAACTCTCTATCCCTCTCCCTTCCTCTCTGTGAAAAATCAATAAAATATATTTTTTAAAAAATAAATAAATAAAAATAGGCATTCGTTTATACGAGTCCCTGTAGCACTAGCTACAATGCATTTATCTATTAATTGCAATAGGATAGTATTATATACGCAGTGATAAGCTACATGAACTCCATGTTGTGAAGGACATGATTATATTCACTACAACAGGATGTTGCGTAGTGACACAGAGAAACAGGTGTTACACCGATCTCTATAACGATACTGTCGTGTTCATGGCCCTGGCTTCCTGCACAGTAACAAGCTGATTCATCATCTAGGTTATATAAACGATACTATTAATTACAATAGTAGGTTATAATAGATGAGCTACGTTCTTTTTTTTTAAATGTATTTTTATTGATTTCAGAGAGGAAGGGGGAGAGGGAGAGAGAGAAATATCCATGGTGAGAGAGAATCATGGATCGCCTGCCTCCTGCACGCCCCCTACTGGGGATCGAGCCCACAACCCGGGCCTGTGTCCTGACCGGGAATCAAACCCGGACCCTTCAGTCCGAAGGCCGGCGCTCTATCCACTGAGCCACCCCGGCCAGGGCTATATTAATTTTTACAGTAAATGATACCATGAGTTACGATAGCACATTATATAGCAACAAAGTCATAGACAACCTATCTTAGTGCCTTATCACATGTGACGTGGTTAGTTACGATGGCATGTGATGCACAACAAGGTAACAGACAAAGTGTGTTAAGTCTTTATCCTAAGGGACACCGTAAATCACGACAGTATGTTGTTCACTGACAAAGCGGCGGACAAGCCGTCGCCATCCTGTACTGTAAACGTCGCCTTACTTACAATCGCGTATCACCTGGGAACACCCTAACAGACAGGCTACACCATCTCCTTGTCGGACGGGAAACTGTTCCGTTAATGGCAGCGGCTTAGTGCAAAGTCACAGAGCAGCTCCAGTGCGTGAGGGTCACGCTGTCTGACAAGAGGCTAACAGGAAAGTGTCCCCTCGACCGCGAGTTCGACCCGGGGGCGGGCCGGCCGCCAACCACCCGCGGCCCCTTGGGGCGGCCGGCTGGACCCCCAACCTGTGCAGGAATTCGTGCACCGGCCTCTGGTAGAAGAATGATTGTTTACTGCGGGGCGACACTGAGCAATGAATAAACTGCATTAACTGCGTACTATGAAGGGCAACTATTCTCATTTTACCTCTTAAAAGTATGTTTTTAATGATTGTAGAGAGAGCGGAAAGGGGGAGGGGGAGAGATCAGTGATTGAGCCCTAGCCAGTGTGGCTCAGTGGATAGAGCGCCAGCCTGCAAACTGAAGGGTCCCGGGTTCGATTCCCCATCAAAGGGCACGTACCTCGGTTGCAGGCTCCTCCCTGGCCCTGGTCGGGGCGCGTGCAGGAGGCAACCGATCAATGTCTCTCTCTCTCTCACATCGACGTTTCTCTGTCTCTCCCTCTCTCTTCCACTCGCCCTAAAAATCAATGGAAAAATATCCTCAGGTGAGGATGGACAAAAAAATAAATAAGTGAAATCTTATGAAAAATAAAAATAAATTTAAAATATAGCCCTAACCAGTTTGGCTCAGTGGATAAAGCGCTGGCCTGCGGACTCAAGGGTCCCGGGTTCGATTCCGGTCAAGGGCATGTACCTGGGTTGCGGGCACATCCCCAGTGGGGGGCGTGCAGGAGGCGGCTGATCGATGTTTCTCTCTCATCGATGTTTCTAACTCTATCCCTCTCCCTTTCTCTCTGTGAAAAATCAATAAAATATATTTAAAAATGAAATATATACATTTTTAATAGAAATAAAATAAAATGCTCCTAACCAAAATATTTCAGTAATAATGACAAATACAACAAAGCCTGAATCCTCCTCCCCCTCCCTCCCGGTCCGGCCAGAGACCCTCCCCATCCCCCCCCCCCCCCCCCCCCCCCCCCCCCCCCGCCCCCCGCGGCCGACGGGAGCCCCTCGCCTGGTGCATCCGCCGGGCCACGTCCAGCGCCTTCTGCTTGGCGGTCTCGATGGCGTAGGCGTACGGCGTGGGGAACGAGGCTTTGTTCAGCTTCTCCTTAAACCGGGAGGGCACCACCTCGAACCTGAGACCCTGCAACCGCAGAAGAGGGGGGCCGGGGTTCGAGGAAGCCAGGACGTGGACAGAGCGGGGGGGGGGGTCCCCCAGACGCGCGGCCTTTTCCCGATGGCTGAACTTTCACCCACTGCCCGCCCCGGCCGCCGCTGCCCCGGACGGTCAGGCCCACGGACGTCACGCGTGGCACTGACGCAGCTGCCGGGCAGCCGGCGCCCCGGGTCAAAGGGCTCCCCGGGGACCCCAAGGCCGGGGCCTCCCCCCACAGGGGCCGAGCGGCTGGAAATAGTCTTCCCGCCAGAAATGCAGCAGAATGAGATAAAATAAAACTGGAAAAAAATAAAGTAAATAAAATAAGAAAGTAAAATAATAACATTAAACAAAATAAATAAAATAACATAATCAATTAAATTAAATTAAACGAAAAGGCTGTATGAGCCCTGGCCGGTGTGGCTCAGTGGATAGAGCGTCGGCCTGCGGACGGAAGGGTCCCGGGTTCGATTCCCGGTCAGGGCACAGGCCCGGGGTGCGGGCTCGATCCCCAGTCGGGGGCGTGCAGGAGGCGGCCAGTCCCTGATTCTCTCTCATCATTGAGGTTTCTCTCTGTCTCCCTCTCCCTTCCTCTCTGAAATCTATAAAATGAATAAAAAAATAAAATAAAAAATTAAAAGTAATAACGCCAAATAAAAATAGTAAAATAATAAAATGAGAAGTCAATGGGGGGAAGAGGGGGAACATATGTAACACGTTCAACAATAAAGAATTATATTTAAAAAATAGCCTAAATGAATAAAATTAAATTAAAAAAATAGCTGTGTGAAGGGAAACTACGTCTTCTATTTTTTTTAAAAAAAATATATATTTATTGATGTCAGAGATGAAGGGAGAGAGAGAGAAACATCCACGATGGGAGAGAATCCTGGATCGGCCGCCCCCTGCACGCCCCCCACTGGGGATCCAGCCTGCAACCCGGGCCTGTGCCCTGACCGGAAATCGAACCCAGGACCCTTCCGTCCGCAGGCCTATGTTCTACCCACTGAGCCACACCGGCCAGGGCTCCCCGTGTGTCTTTGTCCATGTTGCCCCCGAGGGGGCGGTCCCTGCAGGAGGGGGGCCCCAGCGATGGACACGGAGGGGCAGGGAGCGTGGGCCTTGACCCCCGAGGGTAAGTAAACTCGCCGTCCCGGGCAGAGCGCCCGCCTGGCCACCGGCAGGAAGGGGACTGGCACACGGACCCGGCTTGGCCTGCCGCCCGCCTCGCCCCCGGCCAGTGGGCACTCGGCCGCCACAGCCCCGGCCGGTGGGCACTCGGCCGCCACAGCCCCGGCCGGTGGGCACTCGGCCCCCACGCCCCCGGCCGGTGGGCAGTCGGCCCCCACGCCCCCGGCCGGTGGGCACTCGGCCCCCACGCCCCCACGCCGCCGGCCGGTGGGCACGCGGCCCCCACGCCCCCGGCCGGTGGGCACTCGGCCCCCACGCCCCCGGCCGGTGGGCACTCGGCCCCCACGCCCCCGGCCGGTGGGCACTCGGCCCCCACGCCCCCGGCCGGTGGGCACTCGGCCCCCACGCCCCCGGCCGGTGGGCACTCGGCCCCCACGCCCCCGGCCGGTGGGCACTCGGCTGCCACGCCCCCGGCCGGTGGGCACTCGGCCACCGGACCTCCAGGCTGGCCATGGACACCCCTGCGTCCCCCGCCTGCAGACCGGGACCCCCGAGGCCGGATGGCCTGCACGACCCCGGTCACTGCAGCCCTGGGCCCGAGGACTCACCTGGAGACACTGACCTCGCACCCTGTCCCGGGAGCCTCCAGCCGCCCCCCCGGGCCCCGTCGCCCGGCCGGAGACTTTGGCCCTCCATCCCGGCCACCGGCTCCGGGGTCACTGACCCTCCTGGGCACGGGGTCCCCCGGTCCACAGGCTCCCTGGTCACTAGGCCACAGGACGCCCTCCTGGCACCAGGCCCAGGGTCAGGAGGTGGCCCAGTCACCAGGCGCCCCGGCCACCAGATCTGCTGGTCACTGGCCCCCCCCCCCCCATCACCAGGCCCCTGGTCACCAGGCCTCTGGTCACTGGGCTGCCTGGTCACTGGGTCCCCTGTCACTGGGTCCCCTGGTCACTGGGTCCCCTGTCACTGGGTCCCCTGGCCACTAGATCTCCTGCTCCCTGGGCCCCCTGGTCACTGGGTCCCCTGTCACTGGGTCCCCTGATCCCTGGGTCCCCTGTCACTGGGTCCCCTGATCCCTGGGTCCCCTGGTCCCTGGGCCCCCTGGTCCCTGGGTCCCCTGTCACTGGGTCCACTGGTCACTGGGTCCCCTGTCACTGGGTCCACTGGTCACTGGGTCCCCTGGTCACTGGGTCCCCTGTCACTGGGTCCCCTGATCCCTGGGTCCCCTGGTCCCTGGATCTCCTGCTCCCTGGGTCCCCTGGTCCCTGGGTCCCCTGGTCACTGGGCCCCCTGGTCACTGGGTCCCCTGTCACTGGGTCCCCTGGTCCCTGGATCTCCTGCTCCCTGGGTCCCCTGGTCCCTGGGTCCCCTGGTCACTGGGCCCCCTGGTCCCTGGATCCCCTGGTCACTGGGCCCCCTGGTCCCTGGGTCCCCTGGTCCCTGGGCCCCCTGGTCCCTGGATCCCCTGGTCACTGGGCCCCCTGGTCCCTGGGTCCCCTGGTCACTGGGGCCCCTGGTCCCTGGGTCCCCTGGTCACTGGGCCCCCTGGTCCCTGGGTCCCCTGGTCACTGGGCCCCCTGGTCCCTGGATCCCCTGGTCACTGGGCCCCCTGGTCCCTGGGTCCCCTGGTCCCTGGGCCCCCTGATCCCTGGATCCCCTGGTCACTGGGCCCCCTGGTCCCTGGATCCCCTGGTCACTGGGCCCCCTGGTCACTGGGTCCCCTGGTCACTGGGCCCCCTGCTCCCTGGGCCCCCTGCTCCCTGGGCCCCCTGGTCCCTGGGCCCCCTGGTCTCTGGGCCCCCTGCTCACTGGGCCCCCTGGTCCCTGGATCCCCTGGTCACTGGGCCCCCTGCTCACTGGGTCCCCTGATCCCTGGGTCCTCTGGTCACTAGATGTCCTGCTCCCTGGGTCCCCTGGTCACTGGGTCCCGTGGTCACTGGGTCCCCTGATCCCTGGGTCCTCTGGTCACTAGATGTCCTGCTCCCTGGGTCCCCTGGTCACTGGGTCCCGTGGTCACTGGGTCCCCTGATCCCTGGGTCCTCTGGTCACTAGATGTCCTGCTCCCTGGGCCCCCCTCCCATCACCAGGCCCCAGGTGCACTGGGCTCCATGGTCACCGAGTCCCCTGGTCCCTGGTTCCTTGGTCACCGGGTTGCCCGCGCACTAGGCTCCGGTCCCCAGGCCTCACCTACAGACCCGGCCCCGTCCCCGGCCCCCAGGCCCCGGCCCCAGCCCCCCGGCCGCCCGGGCCCCACCCCTCCCGCGCTCGGCTCACCGCGGTGCTGAGGATCTCCTGGCGGCGCGGGGAGGCGCTGGCCAGCACCACGCGCTTGTTCCGCAGCCTCCGGATCACCGGGTAGAGGACCATGGCGCCCCGCCCCGAGCCGCGCAGCCCCGGACACCACCTTCCAACGCCGGACGCCGCCCCGAACGCCGGCTCTGGGCCTGCGCCGCGGGGCTTTTAAGGTGGCCCCGCCCACCAGAGGCACGTACACCAAGCCCCGCCCCTACGTAAAGCCCCGCTCTGGACGCGGCCCCGCCCACCGGAGGCACGTACGCCTGGCCCCGCCCCTAACGAATCTCTACTTGCAGGTCTGCAAAGCACAGCGTCTGGGCAGGCCCCGCCCACCGGAGGCACGTAGGACAGGCCCTGCCCCTACGCAAACCCCTCTCTGAACGTGGCCACGCCCACACCACCGAGGCCCCGCCCCTGACGAATCTCCACTTGCAGGTTTGCTGGGCACAGATTCAAGGCAAGCCACGCCTACCGGAGGCACGTACGACAGGCCCTGCCCCTACGCAAACCCGGCTCTGAACGTGGCCACGCCCACACCACCGAGGCCCCGCCCCTGACGAATCTCCCCTTGCAGGTCTGGGGGCACAGCGTCTGGGCAGGTCCCGCCCACCAGAGGTACGTACGCAAGGCCCCGCCCACCTCCGCCGTGACCACGCCCCCTGTTCTGAACCAAATACTTTCCTGTACCCGCCCCTAAAGAAGCTCCTCCCCCATCTCTGACCCCGCCCCCGCGGGGCCGTTTGGAGGCGAGCTGGGCACGGGCGGGGAAAGGTTCCCCCGACCCCCAGACCTCCACATCGCGGGGTCCCTGTGGGCCATGAGTCGGGGCGCAGGGAAGGGGGGTCCTTGTGACTCGGGAGAGGTTCCCTGCGGACCCGATGGGGGCACAGAAATGGGAGGGAGGATCCCTAAGGGCGCGGTGGGGGCGTGGAGAGGGGGGGTCCCCGCGGGCGTGATCGGGGCGCGGAGATGGGGGTCCTTGTGATGCAAAGAGGTTCCCTGCGGGCCCGATGGGAGCACGGAAATGGGGAGATTCCTAAGGGCGCGGAGGGACAAGGAGAGGGGGGTCCCTGAGGACGCGATCGGGAGCAGAGATAGGGGTCCCTGAGGGGGCAATAGAGCGTGGAGATGGGGGTCCCTGAGGGCACGGTGGGGGCGCGGGGATGGGGTCCCTGAGGGCGCGGTGGGGCGTGGAGAGGAGGGTCCCTGGGGCCATTTCTAGGGCTCAAGAGAGGGGATCCCTGAGGGCGCGATGGGGAGCATGACGAGGGGGGAGTCCCTGAGGGCGGGTGGGGGCGCGGAGATGGGGTCCCCGTGGGCGCGGTAGGGGGCGCGGAGATGGGGTCACTAAGAGCTGGGGGGAGCGAGGAGATGGGGGTCCCCTTGGGTGCGATAGAAGCGTGGCGATGGGGGTTCCCGGGGGCGCCGAGATGGGGTCCCCAAGAGCGCGGAGTTGGGGCCCCATGGGGGCGCGGTGGTGGGCGGGGCCACGGAAGGAAGCATTTCTATAGGTGGATGGATGGATGGATGGACAGATGGGTGACATCTGGCGATGATCATTCCTGGGGGGGAGGAGCCGAGGCGGCGGGGGGCGGGGCCGCCGGGTGACTGGCAGGGTGTCTCGCTGCCGCCCCGGAGTCTGCCCACCAGATGGCAGCACCGGCCCGCCCAGCGGTGACCAGGAAACGTGTCTGCAGACGTTCCTGCCTGTAGCTGGGACAGAACCAGAGCCTCGTTTAGAGATATTGATCGATGATCGATGATCGATAGATAGATATAGATAGTGTCGACCTAGGAACCAGGAGGTCATGGGGTTCGATTCCCGGTCAAGGGCACATCCCCGGGTTGCGGGCTCTGTCCCCAGTAGGGGGCGTGCAGGAGGCAGCCAATCCATGATTCTCTCTCCTCATTGATAATTCTCTCTCTCTCCTTCTTCCTTCTTCTTTGAAATCAATAAAAAATATATTTAAAATAATAATAATAAGCCCTTGCCGGTGTGGCTCAGTGGTTAGGGCGTTGGCCTATGGACTGAACGGTCCCGGGTTCGATTCCCAGTCAAGGGCACAGGCCCGGGTTGCGGGCTCCATCCCCAGTGGGGGGCGTGCAGGAGGCAGCCGGTCCATGATTCTCTCTCCTCATGGATGTTTCTCTCCCTCTTCCTCTCCCTTCCTCTCTCTGAATTCAACAAAAATATATAAAACAAAAATAAATTTAAGAAACATTTAAAAAAATGTTCTTAGCTCGGCCGGTGTGGCTCAGTGGTTAGTGTCGGGCTATGAACCAAGAGGTCACGGGTTCAATTCCCGGTCAAGGGCACAGGCCCGGGTTGTGGGCCTGATCCCCAGTAGGGGGCGTGCAGGAGGCAGCCGGTCCACGATTCTCTCTCATCATCGATATTTCTCTCCCTCTCCCTTCTTCTCTGAAATCAACAAAAATATATTAAAAATAATAATCATAATAACGGTTTCGAAATGCCGGCCTGCGCCTGCTGGCGTGTCTGTGTAAGCCAAGGACGGGGGGCCCTCGTGCCCCATGTTGGGGGGACCATGATGAACCGAACCGTCCCCTCTGCATCTTGGCTGCCGGCCCAGCCTCTGTGGCCCCGTCTCCTGTGTGGCGGCTGCTTTGAGGTTATTCACACCTTTTTTTTCTTTCTTTCTTTCTTTCTTTCGTCTTTCTCACCCGACGTGCGACTCCCATGCCGAGAACGGGGGTGTGGGTGTCTGGGTCTTGCTGGCTCATGGTTTCCGAGGCCAAGGGGGGGTCGGTTTGCTCAATCGAGGTTACCTTCTAGGGTTCGGCTTTGGGGCGATCGGAGGAGCAAAGGAAGTCGCACCTTCATGGAGAGTTTGGGTCCCAGGGTTTCTCCCCTCAACCTCCATTCATTAAGCCAAAGCCCGTTCTGGGCTGAGGCCCAGGCTGTCACTCAGAAGTTGCCATGGGGATGCCAGGCTGGGGTGGCTCAGTGGTTGGGCCGGGGCTGCGGGCTCCGTCCCCCGGTAGGGGGCGCGCAGGAGGCAGCCGATACGCGATTCTCTCTCTTCAGTGCTTCACTCTCTATCCCTCTCCCTTCCTCTCTCGCTGAAAAAAAAAATCAATAAAAGCATTTTTTAAAATATATATATTTTTTTTACCGGAGGCCCAGTGCACGAAATTCGTGCACGGGTAGGAGCTGTCGCAGCTGCCGCCTGCCGGCCAATGCCTTCCTTCGCTCCACGTCGCCGCCCTGGTGGCCGGCGCACATCATAGCGAGCGGTCGAACTCCCGGCCGGTCGCACTCCCGCGGGGACACTTTGCATATGAGGCTTTTATATATAGAGGAATGATTTCAGAGAGGAAGGGAGAAGGAGGGAGAGAGAGAAACATCCATGATGAGAGAGAATCATGGATCGGCCGCCTCCTGCACGCCACCCCCCGGGGATCGAGCCCGCAACCCGGGCATGTGCCCTTGACTGGGAATCGAACCGTGATCTCCTGGTTCGTAGGTCGATGCTTAACCACTGAGCCACACCGGCCGGGCTATTTCTCCGTATTTAGGGTCCCCCATGGGCCATGCAGACGTAACACGGGGGGAGTTCAGTTCATCCGTCCAGGAGCCCTTACCGGACACAGGTGTGGCCCCCACAGACCTGCTTGGGGGTAAGGTCCCAGAAAAAACGGGGGGCAGCACGGGACCCCGTTGCCTTTCACGCACCCCTCTGAGATCCATCAGTCTGTTCCATGTTTCCATGCTTGTCCGTTGAGCGTCTGCCCCCTGGTGGTCAGTGCGTGTCATAGCTGCCGGTCGAACGATGCCTTAGTCTTTTATATAAAGAGAGATTTTTTAAAAATATATTTTACTGGCCAAAACCGGTTTGGCTCAGTGGATAGAGCATCGGCCTGCGGACTGAAGGGTCCCAGGTTCGATTCCGGTCAAGGGCATGTACCTGGGTTGCGGGCACATCCCCAGTGGGGGGCGTGCAGGAGGCAGCTGATCGATGTTTCTCTCTCATCGATGTTTCTAACTATCTTTCTCCCTTCCTCTCTGTACTCTGTAAAAAATCAATAAAATATTTAAAAATATATATATATATTTTACTGATTTCTTACGGAGAGGAAGGCAGAGAGATAGAGAGTTAGAAACATCGATGAGAGAGAAACATCGATCAGCTGCCTCCTGCACGCCCCCCACTGGGGATATGCCCGCAACCAAGGCACATGCCCTTGACTGGAATCGAACCTGGGACCCTTCAGTCCCCAGACTGAAGCTCTATCCACTGAGCCAAACCGGTTAGGGCTATAGAGAGATTTTTATTGATTACAGTGAGGAAGGGAAAGGAAGACAGAGATAGAAACATTGTGATGAGAGAGAATCGCAATGATTTATTCATTGATTTATTAATAGCAATGTTTTATTTAAAATAATATGCCTTCGGCCGTGGCCGGTTTGGCTCAGTGGATAGAGCGTCGGCCTGAGGACTGAAGGTTCCCGGGTTCGATTCCCAGTCAAGGGCATGTACCTGGGTTGCGGGCACCTCCCCAGTGGGGGGCGTGCAGGAGGTGGCCGATCAATGTTTCTCTCTCATCATCGATGTTTCTAACTCTCCATCCCTCTCCCTTCCTCTCTGTAAAAAAGTCAATAAAATATATTTTAAAAAAATGAAATAATATGCCTTCCATGTCATTAAAATTTATTATTAAGTGTATGCACAGACCCACAATTTTTCTAATCTCTTAAGTCTAGAAAACCCTGCCTTCCTTAAACTAAGGACAATGAAAGGTCAATGATTTATATTTTCCCTCCTAAACAATAGTTAAATGGCTTATGTCAAAGTACGTAAAGGGACCAATAGCCGTAATCCAATTAATGTTAGTTCCCGTTAACAACGCAAAGTTAAATCATGGGCTTTATTTAAAATTAAATTGGCTCATCGAAATAAATGAATATCCAAGAAAACTTAAATGCACTGTACACGGAACTGTTCCTGAAATATTAAGAATTTTTATTGAAGGTTCATCTAATCATAACAATTATTTAACACTTAATAACTCCAAAGCAGTCGTATCTCTTGACACGAAAATGAGTTTAAATATTCCTCTCCTCATCACAACAGCGATGGCGAACCTTTTGAGCTCGGCGTGCCAGCATTTTGAAAAACCCTAACTGAACTC